TGCAAATTACAAAAGAGCCAATTAAAGGAGCTTGATAGATGAGATTGAGGTTAAAACACCAACTACAGTCTTAGAGTTGGTTATGTCTTATTATTAATATATATATTATATATACATATTAATCTTGTGCTAGCCAGTATGCCACTACCGCATGAGCCCATTCAAAAGAAACATTTAGGAAGAAAATAATGTTACTGTGCAGACATGAGAGTTGTATCAATCTTTCCTCCACCTCTTCCCAAAGGATTTTTTAACACACACACACACACACACACACACACACACACACACACAAGGACGTCCTCCAGCGCTTGTCTCAACCCTCCATCACAGCAACCGTCAGAAAAGCGACATTCCACTGTGTCCTGTTGTTAAACAAAAGATCCAGTTGTGTCAGGGTTCCATTTTTTTCAGTGTTAAAGTGTCATTCACGCACAACAGGTCACAAGAGACTGAAAGGAACACTAAGCGCGTTCATTATTCGGGAGTAGCTACGAATCTGAGAGAGCCGTGGCAATCACATTATCCGATAAACACAGAGTACAAGGAAGACGCCTACAAGTTCCCGTGGGAGAGCATCCAATTAACACTCAAGCTTTCTCTCTGACATGATGGCTGCCTCAAGAATGTGAAGAGATGCAAGGACATGCAGAGAGAGAGAGAGAGAGAGAGGTGGAGAGAGCGAGAGCGCTCGTGCCGACACGTAGAGAGGGACAACATTCATTTGCAAAGGTGAAAGATTTGTACTCTGTTTATATGGTTTTATTCAACTTTATTTGTTTCCTTCTTTCAATAGGGATGAGAATGCCAGTCAGTCTGGCTCAACACTACTTCAACACGGATATATCTCAACTATTATTGTCGTTGTTATGGAATTCTGTACCTTCATGGTGCACACAGGATAAATCATAATTACAAACATTCATGCTTTTAAGAAAGCGCCGTTGGAAGTTTTCATGCATGTGTGTGCAACCCCTCGTGATGAATCGTTACACGACATCATCAGGTCATCATTTTAATTTGGCCAACACAAACACTTTTTGGGCGTTAGTAGATAATGTAAACATGCCAGAGTTTCCTAAATGGAGGTCTATCAATGAAAAAAACAATACAGCATCATCCTCGTCAGCAGGTCCAGTGAATTCCTCGTAGATGTCACACTGACGCAGGTCGACGCCCTACATGTCACTTTTCTTTCCAAAATATGTGAAAGTAAAATGGCAGGCAAACGTGCTCTATTCATGTCCCAAGAATGCTGTAGACATATGAATAATATCAGCCAATCCCACACTCCTTCCCACCTAATCCGGAATATCCATTAGGACCCTATGATGTTTACGACCCTTTTAGAAGCCACAAGCTTAATTTTCGGCTTTTGTGGCGTTAACCTGTCAGGAATTAAAAAACACAGGCACTCACTGTGATATTCTACTTGACCAACATTACATTGTTTGGTATGCGATCTTGGTCATGATTCTGAATTAACTGATAGAATAATAAAATATATTTCATTGCAGTCTTTTTGATCCATGTGATATAAATGCTTCGTGCAGGTTCCTCTCGATCTAAACAGCAGCTTCTTCTTATTGATCCGCCAGTCTTCTCCTCAGACTTTTGCCACCCCCTTCCCCTTCTCCCAGTTGTCTGGCGTCTAATTAGTGTTTCGTTTGTCGGGATAGTGCTCGTGGCGATTATCAGAGATGGAGTGCACTCTGAAGAGTAGGTGGTGAAATTTTATTCTACCTCAGGAACTCACAGACATTCAGTGTTTTTAATACGTATGGTTCGCATGAAAGCTGTGGTCTGTTCTGCAAAATCTATCTCTCAACAGGTCTCTTCCCTTTCAACAAAAGCTTCCATTTACTGATGTAAGAAGAAGTATGGCCTAAGAAGCCACCTTGCACACACCCTCCTGTTTGTGGAGGGACTACTCGCACTCCAACTGTTCTTCACACCAGCCACAAAGGGCACTGCTGGCTGTGCAGAAAGACAAGAAAACATATGATTTCGATTTAAAATGTGTTCAGATCAAACGGCAATCTAGGTTTTGTATTTCAACTGGACACTTTCCCTTTGGACTGGGTGCTTTTGCTCTGTGTGGATATCTCTGTGACTGCTGGAAATCTTCCATTGCATTTAATGCTACTCTCTTTTTGTGCAGAGCAATCATGGCTTCTCCTGCCTGTGCAGGCTATTAAGTTCATCCTCCATCAATTACAAGCAAATCACTTCCCGACGGTTGCAACCCGAGATGAGAAAATGTGTCACTACCACTGTGCCAGAGGATTTTTTCTTACGAGGGTGTTATGAACAATAAATGTAAAAGCTTTCAGTTACTGGAAATAACTCAAAGCTGCGATCAAATGTTTAAATTAAAATCTACAAAGACAATAATGTATGAGGACAATGTGGATCACAGACCTCTGCAAGCCACTGTTTAATAGAATTTATAAATATGAACTGACTGAAAATATTGCAATTTTATGCAGGTTTACTTCTTTCAGAGACAACCAATATTCAACCAATAATAAACCATCACAAAAATAAGAACAAATGTTGTGCAGCGCCATCTCACCCCCACTCCACCGCCTAAAGATGCAGGACGACTTGATAAAACCGAGGTGTTAATGCATTCCAGCTTGCAGAACGCAGAGGCACACAGTGTGCACTGATGTGACATTAACGACAGAAACGGGGCTGTCAAGTAGCACATCAACCCACATGCACATTTCTGAGGCCCTCGGGTGATATTTTCCAAACTACCAAGCAGCTCGCGGTGCGACATATCGAACGTTGCGGGCTGGTTTTTCCGGGTGCACTCCTCTGAGGGGGCACTTTGTAGTGATGCTGACAGGACACAGCGAGCACGACTGACACGTTGTCAGTTTCCTTCAGTCAGCTGGAACCTCATGTTTAAAATCAGCCTCATCACGGGCCTGTCAGGGTTCATGTTTGTCTGCTGGAAAGAAAATGAACTGATACGGTCGAGGATGATTTGGTAGGCGATTTACGCTGAAAAGAAAAGAGATGACAAGGTTTCATTAAAAAAATGTAAATGCTGTATCAAAATGTCTAGTTTGTAATTGAGTATTTCTGAATAAACAGCAGTGCCTGGATTGCAGAATAGTTTGTTGTCCTGTAGAGTACATAACATACCTGGCTTAATGGCTAATGGCTTCAACGTTGTGGTTTTCTATAGTAGATTGCTGGCCTCTGGAAACAAAGAAAGTTACCCGTGATTACTTGTATGTAATAAATGCCGTGTTTTAAAATGTACCACCTGGTTAGAGCACACAGGTTTTGTTGAGTCTTTATCTGCTTTCACACCAGACCACAACGCCGGGCAACTCCTGCATGTATTTCAGCCAGAAGGGACCTCGGTTTATTCAAATCCACAGCATTCCTGGGAAAGAAGTAAAGGGTTCTGTACCAGAGGGAATCGGGGGCTGTTATCATGATACCCAATAGCAAACTATCATTATGTTGAAACTGTTCCTACACAAATTGTCACCTCTCTTTCGTCAAAACAATAATTAAAAATTCTGAACTAATTATGAAAATGCATTAATATTTTAATGACGACTAATGTTTTAGCTGGCTTGGGCTTCTGCACATCAAGGCGCGGCCACAGGCTAAAACACACAAGTATGTGCACTGCACTCCGCGCACACAGACGCACAAACACAGCGAGGCGAGTGTCTGTTGTCTTTTTCATCTCCCATTTCAGAGGCTGAACACTGTCATCTATTGTGGATGTCAAACCAGCATTCATGCTGTTGTGACGCATGTATCACAACTCTGGGTGTGATGCTCAACCTAAGATTTCTACGCTGGTTGAAAAAAATGAGTGTTGTATCAAGAGCTGAGATTGTCATCTATTTACTATCTACTTTGACTTTTGTCTCATTTGGCTTTCTTACTGCAGCTATTTTATCACCACAATCTATGTGATGCACTAATTGATAGAATCATTCTTCAATAAATGAATCACATTAGTGTGTTACACTAATACATCTGCGGTTTTGTGGAAGCGCTGCTCAAAAACACGCGTGATCATGTGAAATGAAACACATGCTCACAAGGCGAATCCCCCGAATAAGACAATGGGGTGACACATGGATGCCTCCTTTCGATGTCACTTAATTGACACACAATGGAGAGTGGCGGCATCACCGGTGGGGCGTAAAGTAAGCTGACAGACAGGTCGTGTCAGATGTCAGCTTGCTCAGTGCTGTTCAACATGTCTCCTCTTGTGACTGACAACTGGCCCCCAATTAACCTCAAACTCAAATACAGACAGAAAAACACACACATGTACACCTGCTCCCTCTCTCTCACACACACACACACACACACTCGCTGGATGTGTGACAGCTGTGGAGCTTCGTCTTTATTCATTCGGCGCTAATTGACCTTATTCTTACAGGCTGGAGGTAAGTCCCTCTTCAGCAAGGGGGCTTTGTTTTATTTCTTCATGTGTACAGTCATCTGGGAGGCTGCAGGCAATCCTTTTTTTTTTGAAAGATGGAATATGAATTGAATATTCTCCTGTTTTTTTTCTATTTCTATTCATGTTCAAGGTTAAAATGTAAAACGGAATACAGATTTCACTGCTAATTAAATACAGAAACATGTGCTGAAGGATTCTTCTAACAATAAATGTCACTCTGGGTCCCTCTAGTGTGGTAACAGATAGATGGGATACGGATTTTAGTCCTTGCCCACATTTACTGTCCTTGGATACAGCACATGGGCCCGATAGAAGGCACGTGGTCAATGTTGATGAAGTTAAACACAGTGGAGAAGAATAAATAACATTTGACTAACATTGGAAGTAATGTGCATTGGTTGTCCTACGGTTATGTCTAACTGCATAAAACATGGAGATTATGCTCATAATTTGTTGCCCGCCTTTTAAGATGTGTCGTATTTACATAGTGTGAGTGGCATATGTGTGAAATGGGAAGTCACACATTTATACCTTTAATAATAATTGGCTAAACTGCTTTAGCGACCAATCTCCAAGCGCACTGTAAAATACCGGAAGTGAGGACTCGACCGTTCCAAAGACGAGGCTGAGGCGGTCTTTGATCATAGTCTTTTTACTTTATACAATTTGAACAACGCGGCATTCACGAGGAGTGACTTTAAACACCTGCCGCACAACAACAGACGCATCCGGATAAAAGTCGCCAGTGAACCGGGGTCGCTTTGGGTTAAAAAAAAAACAGCAGGCCACATGGAGGCGCCGCAGCGGATGAAAGCCGCCGCGCAGCGCTGCGTCGACGCGCGCAGACACGAGCTGCACGCTTTGAGTCGGGACATCTGGAGTCGTCCCGAACTCGGCGGAAACGAGACGCACGCCCACGACACGCTGGTCCGCTTCTTCTCTCGAGACGAGGCGTGGACGGTGCACGCTCACCACGTGCTGCCGACCGCGTTCCGGGCCAGCTGGGGCCCGGCGGGGGGCGGAGCCGGAGCCGGAGAGCCGCCGCTCAACGTGGCGTTCCTGTGCGAGTACGACGCGCTTCCGGGTATCGGACACGCGTGCGGTCACAACCTGATTGCGGAGGTGGGAGCGGCCGCCGCGCTCGGGCTGAAAGCCGCGTTAGAGACGCGGACTGATCTGCACCGCCCAGTGAAGGTACCGCGGTACATCAACACGAGTTCCCTCAGCCAATGAAAGAGTCAGGAATAGAATTGACATTCATAAATGTATTTTAACTAGGATATTGTCCTCCAATCAGAAGCATTAGTTTGTAACTCCAGATAATTTCCTTTAAAATCTAATGTAAAACTAGAGATGCATTTCCCTGTCAGAATGATTTTAAGTTAGCTCATGAATGAGCTTATGAAAGGCTTTTTTTTTATTATAAAACAGAATGTCCTCATTTTAACAATGACGCCTACAGGTTATCAAATATTAACTTGTGGTGCAATTACTAGTATTACTGTGGACCATTTTCTTTGATAATGCATTTTTTATTCCTAATATTTATTTTTTGAAGCATGTGTCAAATATCCGAAACATATATATTAAACACATTATATTACACATGAATGGATATTCTATATAGTTTGGAAAATCTTAAAAATAATTTCCTTCCCATGGCTTCACCATACCTCAGCAATCTCCATGACAACAGACTAAACAACTTTATTTTTTGTCCCTTTTTCGTCCACTGTCAAAAAGTAAACTTCTACCATATTTGTGACTTATTTCCCCAGACTTCATACACGAGCTGACATAATATCAAATGACTGAATTAAACCCTTTTTATACCAGATAACAGTTCTGGGAACTCCTGCAGAAGAAGTTAACGGCGGAAAGATCGACCTGATCTTGGCCGGGGCCTTTGCTGACTTTGACCTCGTCTTCATGGCTCACCCGGCTCAGCAGGATGCATCCTTCCTGCCCTGCATCACAGTCGACGAGTCAGTTCCTGTTTAAAGCATTAATGGATTCACGACTTATAAAAAAAGACATTTTTTTAAACCTAACCGCCTATTTCCGATCGCCCTTAAGCCGCTGTGTTGATGTCACGCAGGGTGCTGGTGAAGTACCACGGGAAGGCCGCTCATGCCTCTGCGTACCCTTGGGAGGGAGTGAATGCCCTGGATGCTGCTGTGCTGGCCTACAACAATCTCTCTGCACTCAGACAGCAGCTCAGGCCAGAGTGGAGGCTCCATGGTGATGGACAGGCCTCCGAGGCGCCTTTATTTCTTAATGGACGACAAGTCCTTAGGTGAACTGGCCGGGTGTAATTTAACCGGAGGATGGCCATTTTTCCTGGAAACATATTTTCATTTGCCTTTTTCAAATGTAATCAGAAATGACACATGGTTCAACCTAGATGAAAACGTGCGATAGTTCGGGTTCTGGGGCTACAGCTTATCCTGCTTTCCGTTTTCTTCATTACAGGCATCATCAAACACGGGGGGGAGCAGCCCAACATCGTCCCTGCCTTCACCCAGCTGGAGTTCTATCTGCGCACGCCGCAGGTTGAGGATCTTCGTGTCCTGAAGGCCAAAGCGGAGGCTTGCTTCAGGGCCGCTGCTGTTGCCACCGGATGCCGAGTAAGATTACCCCAAAATGCGAACTTTCCCTTTTTTTTAAGCAGCGCTGTAGGAACCAGCTGTGAATTTTGATAGAGATGAGCAATGCGCCGTTGAGTTGACTCCTCCGTTATATAAGGTTTTATATATATTTTCCACCATAGCCCTGTAGTTATGCTCTGTGCTGTTCTACTGAAGCGTGATTCGTCATCTCTTCAGGCTGCTTTTCTCCTACAAACCGCACTTGCTTCAGGCAGGTCAAACTCGCATGACACAGCGCGCATGGGGCTCCGCTCACTGCCGATGAAGAACTGTGATGCATTTCTTTGTTGCTCCCCTTCGTGTCATTAATGGCTGCATACGCGTGTTTCCTTCAGGTGGAGATAACCTACCCTGGCCATTGCTATTATAATATTCTGCCTAATGCAACGCTGGCCAAGCTGTATGAAAATAATGGAACGGCTTTGGGGATCCAGTTTCAAGAGCAGTCAGCCAACTTCTCTGGTATGGAAAAACAAAAATAATATTACAGTAACTGATGTCATTTCCTGTAACTCTTTTGTGCAGAAGAAATGCAAAGTGTGAGAGCAGAACAGCGACCTTATCCCCCCTCCTGCAGGTTGTCTATTTAGTCGTTCACTTAATCAACAAAGACTCGTCATTCTTTTGTAATCATTTTGCAGGTTCTACAGACTTTGGAAACGTGTCGTTCGTCGTCCCCGGTCTCCACCCTTTCTTCTACATCTGCACGGAAGCGCTTAACCACACCGAGGAATACACCGAAGCAGCGGGTACGCCAGCACGGGTCTGATGACACACGTGGTGTTACTTGGGATGGAATTGGATTGTACTGCAGTCAGGCGATTTCAGACCTCTTCGTTCTCGGTCACTCGGGTTGTCTGTTTAAGTTTCTACTTATATTTTGTCCTCCTACTCTTTTTTTTTTTTTTTCTGTGCCAGGAGCTGAAAAGGCCCAGTTGTTCACCCTGAGGACAGCCAAAGCGTTGGCAATGACAGCTGTGGATGTCGTGTGCTGCCCTGATCTGCTGAGGCAAGTGAGGGAGGACTTCCGCCTGGCCAAACTGAAACAGGAGAAACCACTAAAAGACGGCGACGCGGCTTTGACAGCTCCATAAAAACAAGCATTTCATAACTGACGATTTGGTCATTGGGCTTCAACTTGAGAGCACATTTGAATAGTTTGGATGGTTGGACGGTTAAGGTTGTAAAACTTCAACCCATTGTGGTGTATAATCTCTTTAGTATTTCAAATACCTCCGTCATCATGTTGCAGAGGTTCACTCTCTACAACCCGTTATAAACGTGGTGCTGGAACTAGAAAGCCGTAACATCAAGTGATTAATCCTGACATTTAAAATAGTACAATTACATGAAACTAATAAGTGTAAGCAAGTTAGCTTCTAGGTAGAATTGTTTATATTTTTCACATAAATAATATTCCAACAGCTGGATTTAATCACATTAAATTATGTACAACCGGTAATGGTGATGATGAAACATCACCACCCCGAGACAGTTTTACTCAAAGAGTTTCATTTAAAGTTTACTCTTTATAAACAATTGTAAATGTATATGAAAACCTTTGTGATTACAAAAATAAAACTTGATTTATAGAATATCTTCTCCAACAGTTGTGCTTGCTTAGAACGTTCAGTGTCCATGTGCCAGCTTGCTATATTTGCCCATGACTGTGCATTTTTTTTTAGCTGTGGTCGTCCCTGAAACGGTTCCTACCCAGCTGAAGACAGAGCGCTACCTTGCACTCATCGCACATCCAGGGTGTGTTTTTGTGGCAGACAGTGCATTGTTTCCTCCCCTGGCCTGCCTTCTCTCTTTTCTCAGGTCTCTTTTGTTGGTGGGGACAGGGAAGTGGCCTGAAGTTGGGGGCTTAGGTGGGCCAGCCTGTGGCACGCCGAGCAGCGTCGCACACAGCTTCTCCTGAAAACGCCTGGCGTGTCGTGGGCTTCAGCTGCCGCATCACGCCGAGCTCCTTGTGCACAATGAAGCTGTTTTTCTGTGCACCGCGTTTGTTCTCAGCCTCTGATCAGAAGCGTGCACTCACAGCTGTGGGTCTGGGGACGGGTAATGTCTCATTATCGGTCTCCTCCGCGTACACAGGAAGGACAGTTGTGCACATGGAGACCTCCCGTGCGTCTTTCCATTTTACAAAGAGCAGGTCCTCATCCCCGAGCCATCTGATGGAGCCTCTCTTGCATCCAGGGCTTTCTCCTGCGTTGTTGGGACACCGGTCGTGCACCGCCTGTAAGATTCCACAAGCCCCGAACCCCTGCTGGCTCAGATGACGGAACAGAGGGGGGCAAGTGTAAAAATGGTCAAAGTAGACAATGTCGCCCCCCAGATAGTCCTCGTTCACCAGCTGCTCCACCATGTCAGATGCAAGTCCCTTCCCCGGAGCGCCGTGGTTCTTCCCTGTGTATAATATGAGGTCAACTGTGCACCCATTCATATCAGCCAGCGCAAAACATTTTATCCCCCACTTTGTCACGTTATATTTTGATCATCCTAACCATCCTCTCATGGGCCGAGATGTGCTGCTTCGGATGGTAGATGCTTTTGCAGCAGTTTCTGATGATATCCAGGAGAGGTCAGACTTTCTGCAGGCAGTCATGGTCCTCTGTCCCCCTTTTTCTGGTATCAAAACTCTCTGAAACAATACTAACAGGTCACTCTTTCAACAATAAATAACCCAGAAAAAAATAATACAGGTCTGCCGTAAGTGGGCCACACAGCACACGTCTAATTCACCGGCGTTATCGTCCTTTTACCGACTCTTCCGACGTTCATAATATCAGTATTCAAACTTGAGTTCAACACTTTTAAATAAAGCTGAAATTGTACGTACATCACATGACCATTAACGTATTCAAATGAATCACTAGTAGCCCGGGCTGCTTGTCTTCTTCCTGGAAACGGTCACGTGAAAGAAGAGTGACGAATCAGGGAAGCAGACGTCATGACAGCTAATAACCAATCGGATAGCGAACGCGGGTGTGGGCGTGATCCTTTCCGAAACGTATCCGTCCACACCGTAGACGCTAAACCTGCGTATCCAAACTCATTCATCCTCCGTAGCGTTTTCAAACTTCATTTTAGGTGCTCGAAAACGTTGGTAAAACATGCGTTTAAAAACGTACGTAGTAGTATGGATGTAGCCTCAGTCTGTGGCTTTCCTGCACTTCCTGCCACTGCAATGTCTACTACAGCAATGTACCATCCATCAGTGGAGAGCTTCGCTTCTCAGCTTTCAGAATCGTCCACCCCACTTTCTTATTATTTGTTATTGAAGGTTTTGCAGCAATTTTGACATCCCTCAGTTCCCCAGTGAAACAAGGGAAAGTAGTTGGATAAGCAGTTGTGCAAAATGATTAATCCAAACAGGCCTTGCTCCAGGTATGCTGCCACCAGGTCGATTTAATACCTTCGCAGATGTGGTGGCACATCAGGTTTTGGGCATCTTTTTGATGCTGTATCCCTTTCATGTCTGTCATTTGCCTTTGTGAAACTGTTGACTTTCCCCGTGGGTCGTTACTTTGAAGCATAATTCACATCTTCAACAAGGAAAATTGCCGAAATATATCCCTTCACGACACACATGAGCAGAACGTGGTATTACACAATATGCCGTTCATATGCTCATTTTTCTCGGGGAAATTTAGAGATGAAAATCTGCAACGCCTGAGGAGATGGACCGTGGAGAGTCACCCTCTATAGGGGACAGCCCCCCCCACTGAGGAGAGTTACCACATGGCTGACACCTTGAGTGTCCATTTCTGCAGGTTTGATCGACCCACTTTAACACCACCAACTGCCATCAAACATCAAACAACCACCTACACCCCCCGTCTCTTTCTCACCTCTCCCAACCGACCCCCCACCAGCTCTCAGGATTGGGGAAGGGGACGTAAGTCATCATGGCAGTAGAAAAGGACCAGTAGCAACTGCGTTCTCTGCTCTTCCATCGTTGTGTGGTTTGGATCAACCACTGAACAGGACAGGAACAGACTACGACGGATCAGGTCTGCAGAGAGAAGCATTGGCTCCAGCCTCTCCTCCATCCTGGACTTGTTCAGCTCCGGAGTCTAAGGAAAAGGACTGGAAAGATCTCTGCAGACCCTTCACACCCTGGACATGATGTGTTCACACTCCTCTCCTATAAGAGGCGCTACAGAGAACTGTACGTGTACCAGAATAAAGTTTTTATTGAAGTTAACCCATGTTTATTTGTACACACTCTATGTATTACATGTAGATTTAAAATGTACAGTTTTGTGATGGTGTTCAAATAATTTACTCACATCCAGAAAACAAAACATTTATTAAACATTTTTTCCCATATTTAACATTTTTCCAGAGTTTCATTTAATGTGTTTGTTCGGTCTTTAAGTTGTCCACCAAAATAGATTTTACTAATTACTGCCTAATAAAGGTTACAGTTGTTTTAAGCTCAAAAAGACAATACTAGCAACTAAGGTCATAGTGAACCTTTAAGCCCCACAACACCAAACAGAGGAGATGAGCTTCAGTCGAACCAAAAAAGAAGAAAATGCGACATTTAAAAAAAGGTCAATACCATAATCTGTGTTTGGGACTGACTTAACATAAATCTTTACATTTTTTTTTTCCAAAGACACCATTATTTTGCCTTTTCCTGAACTTTATCAAATCACGAATGCAACACAGTAAGTAGCTTAAGAGCAAAACATTTGCAGTGGTACAAATATCACAAGAAAATATAACACATACTAATGCATCTTTCATCAGTTTTTTTAAAGAAATAGTCCCACATTTTATGTAATAGCGTTCATCCGTTCTCTCATCCAAGGAGGCAGATAAGAGGATTGATGTTGCCAATGTCTAACTTTCCACCAGAAAGCAAATAAACCAGACTATTTCTTTTCTTAAGTACTTGTAGTCTGAAATTGATTGTCAAGTATGGTTCCTATGCGAAAAAGAAGAAAAATCTGTCATTCCCCATTGCAATGTCAGTTGTTAGTTCACATTTTCGGCTTTGAAATGTGGAGTCACTGCATCCGGAATGAAGGGCTCTGACATTCACAGTTTCACAGGTTAGAATTTCCCCGTGCAGTCAGTCCAAATGTCTTTCCATCAACAGCAGTATCGACACAACCTGAAACCACGTGGATTTGATCCGTTGACAAAACCAGCGATGACATCGATTGTCGTGTTTTCCAGTAGCTCATTTTTAAACTCTTCAGTTTTAAGTGGCTGGGTCGAGAAGGCAATGGTCACCACAATCGGTCAAATGTCTGCACGTGTGGCCTTAAAAAGCATCAAATGCAAAGTTTTATCCCTGCTCTCTCGCAGGAGAGCCCGGCTCCTTGAGTCTACTGCCTCATCCCCGTTACGAGTAGATGGACCAATAGATGATGTTGAAGAGGATGTACGCACCAGGAAACAGAACCCTCGAGTACTTGTCTATGGCGTGGGTGTCGATCCAGATGTTCACGTAGCCTCTGGATGGCCTGACCTGGCGTGTGATCTGCGGGTCATTCAGGGAAACCTGGGCCAACATCCGATCCCGGCAACCACCGTTCTCCGGCATCCCATAATTCCCCGTTGTGTTGACATCCATGGCCCCGTAGCCAGTGATCTGGGGGTCGATCATCATCTCGTCCGGGTTGCCAATGCCGCACGTACACGGCAGCTAGAGAGGTATCAAGGAAGCTATTTTAATACTTTTAATTTGTTTATTTAAAACTTTGTTTTCTGTAAAAAACATGAAATTGAACTAAATTGAGCTAGATTATAAAGACATTAGACGTTCAATGTTTAGCATTTCTCTGCACACTCAGGGCCTTTAAACAACTTCTGCATGAAACATTTATGGAAGGATGTTTGTGCTAGAAATGTTCCGTGGGCAATTTGGCTCCATATGCTGCAGCATTTGGCAGATGAAGAATAGCAATATAGTACACGAGCTGCAGTCCCAGAAATAATTTGCCATGGCCTCGAGAGCAATTTAAGGGGAGCCAGTTTGGAAAAATATTTATCTGCTTGTTGGAAATGCACATTTCACATTGCTACCAGTTTAGTGGAAAATATGAACGTGGAAAATCTTTAAATTTAAAATCAGGTCAGCCTCGTCCTTTGTTGTTTTAAAGAGCTTATCATTGTCGGTTTCATTTTTCTTCAGCTGTCTCCTTGTTTCTAATTGGGAAAATCTTTTCTGAAGTTATCAAAGGGGGGATCTACAGTTTTATTTGTTAACTCAAATCATCCCGTATTGGGACATTTACATTAGTATGAAAGGAATTTTTGATAATTTTTAAGACTCTTGATTGTCTGGTCATATTTAATTATAAAACATCCTGATAAAAAAGAAGAGGCACACAAAATATTTGCACACCAATGCCTACTGGTAACAGTCATGAGTGAAAAACTACATTAAACAAGACAAATTTCACATTCAAACAGTGGATATTAATAATGTATGAAAACATCCCAGCGTTGATCCTCGTCACATATTCAGTAAGAATAAAGCAGTATTCACGATTATTCAAATTTTGGTTGAAATCAACATAACTGAGGTCAACTGTGTTTTTTAGCTGCAGGCGATGAACAACCACAAATAAAAGTCACATTCAATAACACTTACTCTCTCCCTCAGTTTCCGCTCTTTCCTCTCCTGCACGGTGGAGAGGTAGTTGACTGCCGCGTACTCTATCACCGACAGGAAGACGAAGACAAAACTGACCCAGAGGTAAATGTCCACTGCCTTGATGTAGGAGACCCGCGGCATGGAGGCGTTGACTCCGGTGATGATGGTGGACATGGTCAGCACTGTGGTGATGCCTGGAGGGGAAAACACAAACAGTTTGGACTAGTTGACCCCTAAACGCAATGCTAAATATATTAGAAAAGGCTGTATTTTTTTATTTTAATTCTGTGCCGCTGGTGTATTTTTTTTATTTGTTTAGTTTTTTAGTCTGATCCACTAATTTATTAATCACTGCAAGAACGTTTTAATAATAATAACACATTTTATTGATATAGCGCTGTTCAAAATACTGAAAGGCGAGTTTTGTATTTGCTCTCCCACTTCATTGGGAAGGTAAATCTCAGCTGCAACAAAAATTAAATTATATTTTATACATTACATTGACTTATTCAATGATTTGCTCGATACACAGAAACCTGCGGAAATTAAAGATTGAAAAGAAAGTATTGAAGGGCCAACATAGGTTTAAAAGATTAAGAAGGACAAAACATATTTCACAGATTTGATCTTTACTCTTGTCTAACAACACAACATACCTTGTCAGTGCAACAACAAATATTCAAAATATACAACCAAGAATGAAATATCCCCCTTTTATCTGCTGCTCATAGAAGCCTGTTTCAAGCTGCTCCAAGTTGAATCTTTCATTTTGAAGATATACTTAATGCGATATTTTACATTCTCGGTCAGAGTTACATCACTCTCATGTATGCGGGTTAGATATCGAGCTGCAGCCCTTCTGGTCTAGTAGTAAATCTCATTTGATTAACTGACCAGTAACTTCCAGGAATCTTAGCCAGTTGCCTGGCAACCAAACGAAATGATAATAAATGAGCTTTTGACGGACACAGACTTGTTTCCACCTCTTTCCGTCCACATGGTCAGCTAAGTTAACCGCCTTCTGGCCTTCTACTATACCTTCACCAAAGAGAGTCGAGTGTTGATTTTCTCATCTAACTCTCAGGAAGAAAAAAGTCCAAAATTTATCTTCACTTGGCGTTGGGAACCGTTTTCACTTCACATACTAGATCATCTTTTCGCAAAGCTAAATTTCTTTGCCGAGGAAACTGTCCTACCTAGTGGCACCCTGGCCGGGACGGCCCTGCGGTCAATCCAGAAGGACACCCAGGACAGCATGACCATCAGAGTAGCAGGGAAGTAGGTCTGGAGCAGGAAGAAGAAGATGTGGCGCCGCAGGGTGAAGTGGATGTACAAACGATTGTACCAGCCTGGGAAGAGAAAATATCACCATTACAAACGTTGCGCGTTAGCTGCCGATGTAGCGTGCAAACACGCGGCCATTGTGGCAATGAGAGACAAGACTCCAAAGCCTCCTTGTGCTAGAGGTTGCTGCAGGAAGCGACAAAGTGACACGTGGTTAGAAGGATGCTGCAGGGCGGTCAGCGCGGCACGCGGTTCAAATGGTTGGCGGTGGTTTGATTGACATTCTTCTTGGTGTGACGTTCGAAGGACATTTAAGGAGGACTCAATCAGACTTATCGAATAATCAGTCCAGTTGACCCTAGAAGTGCTCGCGTTTCGGACTACAGTACCTGTGCTGCTGTAAAAAGCCAGCTTGGTGGTGGTGTGGAATTTCTGAATGAGGAACTGGGACAGAGATATTCTGTCGTCCGTGTTCAGGGATTCGTTGCCTTTCTTCCAGTACAACATCAGGTCGTCGTCTGTGTATGCATCTGTAGGGGAAAGAAGCTGCATTGAGCAATTGTTGAATGTCAATGAGAAACTAAACATGCGACCATTTAACTATTAACCGATATATTTCTGTGTGAAAAGCTTGTCACATTTAGAGGAGCGATCAAAGAGGTTGGAATCCAAACACAGGTACTTTTTTTTATTTCTCATTTCTACTCACAGCTCTCGATCTCCAGCGAGCAGGTCTGAGTGTCCAGAGGGAAACGGCTCAGGTCCATGTTGCACATGGCGGTAACAGTGACTCTGCAGGGAAAGCAGGACCCAAAGGAATTAAATTCCCTCAAGTAACAGCGATGGTGAACTAACAATTTCCTTCATGTGGGCTAGATTAGTCCACCCAAAACAAAATAAATCAAGGGTCTGTTTTTATTGTATGTGTTGGATTTCTTTTCTCGTGCTGTTCTATTCCAGCATTGATGTTTCATGCCCCCCGCCCGCCCGCTCCTCCCCCCTCCTAATTCCCCCCACCACATGGCCATCATGTCCATGTATTGATTAAATAAGCATTAGACACGTCCCTGCAGTAAAAGGACAAAAGTCACACTGCATTTGTCATTCTCGTCTGAAACCTTGACATTGTTCGCTGCACTGGTTGCAAATTAGCACTTATTGTTCAACAAAATGCGTCACCTGCTGTGATAATCATGCAAAGTAATTCAACACAATACTTCAATTTGTTGCTATTTTTGTACCTAGTCATTTTTTTGTAGAAAGCTTTAAAAAAAATAAAATTCTGTTCTTGTTGCAGTGCATGAAAATAAACATTTCCCATCACCACTGTTTTCTTTTTTTAGTGATGAATGACCATTATGCTTAAATGTTGTTTTATAGGATACAAACTGCTTGTGGAGGAATCTCCTTGTATGACTTAGTCCTCCTTGAGTCCAGGCACAATGTCCATGTCTTTACCTGAGGCTGTAGAGGACGTTGCCGTCAGGGAAAACCCTCAGCATGACATTATCGGTGGTGGTGTCGTGGATAAAAGAGCGCTTGGAGTGGACGAAGAACATGTCAGGAACCCAAATCTTCTTCACCAGGCGACTGTCAAAGGTCATGCTCTGGTTATTGGTGCTGGGGAACGACAGCCGCTCGTCCTTCCAGTAGTGACGCAGGTACAGGGTCATGGTAAAGTCCTGTGGGAAGAAAAGAAACGTACAATACTCCATTTCAGGTTTTTACTGGCACGATTTACCTGCTTTCAATCTTTAACTAAATAAAAGTGCAGTATTATGTATGAAGTCAAATGTATGGATTGGACGGGGAGCTAGTTTATCTACTGTATATAGAGGACTTTAGGCTCGTAGGAGGGCTCAAGTGGAGTCCCGGGGGTTTTGAGATGATTAATGACGGGAAGGAAGAAAAAATATTTCTCTAATCTTTTTGTTTTTGTGGTAATGGATGATTTGAAAACCAAGACAGTTGGCGGTCACAAGCAAAACAGATAATATAAACAACAGCTTATTCCTTCCTTTGTGTTTTAGCATTAAAAACACTACATTCCTCTAGAATTGATACTAACAAGCTATTTCATACTTACCATATCCACTTCGGAGATGGTGTCCAGACTTTCAACCTGAACATCCACTCCAACGGGAATCGGAGGTCCTGAAAGAAATTGGACTAATTTTTAGAAATGTTCAAAAAATAGCTTTTTTCCTCTGCATAGAAGCTTGTTAAGCTCTGCATGATTTTGGTTGTGGGAGTGGGAGAAACTGTCAAGGTGACCAGTGGGGACTCTTTGAACCTCCGAAAATCCCATTTCCATAAAGAACAATGACTCACACAAAAATAGAGCAAATGCTTGACTGTGTCGGTTTGCCTCGGATTCTACTTTTGACCTAATTGAGCCTTTCTACTCTGCATCATCATCCACCAACAGAACACGAATACAATGAGGTCACAATAATGGATCAAAGATGATGCAGCGATGGATGAATGTAGCCCTCTTTTCCACTCCCAGCTGAGACGCACTTGATGCTTGAAATCAAACCCAGCTAAAGGTCATTTAGTGCCTTTGCAGCAGCAGATTTAAGGGTGATTAAAAGTACTCGTGGTCTGATAAGATGACAAATAAATGGATACAGCATGCCAAAAGGATTATTCATGTATATTGTAAAAAAAAAAAAAGCTTGTGTACCCTTCTGACATTAAATCCCTCTAATACACAGTGGCGATGATGAAAAAGACGTGAAATAACACTTGAGTGACGTAAAGAACTGAACTGCAGTTGCAAACCTCATCACAGCTTGCATTGATTAAGATCTCCAAGAGCTTACGGCTCAGCGGACGGACCAATGACCGCTGCACACATCTTCTACAAAGGAAACCCTCTTCTTTAAAGCTTCATTTTCTGACCTCCGAATGCTGGCCTCATGGTGAAATCATGGTCGTCAATTCTCAGGAGTTGCTCAGATTTTGTCATCAGAGATTTTGTCATGTCTGCACTTCGCTTATAAATTGGGCTGTAAAACAAAAACAAAGAAAGACGTCTGGTTATAGAGAACTTTGAGGGATACGGTGTGTGTTTTTTTTTTTTGCAAAGTCCAAAATAATTGGACAAAGAATCCAAATAACAATGATGTTGATGAAATCCATAATTTGGAATAAAACTCACCTTCCAGTTTTTTTGCCTCCATCCATGCTGGTCTCTCTTCGCGACCTAAAAAATAAAAGAGGACATCTGTCAGAAGGCAGCAACATTAGTGATTGAGCGTGTTGAGATTTTTTGGTCAAATCAAACTGTCACTTTCTTTTTAAGTCTTTAAGAACTCATTCAAATCATTACCTTTTGCTTTAATTAAATATATATACAATATTCCTAAATATACATGGCCTTATAATGGGGGCAATAATGGAAAGCTTCGTTTTGACGCTACTCATTTTCTAAAATGGTGTTCAACAGGTGGAATTAAACATTTTATCCCAAAATCCCCTAAACAGCAAAAGAACATTTTCTCTTCCCATCTGCTTCAGAGGAAGCCAGTTCCTTTGTGTTGTTACTTTAAAGAGCGCTTCCCCGCATGCTTCTCTTTTAGGAGCCCTTTTCAGTTCATCAACAGAGGGAGAAGGAGGAAAAAATATTTATTTCCTAAAATCCTAAAATAGATTATTAAAGTGGAGCATGCTGTGATAGACAGGGACAAAATCCCTATGACAACCAAAGACATGCATAGAGAGATAGGGGGCGAGAAACATGACTGGTGTTCATAAATACAGAAGAAAAGAAAGTGGTAAATGAAATGGTAAGAGGCGGGTTTCTCTGGCTGCAGAGCTGTGGTGGACAATAGGTGCTACTCGTCTGTGTCCGTCCAGCAGCTGGTTCCTAATCCTCTTGGCAGAAATGCCTCTCCAATCCCCCTCTGCCTGCCTGCGCCACGCAGCAGACCTCCGGTCTGCATGTAGGACCCGCATGCAGGGTCTGCATCAGGGTTGAATGGTCAGATTACTCTGGTGCTCATTCTGCACACGCGCAGAGAACATGAAAGAAAAATACTGCAGTTTTTAGCAAGGAACTAGGAGTATAGAGGCTGCCTGCATAGGTAATAACATGAAGATGGTGTGATGTTTTTAGCATTTTAGCAAAATAGCATTTCATGCTATTTTATACTTTTTCCATTAAACTGGTTACTTAATGGTTACTTTGCAGCTTCAGCTTCTTTATGGTTAAGAATAAATATTATGGATCAAACTACATAGCAATATATATATATCTTTTCCAAACAAGTAGTAGCAACCGTGCATTAGTGGTGCTAATGTATCAGTAATTTTAATCTGAATACATGTTTTGGTGCTCAAAGTAAAGTATATTTAGATTGTTGGACTTGAGATCTTGAATGCAAGACGTTTACTCATACGTGGCATTGCTAGTTTCAATTAAATGTAGGGTTGCTAATGCTCTCTGACATTTTTGTTGTACATGATGGAATTCTCAATAAATCCCCAGAACAATCAATTAATAAAATGCTAACAAAAATAAATAAATCTGTAGCCTTCGCGGAACTGTTAACATCCAATTTACAGCAAGCGAGATGGTTTTGCTTTTTTTAGTCTCCATGACTGGATTTAGCTGTTGCCCAAAGGATAATACACACCAGGATTTTTGTTCATGGCGCTTTATATATTGCGATATTGAATTGAATATTGTCACATTTCCTAAAATAATGTCCCGTCATTTCTTCTGGTTCTTCAGAAAGAAAACATATCACGTTATGTCGTTATATAGTAGAAACGCATGATCTGTTTGATTTAGGCGATTCTACCAGAGATCATTTAGGCAACAAAATGATTTTAGTCAAAAAATGACTTTTTTCCGTACGGTGACGATACGTATTATTATAACAAATCTTACAGAGTATCTTTAGCTAAAGGTTAGCTTAGCAGCTAAGATAACTTACTAGCTAGCTAGCTTTAGCTGTAAATTGATTCTGACTATTGTCTGTATAATTATGCTGTATGTACAGTAAATATACATATGTGATCAACAAGTGACCTTTTGTTTATTTATCCCATTCTGAGCATTATCAACGAATCCCAAGAAACGTCTACATATGAAAAGCAGAATTGTCGAGATAACCAGCTGAACGTGAGTTATACAGTCAGTTTTGGTAGTGAGGCTGTAACTATACGTAACGCAAACAAGTTACGTGGTATCTCAGTCACCTAAACCTCTGCCCTAGACGTTCATGTGGACGTGTGGGAATAAATCGTGTTGGGTCGTCGTGGCGCAGGGGGTAGAGTGGGTGCGCAGGTGGTTCGAGTCCCGGCTGCCTCATGTCTCAAGTTGAAGTGTCCCTGAGCAAGACACCTAACCCCTAATTGCTCCCTGGGCAAAATGTAAAAAGCCATGGGTTTGGATAAAAGCGTCAGCTAAATGACCTGTAAATAAAAAAGTAAAGAGGCAAGCATTTTTATCCTGATGTTTCTGTCTCAGGCTTCCATTTAAGAGGGTCCTTCAAACCGCATCAGGGTTTTTTCCCCTCAGAGGTTTTCTTGAGCTGGAAAATAAAATTGTAAGTGATGTAGCAAGAAAACTCCCACTACATACGCCAGCAGCATCCAGCCGCTTCCACGATTTCACACTCGGAGGAAAGAGGAGTGGTGTGAAGAGACACAGGGAGAGAAAATGTTTGGATTCTGCAGAAGTATATGCGATTTGTTTTTCCTCCTGCTGGAATTGGATTAAAATATTATACATTTGATTTGTATTTTCAGACTGTGTGTCAGCAGAGAGATGTAACGTGAGGGGAATTATACCTGAGTGGGGAAACAAAACCGATTTGATAACGAGGCAACACTGTTGTTCAGAGATTACGATAAAGCTTTGAGCCACTTTCTGTCGTTTGAAGATTTTCCACAGATGATTATGATTGTGCTCCTCTTATGCTTAATGATCTTCTTACTCACCTTAGGGCAGCTTGAATTCTTTCACACATGTTCAATAAAATCAGATTTGCCTTGTCAAACTCTCACAGTTCTCATGATCCAGCAAGTTTATGCTCAACAGCAAACTGCTGTTTGACGTCTCTGTTCTATAAATAACAACGGCCTGAAAAGTTCTACTGTATCTAAAGGCAGAAGGATTATATGATTTGACCGGGTTTTGCCCAGTTTATTAAGTAGATGGAAATTATTCACGGGAGATTGCACAAGACTGTACTTTGCCTGCTTGGGAAAATCTTATCATGTCTGACTGGAGGACCTAGTGGAGCTACTTGCTGATTCTACAAGAGAATATTTTAATTTGTAGATATAAATGGTGAAAAGAATCCAATCTATGTTCATTATTTATGTTTTTTTTGGGGGGGAATCCATTTAACATTTTTTTTCATTTTTGTATGCGTCAAAAAAATGAAAATGAATCCATTCAACCAGTTAATCAGCAGCTATCTTTACAACAGAATGTCAAACATTTGCTGTTTATCAAATGTAGAAATGTGTCGCTATTCTTTGTCTTTTGTGACAGTATATAATATCTTTAGGCTGCTTTTTCATAGATAAGGCATTTAAAGACATCAATTTAGGTTTGAGCAAAATGTGAAAGCCATTTTCCAAAAAGGTGTAGCTTTGTCTGTATTGACAATCATTTCTCTGCTCACGGTGTTATCGGGAATTCATTCTATCAATTTAATTTGCCCACTTTGGGTTTGGGACTAAACAAGGATTTATAAGTGCTGAGAAGGACAGGTGTTTGTTCTTACATTTTATAAACCTAAATATGAAGGGGTGAAATAATATGTAGATTCATTAAGGATGAAAACAATCAGCAACTTTGTGCACCCCAGTACTGAATATTATCATACTTCAGAAATTCATATTTTTGACCTTCTTTCTGTGGTTGAGCATTCGCTCTTCCAAACACCTATTTACACAAAATATAAATCCCATACAAGTTTCTCATTATTCATTATGTGCCCCAAATTCAACTGAATCGTTAACACAATTATACATCTTAAATAACTGGCATCGAGTTTCAGCATTTCTACTGTTACCAAGAAAGACTAGAAGACAATAACTTGTGGTGCAAATTTGACATCTTTTCACCAGAGATATGTGGACTGCCTCTCCACATACTGCTCCCTGCAGCGATCCTGCAGCGATCCAACATTTAATCAACACACACAAACCTTTCCATTTAAACCCCTTCCTGTATTGAAACCAATTCAATCGATAATGTGTGGAATTGAGGGTGCTTTAACGATTCCCGGATTCAGTTCAGTCGCCGACTAAAACATCTAATCCACTTGACGCATTGACAAGGCAGCAATTAGCCTAAATAATCACCTGCAAATGACATTGGCTACAACTGCTGCCAGCGGAAAAAACAGTGAGTAACTGTGAATTTGTGGGGCAAGAGAACACAACATTCACTAGTAGTGCATAAATAGAAGTGGGGATTTAGGTCTCCCTCCCTGTGTGCTGTGAATGAGTGTGTTCTTCACAGTAGGGGTAAGGGATCAGCACCGGGGACGGTGGAAACACTGTGTAAACCTCCATAAGAAGACAATGAAGCCCTCATGGGGAACACGGCTTAACAAAAGAACGTCGGCAATAAATGTTCCATTTAAAACTCGTCACACATGCTGTTGGGCCGACAGAAACGTGCATTCCGGCGTCGGGAGGATGATCCTTTGACATTACCTGCTCTGCTTCTCGGTCTCCAGCTTGTGACCCCTGGACTGGGCCGTCCTCGCAACTGCACCTGTGAGCCAAACACAGAAGAGAACGAGGGCAGCATCCACCTGCATGGTTCACATTCCCCAGAGGACGGACCTCTCCTGCCAGTCAGAATTTAATCCCCTCGAGGGTTCAGGGGGAGCACCCTGCTTTGCTGAGACATTCCCTTCTCCAGCGCCGGAGCTGATAAGAAGGAGTAAAAACAGCCACAGCAGCAACAGCTACACGGAGCTATTCTGCGGCCTGAGTGGAAAACATCCTACGGTGCTTAATCTCCACAGTGGGAAAAGCAATTTTGACTAAACCCATAAATCCTTGAGCGTCAGATGGTACAGATTTGATCCTCTCCAGTGGCGGATGTGCCTGCCTCTCTGCGCTCCGCTCCGCTCAGATATCCTGCACTCTGATGTGCTCTCCTCCACTTTGCACCGCCCAGAAACACCAACACGCTCACAGTGATGCGGCGCACTCATTCGTAAGGTCAACGGTTTAGAGACGCAGACTCACAGAGGCTGAGTGGGAGCTCTGTGTCTGACGTGGAACGCTTCCCAGCTCCGTATGATGTGAATGTGAAATGTGGACTTGTTTTTACTGTGGTACCTTTTTTTTTTCCCCAGCGGACTCAGATTCGAGAATATTTCTGCAATTATTTCTGCAAATACAGCAGAAATAATGACAGACGATTTTTTTCAAACAATTGACCTAGAATCCTACTTCATTTAGAGGATATACAATATGTACTATTAAGCCACTGTGTTTGAATATTTTCTAAATTGTTTTTTGACAACGCTTTGTTCGGCTGCGTTGTCAAACGGCGAATAAATACAGGACTACAAGCCGACTGACGATCACACACCAATCGAGATGCTTCAACAAATGCATGAGGATAAATAACGGGTATATTTTCAGTTTAGCAAAGCACCAGAGGCTTTGTCTGTCAAGGCGTGCTGCACATCTGCATAAACCAATCAAATAAACGTCTCAGCACGTTATCAGCCATGTGTCCTCCTTTATTTTCTTTTTTTTTTAGGAGACTGAACAGTTGGATTATACGTTCATGAATTTGGGTTAGGTCCATGAACGTAACATGTAACATTAGACATTGTTTGTGTTTTAGACCTGTGGATCCTCTTTTACAGTACAATTTTATTGACGATGTAGAGGTCTATTTTTTTTTTTTTAACTCTACAGCGGTGTTAAAATTGTATTTGATAAGGTATTAAATGCAACATCTCCAGAATATTTTAATATGACAAAGACCAGAATTCTGACCAACGGCTTTGAAATAAACCTGCCACATCACTACGTCTTACAATTGTGTTTACTAAGTCATTTACTAAATCAAATGAGTTAAGCTAAGGAATGCTGGTACCACTAGTTATCCGCAAAAAAATATATCAATATTAATATTTGAGCGGAAAATAATCTGAGAATGATATTTAGCAACATAAACATGCAACAAACAAAAAAGTCTGCACACCGTGTCTTCCACAGGAAATATCTATTTAATGCAGAGTGGTATTTAGTTATGACAGTAAAGCATTTGCTTGAGTCAATCATGCAAGTGAAGTTTTTCTTGTCTATCTAGAAGGCGTACATGATATTTCATAGGAGAAGAGAGTGAAGCGTCTATCTTTACATTTATTAACGTTTGATTAGTATTTCCTTCAATTTGGCTTATTATTCGCTAGTTCTGCTTGGAACATACATTTTGTTATACAATAAATCCCACAAGTGTATTTTGTCAGAAGATACAATAAGCTAATTGGTCTTGCCAATACATCAATCAATTTTTAAGAATTATGACACCAAATTGTCTAAGCTCCCATCGTGGAAGTATTATGACTCATATTTTCAGTATTTAAATGCCTCATAATTTATGAGGTATTTAAATACTGATAATATTTACTTTGAATTTTCCAAAAAGAAAGGGATGCTAATTGCTATTACCGCAACAAAAACGAGGTCTTTATCCTCCTTGCTAACGTTAGTTGTCATCAGTAACACCAAGTCACCAGTAGGCTTCTCCTGAAATAACCCGTTTCTTTGTTTCCACGTAGAGCTACGTCACGCTCTTGCGTTAGCCAATGAACGGGAGCCAGGGTCGGCATGGTGCCGACCCTGAGTATAGTCTGTCAGACCTACAGACGCTCTCATTTGTCTGCAGTAAACCATCCACAGAATTGGTAACATATTTTATACGTTGTATTTAAGTGCTAGAGTATAGCGATGATAACGTTTCGGGCATTGTATAACACATTACTTTTTAATCATAATCTGCCAGGCGAATTCCGCACCTGACAGACTTTGGTCGGGGAAAATTATGCCCTTTCTTTCCGTTTCGTCATTGGCTCGCGCAATACTGGCGGGGCATTGTAAAGTTTACCGAGGACCGATAGCTTTAACAACAAGGTGTTTACCGAAATGTTTCAACGGAAGCGTCGCTTGATTTGATTTTGAAAGCAATCGGATTACGCAAATGACAACGAGGACTTTAATACGCACGCGAATTAAAGTATAAGAGCAAATTAAGTAAAATAAAGTCGGTTTTAGCTCAATTGTAAGTTGACAGTTGAGCTAATGTGGATCGCGCTGCGTTGTTGTGAGCTAACCGCCTTTGCCCATCGGGGCTGAAGCGAGATGAGCTCTTCACGGGAGATCAAACGTACGTTTTGACGACCACGCTTGTGAGGTGTCTGTTAAGCACGTTTGTTTTTGATCGTTCACACTGTTGACGTGCCGTTTGCTCCGTGTGCTGTTTCTCTGCAGAGCTGCAGAAAGCAAAGAGCAAAGCGCAGAGCAGCAACAATTTACGAGAGGAAGCAAACATCTGCAATCTGCTGGGAGAACTGCTGGCCAGAAGCGGTAAGTCAGGAGTTTTCAAACAGAAACTAATAATGCTGATTATTCACAGTTACTCATGTGATAGATACGGATGGAGTGTTCTCTTATTTGGACCCACCTGCAACTTTGCAAACGTGGCCTGTGTGCATTTACTAACTAACCAATCAATATATTCACCATACCTTCCTGTAACATAGGCCACGCTGTTCAGCTTCAAGTTGTGATCCATCAGCAGTTTTGAGCTATCATCTGTGCATCATTGTGAAGCTTTCTGGTTCTTCTTCTTCTTCTTCTTCTTCTTCTTACGTGCGTTGTGTGTCTCAGGTGATTATGAATCTGCCATAAGGGAGCACCAGCAGGAGCTGTCTCTCTCCGAGGTGCTCAACGATGTGATAGGACGAGCCGTGGCCCATCGTAAGATAGGAGAATGCTGCGCGGAGATGGGAAACATTGAGGCTGCTCTGAAAGTGAGTAGATCTTTGTTATAGAATCCTTTTCCTGGCCGGTAATCCAATTCTGAAAAAGTTGTAAAAGTGATACAAACATAGAGCTCAGCATGCCGGCTCATATTAAAACTTGTGTGTCTTCCTCTTCTTCCTCAGAACCAGCAATGTCACCTGGACCTGGCTCGCTCAGTCGGAGATTACGCTGAGGAGCAAAGGGCGCTGGCCACTATTGGGAGAACCTACCTCTTCCGTTACGAATCGGACCAATCGAAGAACAGTCTGAGTCAAGCGGAGGAAGTCTTCAAGAAGAGCCTGTGCATCGTGGATGAGCATCTTGAAGGTCTGCACTGTTTCCATGCACTGGTTTCTATCCTCTCTATTCAATTATCAAGTGTCCATAGATTTAGTAACGTGTGTTTCAATATTTTCCTTTCTTCCAGGGACCGTGCCAGAGCGAGAGATTAGGGAGATGAAGGCACGCCTCTTCCTCAATCTCGGACTGGTCTGTGATCATCTAGGGGAGCACAAACGCTGCAGCGAGTTCATCAGACGAAGTGTCTTTATCGCAGAGTAAGAATATCTTAATAATGTAAAAAGAAATAATAACAATAAAAGGGTTTCATTTTCACTGACCGTGTACAACAAGGATTCACAATAGATTGACGTAACTTACTGTTAATTCTGCTTTCTCTGATCCTGTAAAAGAAAGAGTCATTTGCTGGAGGATCTCTACCGGGCAAACTTTAACCTGGGCAACATTTACTTCCGTCACGGTCAGTGGTCTAAAGCCGTGCGCTGCCTTGAGCAGGCCAAAGAGTGCGCAAGGAAGATCAAAGACAAGTTCAGCGAGAGCGAGTGTTTTCACTGCATCGGCAAGGTACAAACCAATTACTGAGAAGGTTTTAGCAATATCCTATTCGTTTAGACTTATTTATCTGTACATTTTTTTTAAAACTAATCCATCTCCATGACTTTTCCCCCCCACAGGTGCAGCTGTCTTTGGCTGATTTTGTGGCAGCTAGACGATCTCTGAAGAAAGCGGTTCTTCTGGGCTCCCAGCAGCCACTAGACCGTCAAACAGTGAAGCGCGCTTTCAAATATGGTATTCAGAGTCTTTATGATTACTGTGATTTATCACTTCTTCCCCCCCCACGGAGAGCTGACGGAGTGGTTTGTTTCAATTTTATAGCGGATCTGGGTTGCAAACTGGAGGAGGAGCTGGGGGAGGATCCGGTCAAAGGTCTTGGCTCCCATCGCGCCGTGGGCCTGGCGGAGCGGCTGGGGGACCTTTACTGTAAGGTCGGCTGCTACGGCAAAGCTCTGGATGCATATCAAGCTCAGGTACAGAACAACCTCAGCGCCCAATTCAACGTGTATTTCCGAGATGTAATGAATGATGTCGAGTTGTGTTTTCGACGCGTTGAAGCTGGCGGGCGCCGAGGCGTTGGGGAAGCCCGCGAGGGAGCTGGCTGTCATCCACGTGTCCCTGGCTGCGACCTACACGGACCTCAGACAGCACAGCAAGGCGGTGGAGCACTACAGGCAGGAGCTGGCTCTGCGACAGGGCAGCCCCACTGAGGTATACACAAACTATATCTTCACCCAACATTACCGTCTTTTTTTCCCCCTGAAATGGGCATTTTATGATCATAGTGATATTATCTGGGTTTATGACTACATGTTAGTCATTATGAATCACGGATGTACTTCAGCTAAATCACCTTTATGATTTAAAAAAGATGAACTGCTAGGTAATAGATTGTTAGGAATACCTCAGACGGTCTTACCGTCCGCATCATTTCTAGTATCAGAATAACTCTGCCGTGCTGTTGAATCACCCGTTTGTGTGGCTATCAGGAGTGTGGTACCTGGCTGAACATCGCAGCAGCTCAGGAAGAGAGCGGCTGCTCTTTGGAGGAAATAGAGAGCAGCTACGGCGCGGCCGCCGACTGCGTTCAGAAGGCCGGACAAACCAGACTTCAGGTGAGCGACTGAAAGCTCGCACATAGCTGCCCCGGGGAAAGAACTGCCAATACATTTGCTGTGTTTTTTTAAATAATCCTACTTTCTGGAGGTGCTCATAGCAGATGGCGTGTGAAAAGTCTCTCGTCTCTCCAACAGAAACGCGCGCTGAGGCTCTGGCTGGCGGCGCAGAGACGGCGCGGCTCCTCGGGGGCGGAGGACACTGAGGCGAGGCTGCAGGAGCTGTGTGCAGCGGAGGGCTGGTGTCCAGATGGAAGCGATGGTGAGGGCGATGAAGAGGAGGAGATGGACAACAGTGAACCTCTGGATGACAGCGACGTCGTCCTCTCAGACTCAGGTAGAACTGGAATTCTGCGCTCGAGGACATCTGTGGACAAATTATGAGATTTTGTATCATGTATATCTCTGTTTGGTCACATGTGTCTCACATGACTTTTCGTGTGGTTTCTAGACGATGATTTGGAAGGTTATGACAAGATGGTGTCAGGAAGAAGGAAGGCAGGAAGGGTGAGGGATCATATCCGTTGTCATTTATCTCAAGCAGTCTTCTCATCTTTGTGTTAAATGTTTTCAATGTTTTACCTTCTGCTCCTTTTTGTATCTGTTTTCTACTCCAGTGGAACAAGAGGAACGAGAAGGGCGAGACAACTCTGCACCGAGCTTGTATAGACGGGAACCTCAAGCAGGTCCAGTATCTGGTGGAACAAGTGAGAAAAGAATACTTTAACTTTTTTTTATGGAGAAGACAAAATTGTTCTGCAGTAAAATCCTCAGTTAAAAGTGAATCACATCCCACTGAACAGTCTAGTCCAATAACACGACTTATTAAATATTTACCAGATGAAAAACACATGAAAAATGAATTGTTGAGACTCTGCTTGTCGCCATGTCAGGGACACCCAGTGAACCCCAGAGATAATTGTGGCTGGACACCCCTTCATGAGGCCTGCAACCACGGTCACTATGGTAACTAATTCCATATTAATTTAATAAAACCATGTTTAAAATGTTGCTTCTAAAACACAATAAAAAGTGACTCGTCCATTCTCCTCCTCATGCAGACATTGTGTCGGTGCTTCTGGAATACGGCGCTAACATTAACGATCCTGGAGGACCCTCGTGTGAGGGGGTGACACCTCTGCACGATGCCCTCTCTTGTGGGCATTTTACAGTTGCAAGACTCCTGGTGGAGCGAGGGGCTTCTGTCACGCAACGCAACTCTAAGGTGTGTGTGTGTGTGTGTGTGTGTGTGTGTGTGTGTGTGTGTGTGTGTGTGACAGACAGTTGCCAACAACTTTAATTTGTTTATAACGTTAGTATAGCAGCAGCTATTTGCAATGCAAAGCTAATTTGTGTTAGTTCGGACTTCCTGAGTCCCTCTCCCTCTGGGTGTGTCTCTGCATTGTGATGCTCTATCTTGTGTTTCCTTTTGGAAGCCGATCCCGTCCTGCATACGAGTCCCCGCTAGTGTGTCCCTCTGCGCTGCGTTAATACAGCAGTTACTGATAACCGGGTCCCGGCAACGCAAATCTGTTTGCCGATGGCTCTAACATGCGTGCGTCTTTCCCGTGCTCTGTCTCTCAGGGGGAGACGGTCATGGACACCCTGCATAAGTGGCAGCGGACATACAGGAGGGAGTTGGACGAGGACACCAAGCAGGAGTGCGTCACTACAGAGGCAGTGCTAAGGAAGGCTCTTGCAGGGGGAGGTGAGGGTGTTTACATCATCGACAGTTTGGCCTTTTTTAAATACCCTTTCAGTTTCTGTTGTTTACCCCCTTTATCTCTGTCTAACACAGTAACCGCCGCTCCGACCCCAGCCAAGGCGTTTGGTGCGCTGCAGGACAGCCAGCTGTTTGATGCTGAGATGTCGGAGCCGCTGCTGTCCTCTGGAACGGGTTGTCCCTCCAGCCAAGACCGGCCCCGGACCAACAGGAGTACCGAGGTGAAGGCGGCGCCTGCCAGCCCGACGCGGTGGAAGAGCAATGGCTCTGCGACGCGGCACAGAGCCAGAGGAACAGAGGCTGCTGTCCTGTACGGGGTAATGTCTGCCAAATGCCTCTTCAAACCACAAAAGAAACTCACAGTACTTGAAAGTTGTATGTATCTTTCTTAGTATCAGCTTTAGTTCAAACCTTAATGATGAATGCTTTTCAATTGGATAATCCATCCTCTTTTTTTATGCTGCTAATTTGGGTCCATCGCATCTTAATAATGAGGTATTGTAGGAAAATAATATATATAATCCTATAATAATTAATCCCTTTCCATAGGGAAAAGTAGCCACCATTCCATCGTACTTTTATTCTTTAGAAGGTGAAAGAAGTACTAAACAGCATGCGATGTAAGTCCCAAATGTTCTTTGATTAACTTTGTTACACCTGTAGAAACCCTCCCTCTGAAAACTGAATCCATTACATCTTCAATACCCGTACGTGATTGGTACGAATGTCTTCCCTAGAATCAGAGCAGCTCCTCAGAAGACAGCGACAGCGACTGCCCGGTGAGTCCTCTCCATGCCGTACGCCCCAGACACGCCTTCCCAGCAGCCCCGAGTCAAAAGGAAGCCCCGGCACACCGGGAAAACAACGCGGCCCCCAACTCCGGTCGAGAAAGTCTGCGGGAGGCACCCGGCCCATCTGTGTTTGCGCGGGAGGAGTATCACAGTGCCATTCGAGGCGTAGGCAGCGCCAAGACCCTTCTCCAGGGTCTGTCCCAGCCCCAGTACTCCAGCACAGCCGCCGTTCCATCCAGCAACAAATCAGCCCTGGTTCCCGAGGAGGAGTATCTGGCTGATGACTGGCTGGAGGATGATTTGGGGGAAATCCAGCCGAAGAAGAAGAGGCGGCTTGGAGCGGATCAGAGTGAGATGAGACGGGAGGACACTGCTTTATCCTCATCAGCAAGAAGCCAAAACCGGCTCTTTAACTCTGACACAGCCAGCAGAAGTAATTACTTTTGTTTTTTTGCCTCATTTTATTCTCCCTCACATTTCTTTGCTTATTTGTACTCTTCCCTTATGTGCCTCCTTCCTCCCGTTCTGCAGTTGCCTCATCCTCCAGCAGGAGTCTCTCTGTGAAAAAGAACAGCTCTCTGAAGCCTCACCAGGTGAAAATGACTCAGATGCCAGGGATGGTCAGGTTGGGCAGGCGAGAGGTCAACAGGTCACACAGCCCAACAGTTACAGACGACGAGGACATGAGACCGGAAACTCCACCCCCCCCACAAATACTCCTGCAGGTGAGAAGAAGATCCTGTATCGTGGCCCCCTCGTGGGGTCAAGTGGGATGGGGTTAATATTTTGACGTGGACGTCAGTGTCCATGCCGTTATTTCCGGTTTTGCTAATATGTGCATGTTTTTATTTGTCAATTTGTTTCAGCCTCCAGCTCAATGTGTTGCTGCTTCCATGCAGAGATCACTGCCTCCACCAATCAGAATGAGGGTCAGAGTTCAGGAAGATGTTTTCCTCATCCCAGTTCCACAAAGGTTGGTGTACATGTAACTTTTGAGGGGTCCGACATTACACCAATAATGTCTGCTTACAGATTTAACTTTAGCTCCAAGGATCACGCTGGTGCTTTTGCCTTTTTAATCCATGCGTCTTCACCCCGCTGTCTTGCAGGGAGGCGGACTCCTGCACTGTGTCCTGGCTGTGCGAGCAGGCCGCTCAGCGGTATTACCAGAAATGTGGCCTCCTGCCTCGCCTCTCGCTGCAAAAGGAAGGTGCTCTGCTCTCCCCTCAGGACCCCCTGCTGGCTGTCCTACACACCAATGAAGAGGCAATCCCCCTTTTTAAGAAAAGTACCTTTTTTCTAATGTTGCTTTCACTCTTTCTAAAGCTGTGTTGTGCTGCTGTAGGTTCTGGCGGAGGTTTCCTCCTGGGATCTGCCTCCTCTCCCGGAGCGCTATAAGAAAGCGTGCGACAGCCTGGCAGTGGGTGAGCAAGTGACCACGATTGCCCACAGAGGCGGACGCGGACGCTTTGTTCGCTCATCCTCTTTTGTCTCCGCCGCAGGTGAGAACAAGCGCGTGACCCGGCTGTGCGAGGTGCAGGACGGGAGCTCCTCCGTGTCGGTTTGCGGCCTCAGCTTGGCGGCCTCCTGCCTCAACCCGCTCCTCCGCGCCCTGAAACTGCAGGCCAGCCTCACCGAGCTGCGTATTTCCGGCAACCGCCTCCACGACAACCTCGTCCCCGAGCTGGTCGCCGCTACGATAACCATGCCTCGGCTTCGGCTGTTGGACATTTCTGCCAATGGCATCACAGGGGACGGGCTGGAGAAGGCAATAGATGCTTTAAAGGGACAGAGTCATCCTGCGTTCCCGGTAAACAGCCAGACCGGATGTTTTTGTTTGTATTGTCCTTTTCGTTTTGTCTCACAGCTGAGTTGGAGTTTGGATCCAGATACTGGTTGGATTAGAAACATTTTATATTTTCGCCCAGTCTGAACTACAATTGAACGTCTTTATAGAACGCTCCCCGGTTGAGCGAGATCTGTGGAATAGAAACAACATGTTGCCGTTGCCACTCAGTGCTGTTTGTGTTCGCTTCCCCTCACAGTGCCTGGAGGAGCTTGACCTGAGCATGAACCAGCTGGGGGACGGTGTGTCCGAGAGTCTGTCCTGTCTGTTGTCCTGCTGCCCTCTGTTAGCCAAGCTGTCCCTGCAGGCCTGCGGCCTCACCGCTCGCTTCCTGCAGCAGCATCGCCTGCTGCTGGCCAACGCTCTCACAGGTGACTGAAGCTGTTAAACTGTTTCGTGAAGCAACTCGGATGGGAGACTTATTTGAAGCCGTGACTTGTTGAGTTGTTAGCGTTGACGCCCATTACTTTTGAAAGGTGAGACTAGTGTGTGTGTGTGTGTGTGTGTGTGTGATAAGCAAAATAAATAATGCTCTTAACACGATTGCCACCTGTTAATGAAAACTTTTTTTGAGAGAGCTTTCATAAAAAAGAGAGAACGTTTCCTGTTTTTGAATGTGCTAGAAAGGACAAATGATAGTATTAATGTACAAGTCAATTTGTATCGAGTACCGATCAATATCTTCTTTTAAAGCTTTAAAGAAATCGTTATTTGTTTTGTTTTTGAATAATGAAATATACAGTACATAAACCGATTCAAATCCTTTTGATTTGACAGGAACCGGCCATCTGAAATCGGTGTGTCTATCCCACAATGCACTGGGCTCCACTGGCTTTGAGCTGGTGTTAAAGACTCTGCCGCTCCACTGTCTCACACACCTGGACCTGTCTGCTGTCTGCAGGGGTCCGGCAGACTATCCGGCGCTGGAGCACCTTGCCAAAATCCTGTCACAGGTAAACACACTAAAATCCCGTTCTGTACTCTTAACACAAATATTTCAATATATGGATGTAATTCCTGAGTGTAACACTTCAGAGCTTTATGTGTAACCCGACACGACACAATCAAATCATTGGTGTTGGTTCCAGGATGAGTGTTCGCTGACCCACCTGAGCCTGGCAGCAAACGGGTTGACGGACAGCAGCGTGGCCACCTTGGCCAGGTGAGTGTGTGCCCTCCTGCATTGTGATGATAACTACTGTGGAATCATGTCTTCGAAGTATGCTGTCAAACATGTGTTGAGAATATCATGCATCATGGATCAACATAAAGCTCAGGCCAGAGAAATCTTCACTTTGGGATTTTGGAGGTTTAATCTTTCGCTCCACTTCTTCTTTTGTCTGCAATCATCAGTTTCTCTATTAATAAAAGCGTCTGGTCTCTCCTCCCAGGTTGCTGCCTTCATGTCCCAGTCTGGTGAGTCTGAACCTGTCGGGTAATCCGTCCGTTACTTCGGCAGCGCTTCACAACATTCTGATCTCACTCAGAGAGGCCCGTCGACCTCTGACCCTTCTCAACCTTCAAGGTACCAATTTGAAAAGTGTGTTGTTCTTTTGGTTTACTTTGTCACAGCAATCTTGTGTTTCAATAAGTCCCAAGCTTGTGATGTCATTGAGTATAAAGCCTGCTGCTCGAAACTGATTTTGTTGGCCCCGACTTCATTTTATTCTTTATTCTCAACGCTTTATTTTATTTTTCTCAGTTGTGAAACATAAAATGTGCTCAGAACATTCCCCTGGGTGATCTATCTACTCTTTTCCAATAAATCATACGTAGCAGACACCACAAATGCCAGATTTATGACTCGATTTGAGGGTTGATTTTTCACGTTAACTCTTATTTGCAGACGGTTTGAGACCAAAGGAATAATTTGAACTGAACTTTGGTTATGCGAGTTTGTGTCGTGTGTAATATTAGGATTATTATCTTGGTACAAGAGGTGAGTTGATATAAGCTCCTTGCTGCTGCGCCCACAGGTTGTGAGGTGTCTGGCCCCTGGGACGGTGCAGGTCTGGCTGGTTTGTCGGAGCTGGTGAAGGATCTCCGTCTTTGCTCTCAGGGACTAAACAAGCTGGACCGGCAGGCGTTGAAGCAGAGCTGGGAAACGAGTCGGTCGCGCGGACGCTTCGTTGACCGAAACAGCAAGTGTCTGCTCTCCGCTGACGCCCCTTCTTGAGAGGGGGGGTGGGAAACTGAAATGTGTCAGACAGCGGCGGATCGTGAAGCGCTCACACCCAATTATGAGTCGTGAGGACATGAACACACAACTTGTGCCACAAAGTTGCTTTTCCTTTATGAGTCTGCTTCGTTAGCAAGTTGAGGCTGCACAGTTAAATCTTCGAAAGGAGCAAACTGCCAGTGGCATGGAATCCACGGACGTCCTGTGCATATGCCTCTATTTTGTACTCCTTATTTATGTGTGTTTGTGATAGTCTTACGTTTGTTCTGTGGGCAGCAGAGTGTTTGTGTTGTGATGCCCCCACTAGATACTGGATTGTACTATTTAATAAAAAAAAAAACATTAAAAAGATTCATGATACTTTTGTTGTTCAGTGTCCCGTTTTTTCATACCTTTTTAACCGATACGTTATGGTTCACATGAACCCTGAAGTGAAAATAATACGGGGTAAAGTTCAGTTTATACCTGGTGTTGGATGATGATGGATGACATGTTGGTTTAGTTGTTCATTTCGCCTCATTTTCACACATCGGCCTGAACAACTTATTGCACCTTCAAGTGTTTTTTGCTTTTCATTGCTATGGCGAGAAAAATAATGAACAGCTAACCTACGTGCCTAATCATATCTGGCCAGTGGTTGCAGATTCAATTTTCCCATCCCCTTTTTTAATTTGCTGATCAAATAAAATATACCGTGTCCTGAATGCATTTTACGTTTAGCTATTGTTTGAGTTCAGAAACTAAAGATAACAAATATCTTTTGTCAGCTTTGTATTCAGACTTATTTTGGTCATGTGTACTATAACATGTTTGTTACAACATTTTTAAAATGCTTAGCAGTGCAGAAGCAATTATAATAGGTATGACAAAAATGACTATTGAAAATTTGAAATGCAAACATTTATTGATAACTTCTTTCCACAGAAATAAAAACGTTACAGACATTGCAGAGTAGAAAGAAAGAGAGCTGGAAAAGATTCTTGATTATATATTTTTGATGCAGTTTCAATAAAGTAAAGTGAGTATCAATAAAGCAAAAATAAGTGATTGTTGTTCGTGCATACGACATCAGCGATAGACGTTCATTTCACTTGATGACTCGTCCTCCTTTTGATAAAAGAGAATGTCCGCAAACTCCTTTGGCCTAAAGAGAGCACATCAGAAAAAACAGGTAAATACAACATAATTAAAATGTTATGGAGAATCAGTGGAGAAAGATATATTGAAATGATTTTGTTAATCAACCTATTATGCTCATTTTCAGATTTATAGTTGTATTGTTGGGTTTCTACTTGATACTCCTGTGCTCAACAAACAACCCACTTCTGGATATACCTTTAGTGTACACTAATTATTACTGTGTAATGGCTTTGTGAATATAAACTATTTTAGATTACGTTGTTAGTTAATATAACGGCGGGCCGGTAACTCACTTGCAGGCTCTGGTATTGACACAAATCGTCCTCACGTCATCCGTGGTAGTGAACTCTTCAATTAGTTCTCCGAGGTGTTTCGTCACAAATCCTTTGCAGAGGGACTTTAAGTAACCCATTTCCCTGCAAATGGACTTCAACTTTGTTGTCACGGTCTGTGAGAAAAGAAGATTATCATCATAACATGATGCACCAACTAGATCATCGTGCTCACCGAGCTATCAGGCTTTGAGACTATATTTTACCTCTGCTGTGGCATTACGTCCAATGGCTTTCTTCACCTTCTTTAAAGCCCACTCGCACGCCCAGCAAAGACCTGGAAGCTGCAGATGATAGTGACACATTCTTAAAAAAACTGAGCAAAGGGATTAGTCCAAAAAATAACGTGTATATTGTGTAATAAAGTCTCTATGAAGTCAAAGTAAAACTAGCTCCACCACGAGCAGCTACATCAGTGAAATCACTTCGTGGAGGCTTTTACCTTTCCATTCACAGAGATTTCAACCTCCACCTGCTTCTGATCATCGATGTTGACCTCAAAGCTTCTGCCGTGTACAGCCCAGACTGTGGAGAGACAATAAAAAAACATTTAGAAGAACAGGCAACAGGACAAAGACGATGTTACGATCAGAACTACATCGGCTCACCTGAACACGCCGCCAGAATGCACACGAGGAGGACTGAAGAGGTTTCCATCGCTGTCAGTGAGCAGGGAGGTGTGGTGTTGTGCGTCTGCGGACAACACACCTTTTATACACAACAGAGGTGAGGGGCTGCAGAAACCTGCAAGCCCCCGGGCAAGGAAATTCACACCACAAGCAGCAGTTTCACGAGTGCTTTTTGTCGAAACCACTATCACACGATACGGCCTTCACACCTCCCACTCAGAGTTCCAGTTAATTCGCTGTCTTTGGTATTTAAATAAGTGATGGCATATGCCTTTAATTGTGGAAGCCCTATTCCACCACACGAAAAATAAGGGTTAGAAAGTCGAAATTATGACTTAAGAAAGTCACATTTTTCAGATAAAAAGTCAAATTATGACTCTGCAGCATTGTTCCTCATTGAGAAATTGGCAACAGTTCAATAAAGAGAGAACTCTCTTCTGACTTTTCAATCGCTACTAATCACGATAACTACGGAATAAATACCACCAGGAACGTATTTTATCTCCCTGGAAGTTTGATTTATTTCGGACTCTGAAAGATAATTTAGACTCCGCTAAAAGTCGTCCGTCCCTGTCCCCCCTGTTTGTTATGAGGGTGGAGTGAGTGGGTGCAAGTGTCCGTGGAACGTTTACAGCTCAGTAAAGTTGGTTGATATTCACAAATTCGGACTCAGCGAGACGTTTTTAAACACAAACGACAATCGGTGTGACCATAGACCGTAGTCACCAACCAAGTCATACTTTCGACTTTCTAACCCTTCTTTTTTTGTGTGGCGGAAATGGGCTTCCATATTTAATATTATACATGGTTTCTTAAAAAAAAAAAGAATGCATTTTGAGGCAGTTTGAGTCCACTGGCACGTTAGCAGCTCCGCGAGGCCGTGATCACACCTAATGTCAGCATGCGTCCATCCTCTTCCAGTTCAGCCTGTTAAATGGTAGCATCACTGGTTTTTGTGTTCAAGCGTATAGAGACGTTTGCACAACTTCACATGTGTTCTTTTCTCTTTTACATTGCTATGGTGAGAAAAAGAATCAACAGCCTGCCTAGATATGTAACTACATTGCGGTAAAAAACGGTAAAAAACCTCGTATTGTGTCAGCTTTGCAATCAATATGCTGTATGTTTGGTCATGTATACTATAATGTAGTTGTACCACATTTTAACACTGGTTAGGAGTGAAAGAGCAATTATGTATTGACAAAATGTCTCAAATGAAAAAAAATGACTGAAAATTTGAAATGCAAATATTTATTGATAAATTTGGTCCATGGAAATGGAAATAAATGTTACAGACATTGCAGAGTAGAAAGAAGGAGTATAATTGAAAAGATTATATCTAATTTTGATGAGTATCTGAGTATCAATAAAGAAAAATGAGTGCATCTTGTTAGCATGAGTTGGTACAAACTCCCCTTTTTGCCAAACAGACTGTATTTTAACTGTTTTCTTTTCCAGCTGTACTTGCAATGTTATTGTGTTCAATAACAATATACTGAGAATTATTATCACTCAAAAGTTGCATATTTTTATGCAACTAAATAGTGGTTTATATTTTTAAAAGAATAGACATTATGGTGAACTAAATAAATGATCATAAGTGGGTTCCATTCATATACGTTAAGTATTTTGCAGGACTGCATTTGAGTAATATTGACGACCACCATAACTCATAAAATATAATGAAATAACTGAGATAACTTAATTGAAGCAGTTTTCTAACGCTGTCAATTTGGCTTTAAGTCGACCATTGTAGGTTAGAGGCACATGGCACAGAGTAACACCCAACCTCCACTACAGCTGCGGTGAGACCAAGTATCATGTTCCTTGTATTACATGTGGCTGAGGTTGTGCATTGCAACGGGTTGGAAAAAAACTGGTCTACCACAGGTAGCTACTACATTTGTTTGCGCAGGTTTAGCAGTTGAAAGTGACACACAGCACTAACAGCAATGTGACAAATTCAGCCTTTGTGTTTCTTTCTGTTTCCAAGCATATTCAACCGTCAAAGCTACACCTTTCATTCGTCAACACTCACAACTGGAAACATGTCACCTTTTTTCAAACTAAATTAAATTGTTTAATTGAGTAGATTGGTTTTTACTTTGTGTTACGTTTTATATATAAAAAAACCTGCTCGAAAATCCTGCTTTTTTTACTACAACAGCTTAAACTCTGAGAAAATGTATCCGATGCACAATATTAAAATGTAACAAATGCAGTATATAAAAATGTATCCGATGCACTATATTAAAATGTAACAGATGCACTATATTGACTATTGTAATGGTAAAATATGTTATAACATTGTTTTGTGCTAAAGCCGTGTCTCAAGTGTCCTGTATTTGACCCTGATGTGCAAAGAGCAGCATGATACAAAATGTTAGTTTGCAGCTGTGCCCTGAGAAGGGAGGACGGTCGACTCGATCTCATAGAAGCTTCAGAACAAAGGACTTCTGTTCGTGGCCTTGGTTCATATCTTATTCTGTACGAAAGTTCCGGATCCAAGTTTTACTTTTATGTCAATTAATTATGATTTGCACCGGCCACTGAGGAGGATCTTGTGTGTGTGTGTGTGTGTGTGTGTGTGTGTGTGTGTGTGTGTGTGTGTGTGTGTGTGCGCTACCCTCAGCTTCACCTGGGTTCTTATCTCAACCTGCTTTGCAGCTTCTCGTAACTGGCACGGAGAATGTCCTCCACATGTGTATAAAAAAGCGTTTTTACTGCTCGGAGACGCCATTTCCCCAGAGCACCGTGATTCGTGCCTGTGTATTTGACCTCCTGCTTGCAAGCAATAAATTGACTTTTTGCAACTTTGATCATTCATCAAGACTCTGTTTTATCAGACAAATCATTCTCTTCTACCGAGCTTTTATTGAAATATTCCACAACACTATGCACTAATATTTTATTGATTTTTTTATTGGCTTCTAGAATGCAGTGCAGCAAGCTGTAAACAAACATATTACCACCTTATAAAGTAATGTGTGGGAAAACCATTAGACATTTACAAATGCAGCAGCCACGCTGCAACGTTAGAGTTCCTTTTGACTTATGTCTTTATTCACTCTCTATCAACTCCAGAGGGAACCTTAACTTCCAAATGCTCAAGTATGTTAGTTGTTGTCTCTGTCGGTCAGCTGTGGGGTGCCGAAGCAAACTGCGTACAGTTGGATTTTAGAGCTTTCTCACTGAAAACTGCTCTAGGATGAATTGAGGGAGAGAAGCCGAAACAATAAAGTCCCAGTCTGGAGAACCAAAAACTGTGAAGATTCCATAAAGCTCCGTTGATTCGAGACAAACTGTAGATTTGGGTTTGTGGCTATATTAAAGCCATTATTTGTATTTGCAGCAACAACCTGGTCCCCACAAATGCCCTTTACTTTAGGTGGATACAGTGGGAGTGGTGTGAGACGAGAGGGCGATGGCTAAGCAATCCTCCCGTGGTGGACAACACCTCCCACCCCATGCATGACGCTCAGCTACTTCGCCCCCGGTGTGTGAAGCAGAGGTTCTGAAGGTCCTTCCTGCTGCTTTCAGGCTGCACAACCACCCTAACCCAGAAAACACCTCAAACCTGCACAATACCAACTATCCTCGTGCAATAATAATGATAATAGTTCTGTCTGTATGTATAATATCTATCTGTAAATATACAGTCATATATAATGCCTATTCTTAATAACTGTTTTTGATATTGTTCCTTACACTGTGTCTCTTGTTTGCTGTGAACTTCCATGTTATGAGTCTAATAAAACATACAATAAAAATACCTTTCACTTACCCTGAGACGTTCAACTGCACCCAACTTCAGATTCAGTCAAAGTGTCAAACCATGTGTGAAAGTTTAACGTCTTCTCGCAGGTGTTACTTTGTCATTTCTCAGGCGTTTCGAGGTTGCTGCGACAAGCTCGACTGGGACCGGATACCGCTCTTTCTCCGATAAACCAACAGGCAGTGCTAGAGTCCAGTATTTGAGACCTGCTGGCATCCTGCAGTGGATCTTGCAGTGAAGAACTGGTGTTTGTCATTACACAGACATTTAAGAGGGAAATGGAATAAGCAAAGTGTCTGTGACTCGTGACACAATTTAAACATGCAAACAGTTGCTTAACGGAGTGCTGAAGCCTGTGAGGTTTGAGCTGGACTCTCACATGGTGACCTGTAGGGTGCAGGCAGAGAGGTCTGGTGGAACCAAAAGGGGGTAAATCGAACTGCGAGAAGGCGAGAGACAATCAATTGTTCTGAGGTAAAGATAAGTGATTGAACATAACATAAAAAACTGCTCCAGATGCAGACAGATGCAGTCTTCCTCAGCAGCATACAGATCATAAAGTAAACAGCGTCATTGGAGTTCAACCCTTTCTAAAGGATTAATAAATGACCACTGCTTGCTAATTTTAATGGCTTTTGACAGCATGATTCCATACCGGCCATGTGATTGAGAACCAAGCAAATCCAAACTAACAATGTGCGCAATGCACTGCCTCATTTCATCTGATTGATCTCATCCATGAGTCATGGGCTTTTTGTTTTAGAAAAGTACAACATGTAGCATGTAGATGTGAGGGGCTGGTGTAAAAGCTGAGACTAAAGATCAGTCTGTGCATTAAAGCTACATCTCACCTCTAATTGTCTAAAAGTCTTTCCTGCTGTGCAAATAGTTTGGGGTCTCAATGTGAATAACACAATCCATTCCAGTTAAGGAATCATTCCGAGACGCAGGAGATATGTGAAATATTGGACAGCTATTTTTATCTAATGAATTGCAGCGACTTGCAGCAAAAAAACAACTGACAAAATAAAAGATCAAAGTTCACTTATGGTTGTTGTGATAAAGAAGACATTTTAATCTTATATGTACAGTATGTACAATGTGGAGTTCTTGGACATTCAGCAAAAAATATATACTTTATCTATAATGATGCAACAACTCTCCAAAAACACACTTATCTGCAATTTGACCTGTGAGTGCTGTTCAGAGCGGCAGTGCTGAGAAAGAGAAAAAACACGTTTAAAGTTGTATTGTACTAAAATGTATTATTTTCTTTCATTTCTCACCGTATTAAATTCCCCATCATGTGTTAACGGAGTATTCCTAAAATCTTTTGGGAAACTCAAATGAGCGAAAACTAGAATTAAAGACAAGCCCAAACAATAAATCTAATATAATCTGTGTAAATGTTAAACTGTGTCCACTGACACACATATTCCTAGATTGTTCCTGGTTATTCAATTAAATCTGTGGAATTTAAGGTGATATATATATATATATATATATATATATATTTATATATATATATATCTCTTCTGACGTTAAAGGATTTTGTCATCCACAATAACCACACATTTTGGTCTAAAGGAATCAACATAATGTAAAAGCACAAAAAACGAAACTATTTCTAAGAGGAATGACATTGTTTGTGCTGAAGCCTTAAAAATGAATCATTGTACTGTGTATCATTGTAAGTGCTTGTTTCCTTTTCTTTGGCTTAAACGGGCAGACAGCAGTTCCCTTTAAAAGAAATAAACAGCTTGTAGCGGATTAAAGCTAAACGGAAAATAAACAAACACGTTGGCTCTATAAATTAAATGAAATCCAGTGAAATCTCATGTCGGTCTGTGTGTGTGCCGACAGGCAGTGAGGAAGGTGCTGACAGTCTATTTTTTCACATCCAACTTCAAATTTCTGAAGAGGCGAAGGTTCCCACTGGTTTCTTGTAGCCATGTTGCAGAATCAAGCCCATCCTCCTCTGACCTCCAGATGACCTTCTGTCGCTCTCTTTCACACTTCATCTGTCTGTTTCTCTCAGAGGATTTCCAGAACATCACAGGGCACGAAGCCTCTCTTCTTTCCACTCGCCACCCGGATGAAGCCGCTGTGTTCGCCCTCACTGCTCACACAGATCTGAGGACAAAGATATATATGAAAATTAAAATGAATCTTAATTAAATGGGATCACTGCATAGGATGGAACGTGGGATCAAACACTATAACATATGTGAGTAATTGGTGGCTCCAACCTCTCGTTATTTTGAAAATTCTATTGCCTATTGGTAAGTTTTGCTATGATTATGTGGTCATTATTAAGTTTGAGATGTTCTGAGTTTTTTTTGTCAGCAATTTCGTCAGCAAAGAAGTGATCAAACGAACATTTTGTATCTTCATGCTCGCTCTGACTCCTCCCAGCATCTTCCCCAGGGTTTGTGTGACAGGAAAAGAAAGGCAGCGCGTCACAGACTCATCTTGTCTTCCATGGCTTCATCTCCACTGGGGGTTACTTGCTTTAAGTCTGAGTTCCAACATGCTCAGGAAAATATGGTGGGAAAAGGAGCTTGATCTGAGCACAGCAGACACATCCCCCAAAATGCTAATCTAATGTTAGTTTCCTTGAAAGATCCTCTGCTCACGTCAAGCTGTCCAGTGAACCAGCACATGCAAGCGTAAGGGTTGCTGGAGGTAAGAGGCACTGCGGGGGCTGCAGGAGGGTAATGAGATGGCTGAAGAGCTGCTGGATAACGTGAATGGGATGTTCTCTAAAGGCTTGGTTGCCACACGGTGTATACGGTGTAACATGAAAGTTGAAATGTTCATGGTTGATACTTTTCCAACCCATCATAAGGGGACGCTCGTGTGTTGTGAAGCTTGCTAATGTTTGGCCAAACTAAGTCCTTCAGTAGTAGCAAATGCAGACCCGTAATAATCGGGTAAGATGATTTAGAAAATTAATAAACTATTTTAAGCGAAGCATCTTGTTCGGTCTCTTTTTTAATACTTTTCACTTTCACACAAGATTAGACTGACATTTAAGTCACTTAAAATATCACTCTGCCTGGCTGTAAACAACCCTCGTCATCTTCATAGGGTTTGTACGGTACCTGTCCCTCCTTCAGGGTGATCTGGCCTTGTTCTTTACAGCCAATGAACGTCCTGTTACACCTGAACACCTGGTCCTCGATCCGCACCTGATGAGCAAAGGCTGCTGGGAAGAAACCGATCCTGTCCTCAATTACCCCCTGAAACAACACATGAAAGGAGCCGACGTCATGAAGAGGTTTACAAACTGGCGGGTTGGTTGTACTTGGATCAAATTAGCTTATTCATAGCTGGTGCACGGACGTAAAAAAGGACATACGTCATCACTGTCATTACTTATAAGCATTGTGCTGCATGCATGTATTTAATCAGGTAAAGTATCAGTGGTCAAAGACCAAACGGGCCAGATGTCTTTGTTTATCTCCAGCCTGTAGAGAACAGCAGCAGAGTTAAAATGCGTGATGAGTTTCTTCACGGTCTGGTGGCAGCCGGCAGCCTGTGCAGTAACGGTTTGGCCCTTTTGTCTCCATAATTTATCTGCCAAGCAGTTCTGTCCCAAGGCAGATTGTTGCCTCTCGCCTATAATTTACAGCTAGAGTTCCTGTAATTTATCAATCCTTTCCTTTGTGTGTGGTGGTAATATGTCGGTTTCGTACCTACCTTCCACCAGTCATCGTTGGAGTCATCAGCCACCAAGATTCTGTCTCCCGCTCTGCATTATGGAGCAAAACAAAGGAACAACTACTAAAACAAAAGGCTTTCTCTTTACTGCATAGTCATATAAATCCATGCAAATAACAGAGTTCCTCCACGCGGCGGGTCACACTGACCCACCTTAGCCCAGTGCTTCGGTGGTGCATGTCTGTGAACACATTTCCATTAAATCAAATGGCAATAGAGGATCATCGAGTGGGGAAGATAATTCATTTTGACCTTGCACCTTTTAGCATTTGCCTTTGTCTGTTAGCATGACATCATGTATGTAGCAATCACGTGCATATGTGCTCCCCATCCAAGCAACAAGGGGTAAAGTAAAGATGGAAATGTGTTTGGTTTGTCTGTTCTGGTTCAGAAGCATAGCAGCGCTACACGGTACAGAGCTTAGCAACGCATACAAGTTAATGTAGGTGTGGTTGACAATGAGAAGGACTTCACCTGTCCACCTGAGCTCTTTAGGAAGGCCTTATGGACAGACATTAGAAAACGTCTTTGTGTTTTTTTGTTTTATCCTTTTTGCTAGAAGTAATTCTTTTTGGCCCAGGAAACAAAGGAGTCATTTTATTCCCTGGCCGCATGCACCTTAATTACTGTTTGAAGCCGTCAGCTAATTTGACCAATAAAAATTGAAAGGTTTGGGCCAAATGTTGGTTTACGCAATTTCCCCTATTTTCTTCCTCCTGTTGTTCAGTTACAATCCTAAGTGTCCTTTGCCTGGTATGATCCTCATGACTCAGAAAACAGTCTTTATTGTAGATGAGAAACAGCGCTGCATCTGACATTGTAAATACTTCTAAGATGAAAACACAGTAGAGACACGTTGCTTAGAAGAAAAACAGGAAATGTGTCATGTACACATCTCCTAGAAGAACCCTGCGTTCACATCCAAACGAGAGCCATGAAAATGAGAAAAACTGTTGGTGAAATCATTTTCCATTAAATAACAAAAAGGAAGAGTGGGTTTCCTAATTCTGGGATCTAAAACCATCATTACAATCACCACTTAGTCAAAAGGAAATGGAGCATGTGGCTGCAGCTAAAAGTAATCACAAACAAATGACAACTTTTAATTAAAGATTCCAATCCTCCCGTCATTTGTGCTTTCTGAGTAAGTGTTTCATTTACCGGTACTTGATTACTGTTTTCAGCACACACCCAGCATAGAAAAGCATTGATGTAAGCTTTCATCAGATCGTATATTTGAAACATAACTTGGTGAATTTAGCAGGTATCACTGGACAGGGAATCCAGGAGGAGAAGTCAATAAATAATAAATGAGGCTGGACAATGGACGTTTTTCTTGACATATCCTTGTGTGTGTGTGTGTGTGTGTGTGTGCAGGAAACCGAGAGAGGGAACAAGAGCTCTCTCATATCCTAAAATCCTCAAAGAGCACCAGGAGCAAATGGTTACTTAAGCAGGAGGAGTGCTCATGATGAATGATCTCTCCCTGAGGGCCTATTTAAAGCATGTTACAGGGGACGCCCTCTTCACAACGGTTAACGGATGGGATGCATTGATATTTTTGTGTTTCTTTTTACCACATGGGAGACATTATTTCTGTAAGAAACTTATTACAACTTACTTAGCCTATTAAGAAAGTTATACAACGACTGACGTGAGCTGCTTTTCATTTACTTAACAACATTTCTTTGATTGGTTTGCACATTGACTTTTTACTGTGGTTTTCTTTACAGTTATTTGCTTAATGGGTGTTTAGGAGTATAACTAGACCATCTCATAATTTTTACCAAAGAAAATGGGTTTTTTTTACCAGTCTGTCCCCATTTAGCCAGCTGTGTACGCCTCATGGGGATATAAATAGAATTCTTTCCGACTCAAGATAAATCAAAGAATACATGAAATTGACTGATATTAATAGACCATTATGACACACACAGGTAGATTAATGAGGCCACCCCTGAGAAATTAATCTTTGAGGACCATTACCTATAAAGAGAAGGCTAATTAGTACGTGTTGTAAACCTCTTCTTTTATCTTTTTGACTTCATACCCTGAATACATAAGATAAAACACAGAGTAATTAACAAAATTTATTAGCATTAAAAAGAAAATGAATATTGATTAGGAGCTACAGCTCTTCACTAACGTGTCATGTTCTTTACCAACATGAATAAAACTCTAGTGTACATATGTACTTTTGTGTGTTTGTGATTGTGTACCTCTCTCTTGCATAAGGCTTGATATGAGAATAATGTTCACTAAAATAACAGTAGGATTCACTGGAAGTGTTTTTTGTTAGTTTTTGCAAACTAACATACGTGCCGCAGAGCATGCAAGGCCAGTTAAGAGCAAATGCAAACGCAAGGTGCAACATACACAAAGTTGCTAATCGCTAATGCGACTAAAGGAGTCCATTTATTAATCTTATACATGCGCAGGACAAGATTCCGCTTCCCTGTCGTCATTGCTGTGTGCGCACGGCAGGCGATGCACGTACTAGGCGCCGATGTAAAAGGATGGAGAGATGAGTGATGTGTGTAAACTAGCCTCATGTCCAGGTCGTGGCTGTCTTGGGGGGTGAAGCTGAACAAGGCCACGTAGGTGTTGAGTTTGAGGACGTCCTTCGGTAGTTGGCTCTGCTCCAACTGGACGAGACACAAACGTGCAAACTCGTGAACACAGAGGTCAGGTTTTCAGGGAGTCTCTTGGGAAATGAAGAAAAACACAGTCACACAAACAAAGAAACCCGACATCATCTTGTATCCTTAAAATAGTCCCTTGGCATCCACATGGGCGGGAGAGGCCCTTGGTTAAGTTGTCGACGTGAGTGGGCGAACCGCGATCGGGTTTTCAACGCCGAGGAAGTGAAAACAGGACACGGGTGTGGGTGGAGAGGACGTTGTCACAGAGGTGTTGGCACAATTATCAGGGAGATGAGCCTCCATTCTGGGCCTCCTCACACCTCCTAACAAAGCCGGCGGGGGCCCTTTTCTTTCATCACTAATACCTTGAGTCGGAATCCTGCCCGCTGTGTCCCTGAAATCCATCCAAACGATAACTTGTCCCCGCGTAATGCCAGAAAAACCACAATGGTGTTAAAAGATTTGAGAATGGCTTTTTTTGGACACACTCCTGGCTGCCGTTCAGTGCAATGTGTAGTTTGTGAAAATGAGTGTTTCTGTTACTTCCTGCCTCTCGCGGCATCATCCACGCGGCCCGGCGAGGTGCCTGAGGGATGCGTTGAGTTAAAGGCCTCGGGCAAAGCAAACTGCCTTTGTGGCCCCCTGAGCGAAAAAACGACAACATCAAGCAGCGGCGATTCATTTCCGCTAAGAGCCTCTAACTGCTGTGGGAGCCGAGAACATTGAGCCCGAGGTCGGGCAGGTCGAGATAACTGCGTCCTTTGTGACTGAGTGGGTACTCGAAGTGGGGTGAAGGAGAAACACAGAATAAGGAAATGAAAGAACGTTGTTCGTTCCTTTAAATCTTGTGTAACACGCGAACACAACTTATTATCACCTTATAAACCATATGAGGAATGTGTCAGTCAATGTATTCAAATATCTAGCAAAAACACAGCATGCTTACAGCTCTAATCTGGTCCAATATTCCTTCTCCATCGAGGACTGCTTTGTTCCACCAGCGCATGAGAGAGTTTTTTGCTATATAACAGCTAAATGCTTTATTATGTACACTAACTAGTCGTCCGAATAGTCATTTGACTCATAGAAAAGTTGATTAGTGCTGCTTGACGAGCTAATTTCAGAAAGTTTTTTTGTTGTTGCGAGTTACACTTCTCACATCACGCTTCCCAAACCGAGAATCCAACCAAAAACAAATCACAGCACGAGCCAGACAGCTTTGCTGTGGATTGAATTCAGGTTGTTTAAACACTAAACCTGAAAAGCGTGAACAGATGGGGATCCTGTGTGTGACTGCATGCGCTGTCCGCTTGTGCGTGTGAGCCTCTCGTCTCAAATCGGAGGCTCCGTCTTCGGAGAAGCTGTTTTTCTCTGCTCATTGCTCATTACAGAGCCCGCATCTGTCCGTCCACCGGGCCGAGCTAATGGACCTGTCGGCTGACAGACAAACAGCCTGCTGCCAGCTGTGCTAGGTTCGGCTTGATAACAACACCACAATGCACTTCCCTTCGCTTCCCCCAAAATAGATGGATGCACTGCTAGATTGCATTGCAGAAGATAAGTGTTTGCTTTTTTTCGCCTTGTATGGTTATTTGTTCACTTTTACCGTTTGCGTATCGGCGGACTTTTTCCATTGCTGACGATCGGAGATAAACCTGTTTAACTATAAAAGCAAACAGAACAAATGGCTGCTCTTAGAAAACGTGCGTGAAGAGCCTTTATACTACAAACGGCAGGATGAAAAACAAAAAGGAAAAGAGCAGTTTTTGAAATCTGCCCATGAAATATTCATCACCACTCTGCAGGGAGAGCCTAGATATTCACAGAGGTTCATCACCGTTTTTTTTGTTTTCTTCCTCTCACTAGCACGAATGCGCCTCGTCAGCGCTGAATCTTTACTGGAGAGAATAAAAACAGAAGCACAGATCCCAAAGCTGCAGATCCAAACATTACGTAAGGTCACGGATTCTGTCTGTTGGTGCAGGCCAGTAGTCTGTCAACTCGGCTATGATTTGTTACGGCAGAAAGAGAAGTTTTCCCTCTGAGTCCTGGGAAATTCATCAGTGACGATGGAGGCCGAGGGCCAAAGTGCAGCATGTTGAGCGAACGCACGAAACCGACCGGCTGGGTATCAGTTCTCAGAGACACCGCAAGGAGTTTGGGCTTCTCAGAGGCTTTCAGACCGCACTTGATAATAGACGTTAGCGCTCTGAGATGCAGAATAACAATCGGTGTTAAAAGTGAAGGTAAGAACTTTGAATCAATTATATTTCCTGTCAATTTAATTCAGTCTAATTTCTTTGCATTACTAAAATGCAGGTGTACGTTAGAAGAACAGCAGTGAAAATAATGTACTCACTCAAACACACCTGACAGATTTAGATGTATCACGTGGACAATTTCTTACCAGCATGTCGTCAGGTTTTCTCTCCGGCTGGAGGTAATAATCTGTCCCGTTCTCAATGACTGTGAAAACTGAAGGATACAAAAACATAAATAAATGAACAACCATCGACTATATGTTATCGGTCGAAAGTTTGCAGCCTCCAAAATCTGTAACGTTTCTTAGATTATATGTTACAGTGTACAGTGCATTATTTTCCACTTTAAGAACCTTGCCAGAAAAGTGGCCAAAATTGTATTATTTATTCATACAGTTCCCATAAAGAATTGCTACGAATTCAAAAAAACTACCGGATTTAATATGTTATATATGATCTCTTATTTAACTCATTTTAAACAGTGTTTCATTGACCCAAGACTTTTTTTCCATTTAATCCAAACACTAAGACACTAGAGCAGTGTCATGGCCGACGCGCGGCGCGGGCTAACAACTACATGGCCGTGATCGTGATGCACGCGGCGTGCAAGAAACCCACCGTCATCGCTGTGTTTTCTTGACAACTCCTGCCTACTGCTGTGAGCCACCACTTCTTCTGGGACGTTGTCCAAGTCACTGGTCTGCAGAGATCATGCAAAGATCATTTAAGTGAGCGTAGCAGAGACGAGGACAGATTTAAAAGACAGATGGACGGACGTGCAAGCGGCTACAAATCTCTTCGCTCTCGCAGTCCAAACAGCTGCTATTGAGAGAACTGCAGTGTCGCAAACATGCGGTTTGCAAGTCTGCATTTGGAAACAATTATCATAATCCCTGTTGAGATCTCATTGTGTCTGTGAGCCCTCAGCGACACGCAGGTCCATTCACTAACAGCTGCACGGGACAGGGTGGCTAAAACCCCACAGCGTTCACTTGTCATCATACAGAGGCACTTATCCAGACGCCATACACAGTTTAGATTACATTAAAAGTGATAAGCTATGTAAATCAGATGTCCTTGTGTATTACACAGGGACAGAGAGGAGGCTGGAGAGTGTAGCTTTACACTACAATCGGTCCAGTCCATCGTCAAGAGCTGTAACATGAGCGTTTGCCCCAACATCTCCCTCCATCACTGCCTCTAACAGACTGCCTTTATTGGTAGTGTTTACAGCCCTGCAGTGGCAGTATCTATTTAGACCATCAGCTACACTCTGTCTGTTCTGGTGGGACATAACAAGAACAATAAATTAACTGGATTGTGTTCATCTTTATGGCTTGATGAAAAGGAGACTTGAGATAGGAAATAGGATAAATAAAACTGAAGGATTTAGTGGCTGGTATTTTGTTTTGACAGGGTGAAAACCGACACCAACCAAACATGATCCTTTTTTTCTTACCGAGTTTCTGTGTGGAGAATCGGATCCACTGGCCCTCTTGGCCTTCTGTGCCAACGACGTCCCAAACCTCAAGGCCTCGTACACCGGGTCCACCTTGTTGCCACAGGCTTTAGAAAAGAAACAGACATTTAAGTAAATCAGGTAAATCATCCAAAACAGCCCAAGTAGTGTGTGGTCCAGTTTTTGTGTCATCACGCTCACCGATGGGCATGACTTCTTTGATGCAGCCGTACTGTTCCTGGATCAGTAACGGGGAGCTGTAGTACCGTCGAAAGCCTTTTGGCTGAAGGAGAGAGGGGGAAAAGAGAGCTGACAGACAAATTGATGCGTCTCACAACTAACTAGGCCATTAAAATACTGCATACAGCTCTCTTCAGTGCGATGTTTCCGAGCTCAGCTGACAAGAGATGAAGTTGTGTCTTATGGATATGTGACATCACTGTTGTGTTAATGTTAAACAGACATTAAATTAAAGACTACAGTTACAAATAGTGCTCGGGTATTGTAAATAAATAATAACTGATTTGTTACGGAAAGAGTTGAGCGTGGACAATGGGAGCAGAACATGTGATGGCTGTGAGGTGATCCACAGACATGTACCAGATAGGACCTTTTTAAAATTAAAGTCGCTGTCTTATTCATCTTTATTCATCACGTCCTTCCTCCATCTCCAAAGGCCCTCAAACATTAATCATTTATAAAACCATTACTAACCCGCATCCTATCCAATCAATACTTCCCCATCTGTTTTAAACCCTTCTTAAGTAAAGAAGCAAAAACAGGAGAGTGAAATCGTCACCCAGTAATGATTAATGTATCTATTATCTATCAGCTTTTTGGCATTTTATTTTTTACTAGGGATTGTTGTAGATAATTGTTTGTTCATTTCAATTCTTCACTGGATGAGAGGATCAGTGTCTCAAAAAAGTCTCATAAGACTGCTTTTGTCTGTTAGTTTACATTTAATCTCTGGAGAACTGAGACGTCACATTTTTATGGTCAAACTCATTAAGGAATAAGGGTTCATTTGGCTACGAACAAAAGACGCGACTATAACCGTTGCTTTCCGTGACTTAATGTAGTAACCCGCGGATGTTCTGAAGGCAGTGATGTAGGTTTCAGGGGGAAATGTGAGGGAGGTTCAAGGTCGCCTTTCTTATGTGTCTTCAATTCACAATCTGCTTGTTTCTTTTCATCAAAAGTCACTGATTTAAGTGATTTATTCATTCATGCTGCAAACTGCTAACAAAAGAGTGTCAAGATAAAGCAACTCAATTTAATGAATGGTCAGCTTTTGTTAGCTTAGTGACCTACATCTTGTTTGTGCAAAATGAAGACATGACCATAAAAAAAAAGGAAAACGTGGAGTTTGACGTTTCACTGAAAACCTTCAAATCTTAAAAAAATCATAGTATCATTAGCTGATGTTTGCCAAAGCTAAAGTTGAAGTAATGTAATGTAACCAAGTACCTAACAAACAACTAACAAAGGACCATTAATACCACCATATGTGAATTGTAGTAGTAGTAGTTTCTGTTTCAGTACAGAAACCCAGGCAGGAAATGGTAAAAAAAACTGGTTTCATGGTATACAAAGATTCAGAGCATGAAGAAACTTGATTTCTTTGCTAAAGAGTTCTCAAGCCAAGAGAAACAAGCATGGCTGCTGAAGCCTCCAAGTTTAGAGTAAGTTGAATTTAGAGCTGTACTCCACTGGGAAAAACTTCCTTTTTTATCTATTGACCTCTCGACCTAATTTTCCACTCCTGAGAGCGGATCATATCTTCAAGCCCCATCCCTCTGTCATCTAGTGGCCTGCCTGCCTTTTTACTTTTCAATATGACTATCTACCTACTTTATTCTCGATGATTATCACAAAGGCAACTTATTTCAAATTCCTAATTCCAGCCATACTTCTTCCTTATTCCTCACGTACTGTGAGGAGCAAGGTAAGAAAATGCAGGGTGTATACACAAAATATGTCCTGACGGTGTTACCGTCCCTGTCCCCTCAGCGTGGGATGTGTGCGAATGAAGAAGAGTCCCAGTTCAGACCTGACTGGCCGTCTGCTGGGCTACTAGAAAGCTCATGGTCATGAGGTAGTAACACTGAGAAGCTGAGTCACTGTATCGAGTTTATACAAATTCCCCGGAATTTCATTACTTCTTTATGTCAACACATAAGTCATTTTGAAATCAGCTGATCCCCATAAACCCAGCTCTTTAAGTTTCGTCAACGTTTATAGTTGAGTTTTTGGAACGGATTCAAGGATTTCCTAAACTTTCAAGGGTTCAGTTTGCTTCAAAGTAACGTGTTGATCACAGATCAATCCCGCCGACTTTCCCGTTTCCGTCCTAGTGAATTTCCTCAGTGAACGCAAAATAAACAACAATTTGATAATTGTTCCAAATAATTTTTAATTACCACCTTATCTTACAAAAAACACCTTTGTTTGTGTATTAAAAAACAGACATCGTGGTGGAGCCTGAAACGTCAGCGGGGGGGGTATCGATTCTGTCTCAATGGTTTATGCTGGCTGCTGTTACCGAATACTTAGACGGGCAGAGCGGTGATATAACCATTGTGGGGAGACGAGATGACGAGGATGGAGGGTGGTGACTGATGTACCAGCACACTCACACATCGAGTGTGATTCATGAATAAGCACATTCTAGTGGGAAACGGTCAGGCAGCCAATTCTAATGTGTCTTGTTTTGGTTTCTATCGTACCGACTCAGTAATTACAAGCTCCCGATCCGCTGACAGCACAGAGACGAATGCACCGTCTACATCACGTCTTTGTGTCCCTATTATTTGGTGTACTGCATCTTACCAGCTTGCCCATGCAGCGCTGCTGTCCCACTCCATTCTCACATTTGTGATGAAGGCTCATCTTGCAGGCTTTGCAGCGGAGGCCGTGCTTCGCCGTGTTTCCGGCCAGGAACACCACGTGCTTGGCTGTTGTGCCTGATGAGCAAATAGGAAGGAAGGCAACAGGTTCAGATGTGTCCTGCAGGAACTGGATTTAAATGGGATCCTTAAGAAAAACAGCAATATACATTGAGAAGGGAAAAAAAGTAAATACTTTTCAGAACGAGGTGTCATTAAGTACCAAAATCTGTACAAAGGTACAAATTTGATTGGATAGTGAACGGTGAGTGTAATTTGATTAGAAAATGCGTCCGACTGGTAATCTTAAATTTCTTAAATTTACTGTTAACTTATTTAGTTTTTTACTGTTGACTTATTTAGTTTCAAATAGGAAAAAATAAAAGATGGGTTCCTGAAGGCTTTTAGCTGGCAGTGTCGTATTATTAGACATTGCATAATAACGGGCGACAACAGTGTTAACAAGTCCTACTGATGCTATCAGTTGTAGTGTGGCAGATATGCTCCCCCAGCTCTTCATCGATCGATATTGATCGATCAATGACTTTGAGCCCTGGCCCGTCCTACACTCTGCATGCATGCATTTAAAAGGATTCTGACGTACAAAGGGTTCATCGATCTTCATCAGCGTGCGTTCAGAGCGGACGTCGATGGCGGATCATCGACGTTGTTCGCATTCCTCGTGTTTTGTACAGTTTTTTTTATTTGTGCACTGTGAATGGGCAACGCGTCGGATTCCAATCTAGATCGCAGCATATTGGGTTTAGTGAGCAGCGATGACGATGTAACTATGAAACCAAGCGGAACATCTGATCCCCGGAGAAGACAGCAAACACAAGACACTGTGTACATAAGGTACAAGGCCCTTCATGTAGTTTACTTAGCCAATGGGGAGGGGGAGTAGTGTGGGGGGGGATCTCTGCTTGCTCTTCACGTGCTGCAATGTGAACTCGTGTCACGCCTATCTTGAGCTGGGCAGCAGCAGTTAATGGCTGGAAAAAATGAATCTGTATTCCCTCATTTTTAAGTTCTTGTGTTGCTTGGCTGAGCCTGATCGTCACAGAGCTGACGTACGGAGATGGAAACCAAAAAAGAAACCTTGGATCCTCGGATCGGTCGGCCCTAGCGGTGCAGAAAGAGCAGACGCGATGGGCACGAGCTGCAGCCGAGTTTTAGGTCCGTGAATCAGGTCAACTGATGATGTTCAAAGACCTGTGAGGTCCATTCCGTGTCACCTTTAAGATTCCTTAACTCAAGCTACTGTGTGTCCCTCTCAATTCCCCGGGGCAGGAGGCAAATGAAGTCCTTGACAAGAAGTTCTCGATGGGTTGCGCTCATTCACTTCAAAATGGAGGAATTATGAGACATTGTCGACTTCCCTCAGCAATGGTTGGGTAATGACGTGAGTGTGTGTGTTTAGGGGAGTTTTCTCCTCCAGGCTCGGAAAGGAAGCCGGGAGATTACAGCTGTGGGGAAAACTGAGTGACAGTGCAGCTCTCTCTGGTATTTGCTGTTTCTTGGCTACTCAGCTTTATTTTTCATTTATACAACAGTAGAGGACAAGACCCCTGCCGGATATTCCCCATACCTCTTTCCAACAGTCTTTCCTGCTCAATTTTCCAATCTTGCTCCCAACAGTATCTCCTTCATGCTGCACAGTCTCGTTACAATAGCCACACAATGCTTCACGCCTTCTGATTTTCTCCACCTCCTGTCGTTAACAAGCTCACAGACCTGAGCAGTCTTTGGTTAATTGAAATACTTTAATTAGTTTCTCCCACGGTCACTTGAATATCATTATTTTTCCCACTAAATACCCATCTAGACAATTAGGGAACTAAGGCCCAGAGTGCAGAGACAAAGGGGGAGTTGCCTTTTGTTGTTTTTCCATCAAAGATAACGGACTGTTATACATAACGTGGGCTACAAGTCTAAAATAACGCTAACCTCTGACATTTAAGATGAGGTTTTTCAGGTATGATGTTTACCACAAGAACAACGCCGCCCGCATGTGACTTTCTTTTATCTTTATCCATGAACTTTCCGGGGACATTTTTCCTACTTGCTCATGCAGTTTGACTTTCACTGCCACACTCAGCAATGCACTGGTGGGAGGGGGAAATGTCCTCACATGGTAGACAACGTCAGCTGTCAATTTACACTAAAATGAATCGATGGGGTATCAGTGGAAGTGCAAGGTCGTTACAACACGCTGCTGTTCTTGTGCGACAGAAAGAGAGAAAACACTGCCAGTCTCCCTCTTTTTGTTTGTCTGACATGTTTTGTATCGTTTGTAGGGAGAGATTGTAACGCCTGTACGGTGTTCCTACAGCATATACCCTCAAACAGTATCTAATTCTACTTTTTATAATCCTACAAGCTATTTGCGTTGAATTTGTTACCTAAAAGGAGTCAATATTACGTTTATTACAAGACTGACCTAATAATTATTTTCCATTTTTGTCATCAACAGCCTTTCCCCAGGTAATCTGTCGTGTTCCAGTGAAACAATTCATCTTTAATCTAAGTGAAAAACAATAATTCATTCATTTCTGTTTAAACAATGCGTTTGTAGATGCTTTTGTACAATACAATAAAGAATCCTCTTAATAAGTTGGGTGTATTTTGCAATATTATCATATTTGTAATAATGTACGTATTAAGGGTTAATTTGGTATTGAGTCCTTTTGACTAAAATAGTGACATTGATTATGAAATTGCCCCTAAAGGTAAATATTTAAATCAAATTACAGATCACCATTGGGCAAAGTCCAAAAAGTAAACACAATTACAACACACAACTTTTCTCCTTTAAATGAAATGGAAATCCCAAAATATTGTATGAGTTTTCTCTGTATTTAAAGTAAGTCTATTTAAAACACATATTTAATACACGAGAGAACCAACAATGTGGTTTTGTGCACACTGACATGTGTAAACGTGTATTCATTTATTTATAAATAGCTGTATATTCCACTGAATACACTCTTATCCAAATGAATGTTCGAAAAACAATTACTGATCTATTTAAACTCCATTAGCTAATGATTTAATAAACACAGTATGCTTGTATTATCAGCTCGCGCCCCTCCACCATAACTATATGTCTCTCTCTCTCTCTCTCTCTCTCTCTCTCTCCTGTGTGCTGCCCTTTGACTCGAAGACAGAGTCAGACAGCACCATCGCTCCTCATTACACAGACACACACACTCACACACACACATAGAAAAACAGCCTCCACTCCCTGTTCTCCGCGCTGACCACACTGTGTTCTCATTAGAACAGGACAAATGAAGAAGACGGCAGCATGTTTTTTCCCCCGAGCGGAGCGAAGGGCTCAGCGCCTATCACAGAGGCCTGACATCATACTTTCATTATTAACAGACCAGCAGAGGCCCATTCAAGGCTTTGGCCAGTGGATGCGTCTCAGGCCACACCAAGACACTAGTGTAAAGAAAACACGGTCATAAATATGTTTTATGGTCTAGTCTTGCTTGAGTAGTCTCTTTAGCTGCTGAATGCCCTGATGTTCATCAGCTAGTTCCAATGTTGCCCGTCTGTGGTTTACAACGGGCCAGGTAGAGCTTTTTGAAAACGTTAACGAGAGGTTAATTAGAGCGTTGAGGGTGAACTAAAGGTTCTGCGCCTAAAACAATGAGCTGAAACTTGCTTATTCCGGTGTAAATCATATTTACTACCGGATATAAAATCGGGGCCTTGTAGAGCAGATGTTGCGGGCCGCCCTTGTCATCGTCCAGCTGCAGATATAAAGACTCTGCAGTCCCTCGGTACTGGTGGTTAACAAGGAGGGGAGCGGCCTGGGAAACCAGAACATCTGGCGAGGGGAGAACAGGAAGAGGAGCCGGTGCCGACGTTGGCTATCCGGCACTAACAGCAGAGCGACAGAGCACCCTGGCTCAACGCGCAAAAAGAGGACGACTGAGACACTCGGGTAACATCAGCGGCTCGGGCTGCATACTCGGCCGTCGCTCTGGAACCGTACCTACGATCATGTGGTTGCAGACGTCGCAGAACGTCGGCTTCTTGAAGATGTGCTCCATGAAGCAGTGTCCCGCCGAGTCCACCTGCAGCGGGTTGCGCGACTGGGAGCGCGACGTGGGCGGAGGCGCGGAGGGGATGGCTGGGGGCACCGGGGGGATGGGGTGGTGGGTGGTGTGCGGCGGGGCCATGCCGATATTGCACAGATGTCCCGTGCTGCTGCTCACATCTGAGAGCAGCTCCGCCTTGTTGTCGCCGCTCGTTCGGAAGAAGTTGTCGGCGCTCTTGCTGCGGACGCTCTTGGTCTTGAAGGACAAGGAGCGCTTGAGTCTCTGCAGCTGAGGGGGAGAGTGAAGAAGAGTTGCAAGTCAACTGGCGCGAGGGAGAAAAAAAACGGGGGCGGGAAAAGATTAGAGAATGGCGGGAAGGGGAGAATTCGGTGGGGTAAATCAATTCCTTTTGATAACCGTGTCTCTAGAACCTTCTGGAAAATGTCTCAGTGTCCGATGGGCGACATGAGGCCCCATCGAGAGCGGCTACTCATCACCGTGCAATGAAAAGCCTTTGAGATTCCCTAACTGGAAGGTAATGCAATTTCCTGGTTAGAGCAATGCGCCGCATCAACACTATTTCTCTCAGACGCTGCGCTGCCATTTCTGGCTGCAGCCCCCATCAATCTGCGTAGGGTCCTCTTTTACAGTAATGCTATTCATAACACTCCACGCTGACAACTCCTCATTTAACCTCTCCTCCCCCCCGAAGCCAATCCTGGGTTCAAACACGCAATAAAGAATTGTTAAGCTACTGTATGTGATTTTATGGTTCTGGTTCCTGGCCGGCGTGTGGCTGGAGGTCTCTGATTAAAGAAACAGATTATGTTTTAAGTGACGAATGGGTGAGGAACGGCTGCTAGTATTCTATGGTATGTTAGCACACAGTTACAGGCCTGAAGTCACAACGCTGTGGATTTACGGCTTTCCTGCCGTGCAGAAATGTTGATCGGTCCTCTGATCGGTTGGTTACGAAGAATGACTATGAACACGTGGACACAATATGTGATAACTTGCAGGCTTAAATCAAAAAATACAAAGGACGATGTTGTTGGCTAACACGCCTGAACAATTGGAGCTCGTTGAAGCTTTGGTGTGGTGAAGATCAATCAATTGTACGGGTCACTGAAAAATCAATTTGGACTCTGCCATCAGCGCACACAGGAATGCACAACAGACATCAACAGACGGCACACAGATATTATACTGTAAGTTTCTAACTTGCATGGCTTTTACACACCCTGGAAGGAAAGTTATTGGTAATATTAATATTAACACAATTGGGTCTTAGATACACATCAGTAATGTTTGTCTAGACATTCTGAATGTGTTGTACTTATTTAAGGACGACGCAGAGGAACACATCCTCCCTTGTAAGGCGGTTATGTACATCTGAACTTGAGATGCCTGTATAAAGTAAACAAAGCGAGGGAATGTGTGTACATGCATTGAGGTGCCCATGCTGTGTTTGATGGCCCCCGAATCTGTAAAGGGGGTTGGGGGATGGGGGGGGGGGGGGAGTGGGACCTGGACTACGTAATGCAGGAGAAAAAAAAAGCAGCCAGTCACAGACGTGAGATTATATATTGTCGTTAATAAATGAATTGAATGATCCAGCCTCTAAACAAAGAATCCTCTATAAACATGAGTGACGGTGGATGAGACCTTATTTGGCAATGATGTCACTAAAGTGCTCTAGCTTAAAGCAGCAGTAAAAGTTGTAACGCGAAGCAACTCTGACTTGTGTTTACGTACATGCAGGTATGCTGTCGCGTCACAGTGGACTGAAATCAGCACAGTTCACCCGAGAGTGGACAGTTTACCCACCTTGCGCTTGTGATGGGCAGGCCTCACAGTGTTCTTAGAGGAGGAATAAAAACACAGACAAAGCTTCACTTGATGGTAGAAAATGTGTCGCGCTTGTTGTAGAACTCGATCTACAGGATCGATTAAACAATTCACTTTATGGTCTGTCTTAAGTATTTGACTACTGAGGTGAGAAATTGAAAGGAAGAGTGGATGGTTGTTTGGCAGAAACGTCAGACGTGAGATGTCAGCCAGGACTTGTTTTAAATATAAAGTGACCAGATGTGCCAAAGGAAGAGTTCACATGCACAAGCTTTAAAATCCTTACAAAGAGGAGGGCGACTCTACGATCCTGATGAAAGCTTGGACTTTTTCTCAGAATTTCACAAGCTATAACTAAGTATAAGCCTCATATGTTCTTTAAACGCGCTTCGGTAGTATAGACAGTAGAGCTGTTGTAATCTACTAGGATTACGGACGAGTATTTATATTTTACTGCTAGTTGTAGTATTCTAGGAAAGAGGTGACATAGATGGAAACACGCCTGAGGCAGCAGCTGTGGATCTCTATCAGGCAGCCTACTTTCCTACATCACCATCCCATATTGCACTTATTCATAAACTCATAACATTAAACACTACACCGCCTCTTTTACCACTACAGTCGATGATCTACAGTGACAATGAATTTCATACCAAAAATCCCCCCCACTATGTTTATGAATGCATAAGATCAATGTGTGTGGGGATCAATTGGAAATGTCATCTAAAGTTGTTCTTTGTTCTTAATGGAATATTATCATGTTGGTATTATAACGTGTTACACACTAGTGATGAGTTCACTGTCATCGTTTGTGTTCGTACGAGTTGTCGGACAGATGGGCAGCGCGGGTCCCACGCGGTGTCTCCGTCTCTCCGTGCGGTGATAGATACTAGTAAGAATAATAATGATAGTAGTAGATAAACCAGGAAAGTCTTACCTTGGTTTCCTGCTGGCTGGGGTTCGCTGAAGGGGATTCGGGGGTCTCATTCTTGTCCTGGTCGTCCTCTTTGCTCCCTCTTTCGTCCTGGATCATGTTGGCCGGTGGGATCATCCTCTCGTTTTGGGGGGATCTTTAAAAAAAAAAAAAAAAAAAAAAAAGCTGTTGCTCTGTAGTTGTTTTTCCTCCTGAAGCTCTTTACATATTTTCTATTTCTCAATAGTCACAGTGACCTAAAGATAAGGACAAGGGGGGGGCACGCACTGCCGCCGTCGCGAAGGAGAGTTCCGAGTTTCGTTTGCCGAAAGGAGGAAGATGGAAGGAGAAAAAAAAGGTTTAAGGAGGCTGCGAAGTAACTGCTTCAACGTTACATATGAGAAGTTGAAAGCCAGTAAAGTTCAGCGTTAAAAAAAAAACAAAGAGCCGCGTCCTTGTAAATGAGGCTTTGGCGTCTGTCGCGTCGTCCTGCGTATCGCTGCCGAAACGTCTCCAAGTCCACGCTGCGCTGCGCCCGCGACGCGAAGAGCGCTGCAAGTGATCAAGGGAGGGAACGATGTGGGAAGGAGGAGACATGTGACACTGCCAGAATACACTCAGTGCGAGACTCCCGTATGGTAACGTTGGATCAACACCAAAAACACACAGTGATTTATATTTACAGGGCAAATCTACTTCTTTTATTGAGTTGTGTGGAAGGAAGTGTATTTGGCATGGACTGAGAGGATGTTCTTGAAAAGAATTCTATGGATAACAACCGGTTTCCCTTTTCACTCCGGCATGGTTAAGACTTAGGAGAGGTCATTATTGCATTTACGAATTGAAAAAGTAACATTTTACTGACTTTTTAAATGAATAACTCAACAAGTTGGGAAATGCTACAAATAAAAAGTGCAGAAAAAGAAAGAAATACCCTTTTATGGAGGGCCAAAGGGTCCTTGTTCTTGGCGGGACCACCAGTTGCCAGGCAACCGGCTATAAAGGTGGAAAGTTAACCCCCAGCTAAATAATAAGCTCATTGCATAATCACCGTAAAACTTCCTCTCATACTAAAACCAAAAGACAAAAAGACAAAAGAACATTTTGTGAGTGTGTTATGCTAAGCTAACCGGCTACCTGCTGTATACAGCTTCAGTTTACCATATTCAATGGTTTAAGATTGGTATCAATTTTCCCCCCTTGCCTACTCTCAGAGAAGAAGAGAAGTAATAAACTTACGTATTCTCGAAAATATTTAATCAATAAACATACTGGAAGGTGTAGGCCAGGGGTCTCAAACTCATTTCAGGTGCGCTGGCGGTCCGACCGGCGGACGTTACGTCGACGGGGGGGTGGCGCTGACGGTACGCCAAAGCCGGCCGGACGCCCCGGCGGGCCGGATGTGGCCCGCGGGCCAGAGTTTGAGACCCCTGATGTAGGCTATGAGGTGAAATTTCTTTTTTCTTCAGGAGATAGCCAAGGAAACAACGACACTGTCTTGCCTATTATCACATATATGACCCAAACACCATTATGACACCAGGCCATTCCCCGGCCTCAGACAGCATGCGATGCCAGTGATGCATGAAGACCTCCCTGTGATGACGTGTCCTTGGAGTTGTGTATGCGGCAGGAAGGAGGCGGGCGCCAGACTGCAGCCTCCTCACTCTGACAGCGCCGGCCCAAGAAGTGAGCCTACACGTCCCGTTCTGTTCCTGCTAGAAATCAGAAGGGATCCCCCCCTCAAAAGCTCAGCTACACCCTCTGACTCAAGACTTATACCTTGCAGAATCTAAAGAATAACAATTTAATTACTTTTTGTCAGAATAATTTATTTGTATTATAGGTACCTAGTATATAGGAGCTGCGTGTATTTTATTTTAACACTCCGTGGCCACTTGTGTTTAACAGGCTCGCTACGATTTACAGCATCATCAAAAAGCATCACCTGAGCGATGAGTCTTCAGGGGCCGCTGATCCACTTAGTGTTATAGAGACATAAATCATAGAGAGCGAGGCGGAATGAAGCACAGAGATATATGTGTGTCTGTGATTTAATTTAGGCTACAGGTTGTTTACACTGTGCGTGTTGAGGTGTTATCAACCCACAGTGCATCCAAAGAGAGAACATTTACAGATGACATAAAAAATATATTTAAAAAGCATGTAAGTGGACTTTCATGCAGGATTTTCTTTTTTCAAATAACTATTATCAAAGGTCAACAGTGAGTTGTTTTACTTGGTCTGCCTTGGACTTTTAAATGTGTCACCGGGCAGTTTTTGAGTTTTCCATGACTGTTGCTGAGATGAAAATGAGTCGAGGGGGTACACATTCACAGGGCAGCCCACCACCTGGAGAGAGCACAAGACAATCCCGTGAGTCAGTCCCAGAGCCAGACTACCAGCACATGAGTCAATGCTGCATTTGTACGTCCACATGGTGTGTGTTGGTGTTTGTGTTTGAATGCGTGTGTTACGTTGAATCCTGTCAGCAGAAATCGGGAAGCCAGATGAGAGAGCTAAGTTGGAAAAGAGGTGAAGACAGACTGGGCGAGAACATAATATCCTCACTCAGCGGCTGGAGCATCGCAGGGAGGACACAAAAATATAGCTTTTTTCTTTTTTTTATGTTTATTAAAAATACTTTACTTTAAATCCTCAAGCCTCAGGTGTGAACTTGTCCGTTTGTTCTAAAACGTCGCAATGTTTACCTGCCACCTGATGAGAAAGTCTGTAAAAATGTATTTGAATTGTTAGGCAGATTATATCAGAAAGTACGTTCTATTTCCGCAGACATTTCTGTCGGCAGAAACAGCTTTGCTTTCACAACCTGCTCTGGTAGTTTTCATGCATTTCTTAGAAACGTCTTCACTCCCTCGGGGAATATGAAGATTGAACATGTAAATACCCGCCGGTAATTTTTACCAAACAGACCGTAATGACTTCGACCTCTTCATCAGTTTAAATGGGAGGAAGTTGTCTATCGTATAGACGATACAGTTTAGTCAAAACTCATAGTTAAGCAGAAGCTGAAGTTGACAAACATGTCAAACACAATGCACAAGTGTAACACAAAATAAAACAACAATGTCTATTTTGTGCGTTGTCTGGATCACGCTCGCATCCACACGTGTTGGCCGACTCGTTGAGGAGGTCGTTCATATTAGGATGTGCTGAAATATGAGCGCCTTTCTGTGAATTATGCTTCACCAGCTGTCTGCAGGTCGCTTCCACGCAGTTGTAAATGGTTGTTTGAGTACCTCGCTGCATATGCAACGATTTCACACGTAGAGGTGTTGCATTGGTTTAAAAACAGGCTCATTCCTGCTTTTGGGTAATTAGGAAGATCTTTAGCTGTCGTAGTTGTTGCTTATTGGACTTAATGGATAGTTGATATGGGTTTTTGATCATAAACTCAAGTTTGGCAGTGGAGTAAAGGTCAGGTGATCTCCAGCTTAGGATTCATCTGCAAAAATGCCTGAACAACATTTTATCACAATCAATCTAAAATTGTTATTTGATATTTGATATTGAAAATGATATTTCAGTTCAACCAAAGTGTTACGGCCACCAACAAACCGAAACAACGGTAAGCCCCTTGAAACAAAGGTGACGCTGACATAATTGTACTTGATCAATTAACTATAACAACTATAACTATTTTCTGGTAAAGTTTAGTGGGCATCTGTGGTGGCTAATGTCCTGATTAGAAGGCAGATTATATGTGACAACACATTGGTGGGAAAACAAACATGATTGATGGAAGTTCTATTAACGGAGGATTTTTTTGTTTTAAAATCACGCTTTGTACCATGACGCTTTCTAATTTAACAATCCAGCAGTTGTATAATTTGTATGGGTCATACTGCATTGCAAATCATTTCTGTTTGTCAATGGAGTCTCTGAGCAAAATGCAAATATATAAAGCATGACAAGAAAAACGTATCGTTTTTCTGCAGGGAAGGATGTGTATAAAGAGTAAAACGATATTAAGTGATAGAGATTACCCTTTAACGCCTGTCATCTAAAAATACCAGCAATTACCAATGATCCAGGCTGGCATGACACACACACACACACGCACGCACGCACGCGCACGCACACACACACACACACACACAGACGTACCAGCATGGGTTACAGTAATGGGCAAATGGATTCCCTAAGAAGCTAAGCTAATTAGGCCATCTTGTTATGAGACATCCTAGGAATAGACTCTACAGGGTACACAAGTGATGAGAGATAGAAATATGCCATGTGTGTGTGTGTGTGTGTGCTTGAGGGAGAGAGGATTTCACTTTACAAAGTCAAATTCTGGGCATCTAATGGCCCGACACACCCAAGATCTGATATGGTTTCAACACGACCATCTTTATTTCAAAAATGTAAACCATTGTCAAATGTCTCCATTGAGTTCAACTCTACTTTTTTACCAAGAGTTATAGATGATAAACAATACCCCTTTCATGTCTGTTAAATCTAAAGGTGAAGCCAATTACAAACTAAACAAATACGATATAATGTGTTAGTTATTTATTATCTTCATAGCGCCATCTCATCATAAGATCTTAAGGAATGCGATATTTTCCCAAATCACCCAATTGAAATATGTGTAAACAGGTTGATTTTAACACATTAAAGCATTTTTCTCGGCATGTTGCTAATGGTTGGTGAATCTTCTTCATTTCAAAAGGTGTAAACCTGACATGTCAAACACTGTCCATTTCTCCCACTGCATACTAATCTAAGTGGGTGCTTTTGCTCCATATGGCTCGATGTGGACACCCTGCCACCACGCAACTGGTCTCCAGCTGGTCACAGCAAATGAGACAGCAGAGGCTGAAAGCAGCACGGAGCAGCGACTGATGCTCTCAGACGGGTGGACCTTTGGTCAGACCTACAGAGGTTTTCATTTTTCAACATGTGGCGAGACTGGCAGTTGCTAAATAAACAGAAATTCCTTCAATTATTAATGTACCTCTACAAGGAATCACATTTTCTGAGTTATGTGGAAATGCAGCTGTATAATATTAGGCTGTTACATAAGTAATACCACAAAAACATACTGCTTTTAAAAAGTAATACAAACTTTAGAATATGTAGAAGAGGTGGTACTTTTTAGCAGTGTGCTGTAAAGTACATTTTTAATTATATTACCGATGAATAGGATAAAAAGAAGCACTATGATCATCAAGACATTTGGTCAGTTGATTACTTACATTAAGACAATTATTTCTGTATGCAAGGTTTTCAAAAAATGCATGTTAAAATATGTAAATTAGGGACTTTCTTACGCTAACCTTTGGTGAATTCAGGTGAAATCTAATCTAATTTTGTGGTCTCAAATAGTTACAAAGGAGAATTCATCTGAATTAGCCTATACTACTATACTATACTTTTAATACTGAATAAAAAGCCGTCGTCCGACTGTCCAACTAAAATTGCATCACTAGCTGCTACTTCATCAAACATGATGGAGAGCCGCTGGTATTTTCTTCATAGTTTGCCTGAGGTAAGTTGTTTTATTCATGACACGCGTTGCTTCAGCCAAGAAATCTGATTTATTAAAGACGGGATCTTTGGTGCTGAACCCCTTAAAACGGGCTGTAGCTTTGGTAACGTGGGAGCTAGTTTGTAACTCTTCGTTTCTTTCCTGTCTTTGATTCATATACATTTACACCTTTCGCAAGACACTAATTATATTCATCAAGTGTATTTATGGGAGTTGCCAGCAGGATGCAATAGGGATGCAATACTTAACGACAAGCATTGGATTGATATGATAAAAAGTCACAAATGTATTTACAGTACTTGGGGAGCGTATTGGCCTGTGTAAAAATCTGCATGATTTATAAATGGCTGACGCGGACTGGGGGACCATCTGGGATTCACAAACGGTCTCTTTTCAATTTCTATGATCAAATGATCCCTCTGAGGGAAACGGGAGAGCGAAGGAAAGGGGAATGAGGACACATTGTCTCCCCCCGATCGTTTTTCTAGCGACAATTTGAGGCCCCATTTTATAATATGACCAGTTGTCCTGTCTACACTTTTGAGATATTTGCTGATAGCAGATGAATGCCAGTGGCAGGATCTGTCAGTCTGAAACAAGGCCACGATGATAACCTATTGCTCCAATTAAGGGACTAACTGATTGAAATGAACACACCGCAGAAATGTGCTGTGGCCTCCAAATTCCAATCTGCTTCGTCTCTAATCCCATGTCATTACACTGTGTGCTCCGGCTTCTTTTTCCCCCCATTTATGTCGACTTCCATCCCACTTGTACATGTTGGATTTGTTTGCGTTTTCACACTACATGGCTGGAGACAGTGGTGGAAGCAAATTAAAAACCGCAGATTAAGCCAAATTGCCGTTTTCATTTTCACGTGAGAAGGACAGATATTTGAATCTGCTTAACACGAAACAGCGCATAAAGAGCAGCGACAGGTCGGCAGCGAGAGGCAGCGCCACGACGCACTCAGGGCCCATCAGCCTGCTCCACTTTATGGACGCACTTTCATTTGGCATCACAAAGCAATCGTGCTAAGAAGGCAAAGCCCCAAACAAGACAGAAACACCACAAAGAAACGTCCCAAAATAGAAACAACACGGTGAATTCAATGGAGCAGCAGCAGACGCTCTTGTGGCGCTGTTCCTGTTCTGACTCATAAGTGTTAGTTTGGCGCCTTGATGACGCGGGCGGCAGCGTGGGTGACAGTGGGGGAGGGATGGTGGGCGGTGGGTGGTGGGTGGTGGTGGTGGGGGGGGGCAGCAGATGCATCTCTTGCGTTCCCCCAGACCTTTGTCCTCCCCTAAGTCCGGGCTTCATTCAGCTGGTGGTTGCTACGATACAGCAGGGGTGTGCTGACCCTCAGGCGGGCAGACAAACACAAACACACACACACACACACACACACACACACACACGTGTGTTTTTTGCACATTCTGACAATCATTTCTTCTACTTGTCTGGCCCAAAGTTTTTCAACTTGGCGCGTTAGTCGAGGCCGGGTAATTTAGCCGTGGAGGCCGACCGAACGGCTGTAAACATCAAAGGACTTTAGAGTCCGATTGGCGGCGTGCTGTTGGTCATCGGGGCCTCGGCTCTGCGGCTCCCCTCCTCTCACGTGGAAGAGGGGGAGGATGGATATTGGGAGTGGTTCTGATCATCGGGAAGCTCAGTGCAGCTCTGCCTCTTGAATTTCAGCTGCCACAGTTGAAGTCCATTCCCTCTATAAAACCTCCATTTCTACGCCAATGAAAAATTCTACTTCATAACATGGAGGAAACTAACTCTAAACCCTTGCTTTTGATAATATAGTAGAATATATATATGTAAAATATAGTACATCAACATTATATAAGTGTCATAGATTTCAACATATGAACATCTCACATTGTCAAATGCACAGATTAAATAAAGGTCATAAAAAATACTGGTTTCAAGTGGCTTTAAATCAGGCGACAGTATAGAATCAAAGCTTCAGCCTGAAAATATTTCACTGGGAATGTATTTAATTCAATTAAACGTTAACTTGGAGACCCACATTTGTGTTTCCAAAATGCCACTTTGTTCCCTTTTGTCTCTGATGATAAAAAAATGTTTTCTGAATTGGACTACTTTAAGACGAGAACCTCGCATTTCCTGTCATTCCCACATGGGTGCCAATAAATAATAGGCCACCTGCTATGACATGTTTCCTGCAACACCTGCTCTCTGAAGGGTGATGGGGTGATCTGTGCTCCCCTGGTTCAAATCTATACGCTCCACTGCAGCTCACAATCAACCCGCGGCTGCAGCCAACTCTTGTCAGATGGATCAATCAAAAGCAGAGTTTCACTCCACCGAGGGAAACCTAAAAAGCAATCCCTTTGATCATATCAGCCCTGAAGGTAACAAATGGGCTTGAAACCGGGCAGTCTCTCCAGGCGATATTACAACACATTGAGAAAATGGGAGGTCTCCTGGTGAGGAGCTTGCAGCAACAGAAGGAGAAATTGATAGAAAAGCTGAGTGAGGCTGCTGCTTCACTTGCACTCAACTCAGAGCCGGAACTCGGCTGTGGAGCAATGAGGTGGAGGAGTGGGGGGGTGTAAAGTAACAAACACACCTTATTCAATTCAGCATGTGATAGTGACACGGAAAGAACTCTGTACGTGAGTACAATGTAGATCCATCAGTCATACTGAGACGCTCAGAACCAGTAAGAGCAGGTTCATAACCACAGAAATAACACGTAGTAGCAAAAGGTGGTGAATGAGTCAAATTATCTTTTTTTTTTTTTAATTCATTACAACGATATAGTCACCAACTGTGAGTTGCATTTGAGCCACGTGGGAAACTTCCCATTCACACAGAATAATCTGCTCTGCAACTTTTTCCACAAATTCATAGTGATGAAAATGTACCAATGTCACTTTGAACTGAGAGCCAGTATTAATAGGATAACAAAGCCTCTTCTGACACGGGCTGTTAATTGAGCTCTCTACAGACTCCGTTTCTAAAATAGGTAGGAGGTCTATTGTGGAAGGTAAGAGAAGAAGTAGGCCAAGGGCACTTAAAAAAACTGGCAATATGATCATGGGAAAAAGCTGGAAGAGGTAAAGAATGTGGGTTAACAGTTTAAGTCAATGTAAAAGCTTTTATCTGCATTAAGGACCAAACCTACTGCTTTCATTTAATACATCTGATGGATCTATAGATGTTTGTGTCATTGTGTTTGGTACGTTTGCACAAGTTTACCACGGTTGCTCAGTGTCTCAATTATATTATAGAAACCCACATTTTCCATTTTGGTCGACCTCCAGCGCCCTCATGTGGTGAACGCTGGCACTGCAGAAACATGAACTCTTCCCAAAGACAAAACAGTCAGTTTTAAAACATCAGCCAATCTTTATTTACAAGTCCTTATGACAATAAAATAAACATACATATGGTGGTGGTGGGTTCCGTCCTGAACGCAAGTAAAAACCAACATTTTAAGTTGAAAACTGCGTTAAATCCTCAACTAAATTCTCCACTTGATAAGTTAGCAGGACTAGTGAAGCAGTTGGCAGAGTATGCTGTGTAAGGTTCATCATCTTAGGTAAAGACACACGATTAATATATTTAAACTTGCATATAGTAGTTTTTCCTCATTCAGTCATTTTATACTTCACTCTGTTCAAAGAGGAAACGTATAACTACCGAGACAAATCTCCCAGGACAAGTTGACGGGCAACTCTAGCAGGACAGAACATAAGTTAACACACACACTCCACTTTCCACACTGCAAAACGACACTCCGTCATGCAGGCATTAACGTGTCAGGAAAAAAAGACGAGTGATATGTGGAGGTAAAACTGACTTAAGGGAAAGCGTTTCCTGGTTGGGGGGTGTTTCAATCAAATATTCAGCATAACGGATGAGGATGGAGGACACATTTAGATAAGGGCAGGCAAAGAGGGCTGGGCTGATTAACCAAACCCATGGCACTTAGACCAATAAGGGAGTAAAATCAGACAACAGATCCGAGGTAAAGCACAGACAAGAATATCCATCGCCATCGTCGATGCTTTTACTCGTGGCTTTGACAACACTCTGCATACAGAATGTGATATAATGTCGGCTCATAAAAAAAGGTGGTTTTGGGCAGAACAATGTACACCCGGTGGCAAACAAAAATGTGTGTCTAAAGAAATCTGCTTGTGTCCGTCATTCTCTTTACTGGAAACACGCATGACTACAAACAGCGATGGGTTTCATTCACACATTTGCTTGTTTTTTTTTACGTCGCACTTCACTCTTTTATATTCGCATTTCAGTTTGGGTTTTCAAAAGGTCCTGTAGTTCTGTGACTATTAATATATATATTAATCACAAAAAAGAGGACAGGCATGAGAGGTGCAATGGAGCAAGCAACAGCATGTACACAATGCTGTGCACATTTGTAAACACCTGTAATGCAAATAACAGCAAAAATCTGAAGTTTCCCACACACACAGACACAGTACATTTCTGATCACTTTGTCATTTGTAGATAAAACTGTTAGAGGGCTTCCTGACACTGAAAAAACAAAAATGTTTATTTGAGACTAAATGAAGAATTTATAAAAAAAATAACTGTTCGTAACGGGATGAATAAAGCACATTTTAAAAAGGGACATTCCTGTTTTAAGTCATGTTTGTTTGGAAATCAGGCCCTCCACCGTGTCCTTTAACAAAATTAAAAAAAAGTTGCCCAGACATAATAAGTTTCTGTGTCTGTTGAGAACTTACTCAAAATAAATGCAGCACCAAAGTCCTTTTTCCAGAGAAAAACTAACTGGATGCAATATGGGATTATTGTTAGAGTTAAGAGTTGGAAGATCTTCCTCACAGATACTGAATGTCTGAGACAGAGGGGCTTCGTTCCACCTCCGGCCGACAGCTATTGCTTTGGGCCTGAGGAGCAAAGTCGTGGATCCACGGGTACATATTCCACAGGCAAAGGCCTGAAATAATGAGAGAAAATAAACAACGACAACTAATAACTAGGGGTGTAACGATTCATCCACTGAATCAATTAATCGATTTATATTCCTGCGATCCAACTGAATCGATCTGTGCTCCACAAATCGGCATTCCGGACGACATATATCGATTACAAATCGATTGAAATGGTACATAATCGATTGTATCGATACTGCACATTGGATTTAAGCACAAAAACGGTATGGATGTGTGTTTGTTTGTTTGTTTTTTAGCACTTTAGACACGTTAAACGTTACTCGATTCAGTCTGCCTGTCTGTGACGTCATCAGTACGCAGCGGCAGCCGCGCGAAACTCGGAACAACAACAAAACACAGCGTGGAGGAGACGACTGCGAGCAAGATATTTACTAACCAACTTATCGATCCAGCGCGTGGAAACATTTTGGCTTTTGCAAACACGGAGGTGTTCTAAATAAGTCGGTCGCTGTTTGTAGAATATGTAGAAGACAAATAAAAACCACGGAAACACGCCGAATCTTTCCGGCCATCTACTAAGGCGCCGTGGGATTAAACAACGCCGACAGTCAGGCACCTCTAGCAGCGTTACCGCTGCAGCAGCAGGTAACTCCAGCTCTGCAGACTCCTCAGGCCTCGCCAGCACCAAACTCAACATCACAGTAACAATTGTAAAGTTTAGCTGTAAAGACATGCGACCCTACAATGTGGTTGAAAATCCGGGGTTCTGTGAATTGATCCAAACATTGTGTAATTATTGTGTAATGTTTACATTGAAAATGGCACTTGATTCAAATAAAAAGGTTAATACATTTGCCATCAATTGTTGTTTATAATATCCATAATTAATTTAAACCCGATTTCCTCACAAGAAACAACAGGGATCTCGGAAACTTTGCCTGCACTGTCCAGTAAAGTTACTGAATCGATTTCAAGTCACTGAATCGAACCGTTCTAAATGAACCCAGATCGTCCATGAATCGAATCGGCAACCATGAATCGCGATTTGAATCGAGTCGTTGTTAAAATGAATCGTTACACCCCTACTAAGAACACACAAGTGAGCTAAAACATTCTGCCACTGAACGCATCCCCCCCAATGATAACCTACCACATGTGTCCAGGAGCTCATCATACCAAATATAAAAAAACCTAAATGCTTTTTAGAACGCTTCATGACTTACATGGAGCAGCAGGATCGGGTATTGATGATGAACACGTAATCAGGCTACTTCCGTTTCACAGCTTCCGTATCTTCTTCCTTCAGGACAAACTTTTTTCTCAGAACTTCTGAAATTAGAGAAGCGGAGTCCTCCTCTCTGAGGGACGTACAGCCTCTGTTGTACCTGCAATGACACAGCGTGTATACGATGTAATACTCACGACATTTGTGCATATAAACAATAAATCAAACAGGCCGTTTTAGTGAATAGGCGTATTTGAGTAGAAGACAGAAACCACTCGCTGACCTTAGACGAAGACAAACACATGAAGTCCAGCTGCCAACTCGTACCTGTCTTTGCTCATCTTCATGCGGTTCATGTCCTTCAGGATGTCCATAACATCAGCAAAGCTGGTCGATTTCGATAGAGACACTGTATCCTCCTCCGCCTCCCGGAACTCCATGCTGGGTCTGTCCAGATCAAAGGTCGCTGATGCCGTCATGGAAACGGGCGGAAGGGGGTCAGGGACCAGCTCTGACACCACAGAGACCACATCTCCTTCTTCTTCCTCTTCCTCTTCTTCCTCCTCCTCTGTGACATCACTGATGACAAAGGAAGCGGCAGCTGTAGCGGCCGGCTGATAGGGCGCCGTCTCGAAAGGCGCCATGGAGAAGCTCATACTTGTGTCGTCAGGGGAGAGCAGGTCAGGGGTCACAGGGTTGGAGTCTGAAAAAAAGAAAAGAACCAGAACGGGGAAGAAATAACAGTCTGGAGCAGTTTAATGAGGCTTGGGTTGGACAGTGGTGAAAGAAAGAGGCAGAGCCGATATAAATTTTAGAAGCACACAGTTCAGATGCCATTTCTAATGTATATTTCTGGCCTGAGCTATTGTAGCATTATGTGGATCTCCTCCGCAATTATATCTGGAGTAGAGTGCTTTGGGAGAGTCTACACTGCCATCAATCACATTTCAGCAGTAATGTGCTTTCTTCATGAGGCAAGCACCCATTCTTGGTTTCCTCACCTAAAAGCCTGAATGCTTCTGGGATCCTATTACCTACCTCGAAGCCTGGCTGTATAATTTAAGGAGAATCAGGGCAACTGAAGGCAACAAAGACAGTATGTCAGCGGTGAAACATTCAACACTATTATGAGCAGCTTTACGAATCCTAGTGTGAAGTATGAATAAAGAATGTCAAGTTACGTAAAAAACAGTTCTCACGTCCGTCTTTGATCACTTAAAATCAAAGATCACGACCTACAGTGGACATGTCTATATTGTGGGCACACTTTAATTGCTGCCTTGGTTGCCTACCAGAATCGCTTGCCACAATCTTGGCGATCTGTGCGCGCAGCCTGCTGAGCTCGTCTTGCAGGGCAGTGGTACGGTTCATGGCCGTCACCCCAGGCTTCCTAAGCCCCTCCACCCTTTTGCCCTCACGGCGGAAGTTGGGTACAGACGAGTTCCTGTGGAGCACCAGGAGAGGCGTGGGCCGCCATTCGTGTTTCAGAGGTCGATTGTCACTCCTGAGAAGAGAAGAAGGCGATGAGTGTTGCTGAACAGTAATCTCACGTCTCTTTCATTTGACAGACTTTGCAGTAAACACTCTATTAGTAATGAATACTTTAATAACGGTTTATTACAATTGCAACCCGATCTTATAACACTAGAAGAATACATATCTTTGGTAAATGTTCAGTTTTTACTGCAAAAATCAGCTTATACAGTTTCTTTAGACTGTGAAAGTGCACTTATTAAGGTGGAAGCTGCAGATATTGATCAGTGACTTGGCTGTACTCCATAACCTTACTGGTTGTGTCTTAGGGCGTCAGTGGATATTTACCGCACTCGGGCATACGTCTCTTCTTCATCTGCAACAATCCAGGCTATGTCGGCCAAGGTAGGCACGATGGGGCCATCTCTAGGCCGAAGACTGGGCATGCCCGGTAGTTCCTGATGCACAAGAACAACAGCCAGTTAATGTTGCATTTACAAGCGTCTCTATTATTAAAAAAGACAAATAAATCAATAGGTTAAAAATGAACTAACTGAATGAAAAAATTACATGCAGGACTTGTTGGATATTTACCTGGAAGCATGCTCTCTGTGGAGGTCTAAGCGGAAGAGTGGAACCTATTCTCCTCACAACACTACGGGTGGATCCATGAGGCTTATTCTGCCAGATAGGAATAACTTCCTGTAAAGCACATATTTTCAAACGGTCGCTCTACAAAGTGTTGTACTTGAATGTCAGTCTCTCAGTCTAGCATTTGCATACTTGCACAGTCACGTGTGAGAAAGGCAGTGTTAAGTGAAACAGTGTTAACAGACATCATTAACAGCAAAGCAATCAAACTTACTGCATCCGTTTCCATGGTGACGGTCTATCAGTTTCATTCACTGGGAAGGTGCACACCAATGCCCGGTGCTTGTAGCGGCTGAGATGGAGCAGTTCAGTGGACGGATGCCATGGCACATCGACTGCCAGGAGATAAATTATTATTACATTAGTTTGAGCATCTGTTAAGAGACACAAGCAGGAGGCGGACACTGCAGTATTTGACACACAAACGAGTAAATAGCTTAGTATGATTAGAAGCAGGAAAACGTAGTGATTATTTTCATGATTGATGATCATACTTTGATAGAAACAAGTAGGCTATCGACGACGGAAGCCATTAGATACAAAAAGCATGAGAATGATGGGTCTCAACAAAACATTCAACGATTCTTGTGTTTTACTTTAGAGGCTAAACAACTACAAAAACTTTCAAAGACACTAAATGATTAACGCTAGGGAATAAAGTGATTTTCAAAAGTACAGTGTTGGCGCCATCGGTGCTGGTCATACATGAATTAAAGATGTTAAACAACAGGGTGAGGATCACCATTGCTAATATAAGCTAGCTGACTAGCTAACTAACTAACCGCTTAACATGAACGCTACATGTTAAACAGCTAACGTTAGCTTTCATTGTATCGACGCTGCGTCTACTGGCCGTTTTCACCAAAGACGCCGGTGATGGAGAATGACGATCGTCAGAAAAATAGCTCGGGTCGCGTAGTTTTCCAATAGCTTTGCTCAGTGAGCGGGTAGCTAACGCTACGGGCATCCGCCACTGAGTGACCGTCAGTTAGCTTTAGCAGCAGCACCAAGGGCCCCCCGGTTGACCCTCAACGTACACTAACGCGACTACTTCCCACCGTGTCGGCCTTCCCTTCACGGAGATGCAATCACCGCCGCAAGCGCGTAACTTACGGTAGATTACGCCAATAAGTGGGAACGTTAACGCGGGTTAATTATTCACGAGCAGCCGCTTCTCCTCTTTCGTCTTGCGGCTTGGAGATGTGTGTTTTTCCTCTTTAGGCCGGAAAACCCGTGCCTTCCTTCCCCGTGATTTGATTGGCTGGAGCCCGGTCAGCTTTTTCTTTCTTTATTCGGAACCAGTGCACGAGCGCCCCCAGAGGCGGACATGAGGAGATGCTACATAATGAATGCCATTTAACTTAAAAATGTGTTATTGTGGTCAAACGGTGGGATGAAATCTCGCCCCCATTTTTTGTTTTGTTTACATAATTATATATTTATAAATAAAAAAATAATTATACACAACAATGTAGACAACACAAAATGAAATATCCATTGAACCCCTCCACAACAGCACGAGATTCTCAAAATATGACTATCTCTATTTCTATGCTTGTAAAGGCTCTGTTCTTCTGTGTGGCACTAGAGCAGTAGAGGGCAAGATAGTAGTCTTTGTTGGGGAACAACAAGGGACATCACATGAGACAAAACAATGAAAATAATATATATCTGATAAGTGATAAAGAAAGAAAATTATATCTGAAATAATTAAAAATAATAATATTGACTTAAAAATAAGTAAATAAGTTTTTGAAATGTCCTCAACATAGACTGTATATAACTCAAGATGCGTCCCTCCCACCTACTTCCGCCTCCGCTTGTATCAGCCGGCCTACCGGGATGCATCTTGACTGGGTGGAGCTTGACTATTGTAACTCTTTACTTGCAATGATATCACAACACTGCAATATGAGGACAGGCTCCGATGACCGCCGCCCGTCTCCATCCCTGGGCAACGCACGGGTCGGTAAATATACCGCTCAGTTAACACGATGCCTGCGTGAACTCTTCGTCTCTGTTGATCCGCTGATGTCGTATTTGGTTTCTGCCTCAGCAGCAGACTCGGTCGTTCTGTAATGTCGTCTGAAATGCTGACTGTCACGGTGATTAACGCACGCCGATCATGCACCGGGTACCAGCCTGCGATCCTGTCAATAATATGATTGTATGGGTAACGTGAAGGATGCAGGACAGCAGCACGTTGCTGTTAATTCAGAGGTAACAGGGTGTAAGCCTTGTGATGCGGAATGAGATGAACAGGAATGTAGCCCGGTTGCGTTCCTCAATGTCTCGATCAGAACATAATCTGAGGTTGTTTTGACAAAGCTGTGCGCTAGGAGAGACCTAGTCAGCCTGTTGTCCTTTTGTTTTTAAAGAAACACAGCCCTTTTTATGTGTAACATTATTTTACTCCATTATTACAGACATATTAAGCTACTGAAAAGTGTAACATGTACTAAGTCAGCATCCTTGGATCAGAAGCTCACAATTGAAATATGATAGCACACTCAGTTTATATGGATCGATTGTCAACCTGTCTCCATTACCCTGCAAGATGTGTAGCTTATTTCCTGATTGGGTCATATAGCTTTTACCATCCCTTCTCCCTCCCTCGGCCTAGATATTTTTTTTTAAAAGTACCCCAATGACATATGACCTCCTGTCTTGTGAAGGTGTAACTGGGGCAAAAGCCAGGCATGGGGATTAAAAGAAGAAGGAAGGATGCATGCTGAGCCCCTCATCCCTCTGCAACCAACGCCGGCCTCTGACTAAAGCAAGACAGAAGATGGCTCAGTCCGTGAGGAGGCAGGAGACTCCAGGAGCCATGGACCACGAGTCCCAGAGGGACAAGACCAGGACCGGCTACTTCGGCAACGTCAAGACCAGGTCAGGCCTGTAAATACATGGATTACTGTAGAGAAAATGAGGTGAAAAGCTCTAAGCAGACATGTGACGTGTTTGGTTGGCAATGGCTTCTCAGATTTATTAAGCACGATACAATTCAGTTCTGGTTGCGTCGAGCGTCACTGAAAGACTCCCGAGCTCCATCAAAAGAGCATCATGTGGGGGAGAACATGGACATTTCCTCAGACAGCACCCACTCCTCCCTATAAATATCTCCAATCTGCTCTATTCACTCACTCTTCAAATTCTTAATACAAATTAATCCTTTACTCTCCCCCTGTTATTAAAGAATATAATGTATATTGTAGCGTGGACTTTCCATCTTGAATGATCATAATGGAAAACTAGAAAAAAAACAGAAAGAGGCACTTTGAATTCAGATTTCATTTTCCATGCTTTGAAAATGTGTACTCTTGTTTTTATTTTACTTGTATGATATCAAATCAAATATCTTTATGGTTTTTTTATAAAAGATGACACCCTTGCGTTTTTGTTGTATAGTGAAAGGTGTTTTATTTTACACACCAACTAATAACTAATGCATTGAGAAATGATAACACAAAATAATACATTTAGTATCTGATTTATAGACCGATGTTGCATTAATATCCAGTGATTTATAACTGTGCTACATACTATTAATAATATTTGGGTGAAAAGTTTCAAGAATTTGAGATTTGAGTGAGTTGACATTTTTTGGGGATCAATAGTTTTGTGGTGTAATTTTAGACGACGAGTAAATGATCCAGTGATGTTTTGCTCAGTTTAGATACAAATTAAACACGTCACATGCTTATTAATAGATCTACTGGGTCAGACGGGACCTTATTGAAGATAATCTGTTTGATAACTGAGTCTAAACAACTGCTTTAAGAGGAAGTACATTCAAACAACTACAATCAATTCTCAAGAAAAGTAAAACCCATCTGATGCTTTGCTCTTTCTCAGGCTGGGTTCCAAGCTTCCTCCCGGCGTCTCTCAGCCTCCGCAGTTTGCGAAGCGGCCGTGGGAGACTCCCCCCGGCGTCCAGCGTCCGCGCCACGCCGCCGAGAGCCGACCCCTGGACCACACGCCGCACATCCGAAACCCCAAACTACGGCAGTACTACCTGCAAGGTGCGCCTGCTCTGTTTGTCGTCCCCTCGGCAGGGGAACAGGCGGTTTGCGCTGAGGCCGAACGCAGGGGCGAGCGGGCTGAAGCGCGTCGCTCCTGTTACTAAACAGCGACGATGCGCTGGACCTCGGGATGTTTTTGTGTGACAAAACAAGTTGTTTTTTTTCCCCTCACAGGGACTCCATGGGACCTGAACAATACTGCAGTGAAGCAAGAGCATTCGAGTGGACCATCAGGTGACAGCACAAGCAGCAGGGTGAGTCACACGTCTTTTTTTGTTTGTTTTCAGCTTGTGGCTTGTGAGAACAGTTGAGACATGGTCTTGGGAAGTGGGGAAGCGACAGACTTGGATTTATTGGTGCAACCTAGACGCCGTCTGATGAGGTACGCTATGGTCGGTTTCACAATTTATGGGCTTGAAGAAGTTTGATAAAGAGCGTCCAAGGTTCAGAGTTGAGTGTCAAAGCTGTTGGAGACGTCCACAAACGTCATGGGAAAGCAAAGTCTGCTTCAGCGCCTCTACAACAAACACAGCCGAAGGAATGAACATTCAGATGTTTATTTAAAGGTATTTACCTGCTGGGTGTTTTATTGTTCCGCTGGGATGCTAAATATGAAAGTTTTTGTGATTTTTTTTAAAGATTTTGCGGCCGAGGTAATCCTTTTTATTTAATGTGTCATCCATTTTCTTCTCATACGGAATTCCCTTGACGTCTCTCATAGATTACTGCTTGCAAGAAGATAACATATTGTGCACGAAGGAAGAGATTAACGTTTTGATACATTTGATTTTGGTTCGTGATCAGATCTGAATCTTCTCCCGTGTCGTTGTTTCAGGGTCTCAGTGGGGACACGGTATTCAGCGTCTCATCTCAGTTCAGTAGCCATAGTCCCTCTTCAGGGGGAGACGGGAATATTGCTCCCTCCAATTGCTCTTCAGATTCACCCTCCTCTTCTGCCCCCCGCCCTCCTAGAAAGGTACAAATGAATTGTAAGCCCGTGATGGGACAGTGGGAATGTTACGTGTGGAAAGGGATGGATATTAAACCATTAGCTTTTTTTTCACCCCGCTTTGGCTGACACAAAACATTTCCCCCATGTCTCTTATTGCTTGAGCTGTACGTGTTTAACTTTCGGAAAGGACGTTTCTTTCACCTTTAACCCATTTATGGAATCAATACTTACTACGGGAAACGCTGGCCTGTAGAAAGAGGAAGTAGTCCCTCGTATCACCGTGTCGTGTGTGTTTCAATGTCAGAGCTATTCTTATCATGGCTTCCATTCTAAAGCAGCTGGTCGTCCCGAAGGGAAAAAGCCCCTCCGCTGGTCCAGTATCGTCTCAACAAGGACTGGACTGTAAAGCTAAACGACAGGCGGATCCAGAGTCTTTGGAAACACTCGCTGCTCAAACTCAGCCTCCCTCACCAGAAGCAGAATATGACAAACTACTGGTAAGCTAAAAATAAACAAAAACATCTTCCTGTTTCTGCATGAACTGCATTTCCAAATTAAGCGACGCTTAAAAAAATAGTTTGAGATTGTTGTTGTTAAATTGAGTAATTTAGGGATTAAGAGCAGAATCTGAACAAAGGGTTTAAACAAAGTCTTTAAGCAGCTTTATTAGTGTTCATGAGTGAGTAGATTTGAAGTTTGCAGGGAAAGCAGAGTGCAGAGGCATTGGGCAGCCAGAGGATGGACCTGAGACACATGAATTCACAGATCAGCCATCCACATATGTAACTGCACGGTAAACAAAGACGTTTCATTTTTTAAAAACATAACTGTGGTGCGGCTCCATTTTAGTGGGCTTGGGCCAGGTGTTGTGACACTAAACAGAATGGGAACTTTATCAGGTGTATCCATTACACCTGTGTTTACCCTTCAATAACATGTCAACACGGCTGCTTTGAAAAGGGCATATTAAAAACACACTATGAAGCCCTGTTGAAACCAGGTTGACCAACTGACAGAAAGTGTAAAGCCGTTGTAGTTGTACAGCAGAAGCTTGATAAATCTCGGGTGTGCGGGTTGATTGACAGGAGTGAGAGTGAGAGTGAGAGAGTCACCCGCAGGCAGAGGAAGGACAGACAGCGGACAAAAGAAGACACACAGAAACCCACTAGGAATGAGGAAGAGATCCAGACTGACAGGATTAATGTTCAAAGTGGTCAAATAGATCCATTGTTTCACAACACAATTAGAAGTGAACCTGTTTTTTCAACCTGTTCATGATCTGACTTTCTGTATTATCTTTTGACTCTGAAGGGCGGACTCCTCCCCTTGGTTGGGAACCCGTAAACTAAACTTACCCAATTGTAAATGTATTATATTGATGCATCAATATTCCGAATATGATAATGTAAAATGTGATAGCGTATAGGTTACAGGGGACAATTTATTCCATAAGGAGTCATTCTAATTTGATCCTATAAGATGCATTTATCTGATAATATTGTTAATCGTGCAGGACTTGATGCATTTTTAAAATCTGTCGCATTGTCACTTTTACAATAAGTACGTCAACAATCTTCAGGGGATTTTGACGCATTTCTGGGAGATGAATAAAACAGATTGACTTCTAAATGCAACCGGACAAAGTGCCACTTCAAAGAGCGTTCCATAAACCTCGTGCAACACACACATTTAAACATGCATGAGAAGATATTAACAGATCTTAACAGAAACCTGAATGACAGGGTTTTTATCATCTGTGGGCACCGCTTATCTTTTGACAGTGACTCTTGACACGGCAATGTAGCAAAAGTGATCGCTATCTCAAATTTACTGACATACTGTACGTTTTAGTACAGTTAATTTATTAAATAAAGGAATCAAGAGCAGAAGCAAAAGTGAGATAACGTTGTAGTTAAACAGATGGTGTCACATCTGTCTGTCATCTTACTGGTCAGTTATTGGCTGTGGTGGAAAAGAATTAAGTGATCACAGAACGGTCATCACAACATAACCTGAATTTATTTCACAGAATAATACCGACATCTAGCATTCAACTGTGATGTTTGAAAATGCCTTAAACCTAATTTAAATAGACACAGAACTGAAACTAACAATGGTTGACTAATTTACTAATTGTTTTCTTGAGTAATCATTTAAAAAAGTCGGAAAATAATCAATCAAAAATGCCCATCGCAATTTACAAGGCCAATTTATTTGAATTGCCTGTCCAAACCACATAGTTTTAATAATTTAAGATTATCATTGGCAAAGCTAAAACCAATAAATATTCAGAATTGATGTAGGGACGAGTTAAAGGCTTAATCAAATCCACGTCTGTTGACCAATCATTCCGGCTCTGATTTTGTTGTTGTTGTTGTTAATGCCGATACGATTTGTGTTGTTGGCAGGATGTGGAGGCGGTCCCGATGCCTGACGGACAGCTCTGCCTTTTGGCTCTGCCCCCTGAGTGCTGCCAGGGGGAGGGACCGGGGTCCATGCGGTACCTCAAACTGTTCTGCCGCTACATCACGGACAGAAAGGTCGCTGTGAACAGCACTCCTGCTCCGGCTTTGGCCCCCTTTAAGAAGAAGAACATCTGTACACTAACACCACATCTGTCTCTGTTTAGGGGGTAGTCTCGGGGATCTTATTGGTGACGTCCAACAAGATCTTTTTCGACCCGTGTAAGACGCATGCTCTTGTGAAGGAACATGGGTGTGAGGAATACCTCCTCTCCTGCTCTGTGGACAGTCTGGCATCCGTCGCCTTCTTCTCGGACATCTCACACGTTCGATTCAACACGTCCCAGCAGAGGTCAGCAATGATTCACTGTTCCTAAGCCTAACGCGCATGAATTACGGATTACGTGAAAAGGCAATGGAAGATTTTTTTTTTTACTAGGAAAAAAGGCAAAAAAAATGTCCAGAATTTGAACACCGCCAAAAGACCAGCAGGCGGCTTCCCGAACCCGAAGGGGGAGTCGCTCCCAGCTCGGGTGTCTGTGGCTTCATCAGATCTGTCCCATCTGGCTCTCTGCCGGACCAAAGAGGTCTGTGGGGAGAAGGAGAAGGAGGCCGAGAGCGTGGACGTGTCGGCGGCTGAGGTGGAGCTCGATAGCGGCCCTCCGGAGGTGCTGCCAGAGGCGTCTGCCGGCGACTTGGGAGCGTCAGCCCCGAGCGGCGCTGCGACCTCCTCTTTTGGCGATCGAGAGGCGGAGACGTCGTCTGGGAAGAGTTGGACTGCAGGTAATGGATGTGAATCCAGAGAGGTCTCCAGGAAGGCTCATTGTCTTTCTATGTGTCTTCACCGTAAGTCAGCGCTGCCTCTGTGCTTACTTCCTCCAGTGCCTTGGAGTTCGTCAGCTGGAAACGCCGGGGGTCTGATGTTTTTGCGGCTGCGGGTTCAGCCGTCTGTGGGAAAGACAAAGGGGGCTGGGGGCCTTCAGATGGGGGCGTCAAAACCGATCCATAGAAAAGATGCCTGGCTCGCGCTTTCACAGGAGAGGTACTACAGCAGGTTTAAAGCGATACTCCAGACATTTAATATCACAATAGGGGGCAAGAGGGTCATTTTAAGTGCACAGGGTCATTTCATCATCAGCTGTTGGTTTGGCTGAATATTTTCCTAATTTCCTATGTGAATTTTCCCGTATGGTGCTCCATTTTAAATTATGTCAGTTTTTAATTTGAAACCTAAATAATTGTGAATGATTTGATGTTGAAAACATTTATACCGGTTTTCTTTTTGGATTCCACTGTGTTGCTTGGTTACCACTAATGTCCGATTAGAGCTTTTGCGCATGTTGGTAACCTTGACTGGGACAATTCTAGTGTCCTGAAAACACCTCATCCTACATTTCCCACAATGCAACCTGGTAGCATATTTAATTTCAATCCCACAAATACAAACTTTGTTCAAACATCACATCTAGATGTCGCCACATAAACATAAGCTGCTCCAGAGCCACAGATCAACTGTATAAGCCGGACAAGAGGACACTTCATCTACTTGTGACTCCAGTTGAATATTTACTTTCCCTGTCAACCAATCTTTTCATTCCGTGAACATTTCAGTAAAAGTACAAAGGTTAGTGAAAGGGCACCCAAACAGTAACTATTTAACACTGTCTAAACACAGTTACCCACACACTGTACTTGAGTATTATTTGAACTCACAACCCCTCAGTTAAAAATATAATTGCCAATAAATTCACGAGTCAATTAAAAGCTTTCAAACGCTCCTCCTGCTGGCGTCTCTTCTGGCCGTGTGTACGCAGCTGTTGGGATTGTTTGCTTTTTCAACGTGTCTGAGGGGCCGCTTTGTTTCCCCCCCCCTCCCGCAGCTCTAACGAGCTGTGCGCCTACCTCACCCACTGTCGACCAGATTTGTGTATACTGGAGGGAGGAGAGGACGAGAGGGAGGCGGACCGGGACGAAGAGGAGTTTGTAGTCATTGAGGACGAAGAGGAGGAAGAGGACGCGGAGGTGTTCCAGAGGCACCGCGGCTCAGGGGACGACTGGGAGGTGAGTGGGTCCATTTCACTCTCGCAGGAAGGTCGTTTTTTTTCCTTCGAACATTTCGGCCTTTGGGGCGAGTGTGTTCACAATCAAACTCTGATTGTGAACACACTCGCCTGAAGGTGAGCGTCTTTAAAGGCACAAATGCCTCTTGTTCTTTCTCACAAGAGAGTCTTGTGCTCTTCATGGGTCCTTGTGAGTAGATGTATTTGAGTTGTTGAGGAACAGTGATTGATATTGAGTTCTCTTTAAACGGGTCGGGACAACTTTAACTGACAGAGGAGAGAGCGAACTGAGACCCGCTTGGATTCTTATCGGTTGATGTTTTGCAAATATACAAAGCAGAGTGGAGGAGGTACCAAGATGACATTTAAAAAAACGAGCTGCCACTTATCTGAGTGAGCGGAAAGCTGTACAAGTTGTCTCTACGCTGCAGCTGTTGCAGAGGAAAATGTACTCGTTCACGAGTGTTTGGTGAGAGTTCTGTTACGTAACCGGTCGGATCGTCTTGAGCCAGCGTGTCCAGGAGGGCAGCAGCAGCGGTCCAACGCGGTTGGCTTATGCGTAAACCGTGAACACTTTAAGCCACCCTGGTTCTGGTCGGGTTTAGAATCCCACGTGACGTCCTAAACCTGTTTCATGACCATCAGCCCGTCGGCCATCTTTGAGTCAATAAGACATTTTGATCAGGTGTTTCACCGTTTCCTCTCGCCAGACATGAAGAATGATGTGATCATGTATGTCAGATTACTGTTTCGCCCTATCAGACCGTCCCACCTGCACCTCTGTATCCCATCCTGGTCATTTTTTTTCTTTTTTTTTGTGAAAATACTAGTATATCACAAACTTTGGTTGGGAGTGTAACACCCTCACCAAATGTTTTTCTGCAGATGGTGTTAATGGAGGAGAGTGGGGACAAACCAGGCCTGGTCATCGACAGGGAACCAGATGGACTCAATGATATCGTACAGAGCAGCCGTATTTTAGAGGCTTCGCATGTCAGAGAGGTGGGTCACAAACCTATACGCACAAACCCGTCACACGAATGCAGCAGCTCTTCATAAATCCGACACTTAGTTTTGGTCACTGATTTTCTTCACAGATTTAGATCTCAGCATCTGGTCCCGTTCATATTTGTGCTCCTTCAATCTTCTTTCAGCTGTGTAAGGAGCTTCCAGCGAGGACGGTCGGCTACAGCTGGCAGCTGACCTACAGTACGTCCCGTCACGGCGCCAGCCTCAAGTCCCTCTACAGGAGACTCGGCGCCACGGACTCCCCTGTGCTCGTTGTTATCAAGGACGCTCTAGATGAGGTGAATGAAAACACTGATGTTCCCTCTAATATTGATTTTGCATGTTCCATGAATTGAATTCTCTTGTGACTTTTATTCATCTAGACATTCGGGGCCTTCCTCTCTCACCCCCTGAGGCTCAGTGAGACGTTCTACGGCACAGGAGAAACGTTCCTCTTCATGTTGCATCCTCGATTCAAGGTGAGACAACTAATCATCTCTTTTCTTTTTAGTTCTGCCAATTTGTAAAAGATCCGCTAAATATCAAATTCCTTTTTTTTTCTGGGTTCTTTTTTTTTTGTAAAAGCAACGAGACAAAGTTTGACCGTAGGCCCTGAAATGGTTTTGTGGTGAATGGTTGGTTGTTCCTTTTCTCTGTAGTGCTTCAAATGGACCGGAGACAACTCCTTTTTTATTAAAGGCGACTTGGACTCCTTCGCTATTGGCGGAGGCAGGTAATGCCTTTTCACAACTTCCCAACAAACTACCATTTTTAGTCTAAAATATATGAACTATATAGGCATTTCAGCAATTTCTTCCGTCTTTACCTTCAGCGGTCACTTTGGTCTCTGGGTGGATGAGAATCTGTACCTGGGTCGCAGCAACCCCTGTTACACTTTCAACAACTGTTGCCTCTCGGAAACCAACGACTTCCGAGTCATGGAGCTGGAGGTGTGGACGTTCACCTGAAAAGGTCGCCGGGTTTCCCCCTCGACTCCCATCGCTGCCTGCTTCGTCGAGACCGCATCACACAGATGCAGCCGTGTGCTCATTTCATGAACTGCTGAATTTATCCGTGTGATTTAGTCCTGAGGAGGAACTGAACTGACCAGGCAATGCGATCTCGCTCAGTGTGGAGGTTTAATGTCTGATGGTTTCATGGTTGACTCATTCATTTTGGTTTGGCAGAAAAGCTGTGAACTCTGTACTGAATTGGATTCTTTTGAGTCCCGGAATTAAGTCTCACACACTGCACTTTGTTCTTGACGTGAATCAGTAACTTCGTGATATCTTTAACATTTGGCATGTGAATATGACGCCAAGCCTAAAGCCTTCATATAGCTGTGCTTAGTTAAAGCTCAAAGTTCACAAAGCGTATTTATCTTCTTGTGAATAGATTTATCTGGTGAAAACTACACAAGCACCTGTCATTGCACACCGATCATTTTTATGGGTTTTCATTTACTGCCATAGATGGCAGAAATGAATATTGGAAATAATCACGTGCAAACACTTGGCATTCCACTTAAAGAAAAGCTTTTCAATTGAATGAAACGGCTGCACTTACAATGAACGCTTTTCATTTGAAGTGCTGACTCAACTGTATCCGTGCCAGAACAAAACAAATCACGCTTACATTGTATTATAGTTCATAAAAGCAGCAAGTGAACCTTTAAACAGTTAATTGTGTAGCACATGTCAAAGACCATTCATTTTGTACAAAACATTTTAATTTTTAAAAAAATGGCACTGGTAGTTTACAGAATAACTTTCCTCCCTAAAGGCTTCAATGTGTAAGAGGATCTATGACCATTCACACACATCAAGTTTTGCGGTTTCTGTTTAACATTACTTCTGTTGATCCCTGTGCTTAGGATCTGTAGAGGAAACGTTTGTATGTATGAATCAAAAGAAAGACATAAAATAGCTTATACTAGATCCAGATTGTCACCTTTTTTTTCCTTAAAACATTGAGCCTTTATTACGTGTTTTGACTAAATTCTTAAAGCGGAAAAAACACATGTCCAGTATTGTGTGGCTCTACGTTCCAGAATGAAACCTGTAACCGTTTGGTTCCCTTTACATGTATTAATACGAACCTTGACAGCTGTTCCAGCTGCACCGAGCTTCCGCACATATTCAAATGCTCTTTGGTGCGGCCTAAAAAAACCCTAAACACTTGGTTTCAACTTAAAGCAAACTGAAATACTTCTGAGCGCCACAGTAATGTTTATCCTGCTGCTTTTGTCCCCTGAGTCGGGGTGGGGGGGCGGCGTTGCTTGGTTCCCTCCAGCAGTCTCAGCAATAACATCAGGCGTCGCCCGGCCCAAAGAGATTTCAGGCAACGTCTTCACAAGCTGCTGAAACACAACTGAAGGCAACGCGGCGGCTGCCCCTCTTCCCTCCCCGTCTGTGGGCAAACTCAAGTCATTAAAAACTGGGTGTAAAATAAGAGATGTAGGACTTTTGTGCATTAAGCTACACGCTCAGGGACCCGGTCTAAATGGGTTAACATACCCATTACTGCTGTATCGAAGTAAATATGCTACATTAACAGTATCATTGGGTTTGAGAAGCAATATTTCCCCGTTAAGTTTGTCACCGGACAAAAATAAACTGGACAGAAAATGGAAAACATGTCAGCTGCCGACACTGATGAGAAAGCTTCTCTATGTAACCGTTGGCGGCTTTTCCTTATCTTGGATCATTAGGTCAGAGGAATGATAATCATTTCCTTCCGCTTGGTCTCTCCGCCTCTTATCGCGCACTCACACCAGCTACTGTGCCAGGTACTCCTTGGCTCTCTCCAACCCCTCCTTGAGGAAGTTGATATACGTGGATGTAGACGGGTCCTCAAACCCTCCAGAGAAGCTGAACGGAGCGCCTTCCTCCTCTGGTTTCATGGCCGTCTGGTCCAGGAAGAAGTTGGCATTGATGTGGTGGATCTAAAGCCCAACGGGAAGCAGATGAAAAGTCTGACGTTCTAACGCGCCCGTGTTGACCTGAGCGTGCGGCTGCCAACACAAAGGCACACTTATAAAGAGGAAAGATTAGCAACATTAATAAGTACAACTGCTTTCCCTATTCTACTTGTTTAAATGAAATCACTTTACACTCAAATCAGCAGGAGTTGTTCTACATATTTACAATAGTTCCATTGGGCAGCGCCACCATCATCTCGACTGGGAAGTTGTAGTTCTCCAGGTGTAATCGGGCCTTTTCACTCAACACAAGGTTCTGCTCATCAGCCTGGTTAAAAGAAAAAAGGACAAATGTGAAAACATAAATGGAGAATACTTTTTGGGGGGGGGGGGTGTGGAGTTTCTCTGGGTGTTGCGCTGCTCACCTGCATGTTCTCCAGCTCTCTGACCAGAGACCAGCTGCTTATGAAGCTCTGGTTGAGCAGAGCCAGGACGGGCGAACTTTCCAGAACTGTTTCCCGGAGAGTTCGCCCCGAACCTACAGGACGCACGAGTGGACAGAGATGTTGAAAAGGCAGCAAAGTGAGCCAGTGAGCTTTGCTGAACATTAACTCACACTGATGTCCGCATGTTGAATTAAAAAGATTTAGTAGTAGTGAATTCAACCTTTAATTTGTAAAAGGTAGACCTATTAATTCATTACATTCTATAAAAGTATCTGTGCTCCATTAGAAGTCTTTACCGAACACGCAAACGCAACATGGCAGAATTTCTCATTCACTCATAGTAAGTTGATATAAACGATTTGAGAGGCTTCAAAGTAACAGGGAAGATGTTTCCACTGGCTGAAGACAACAGTGACTCCACATGTCATTTTTTCCTTTTAACAATGACGACACGTGTTCATGATTTCACCTCAGCAGGACTGGTCGTCCAACGCCCCCCAAAGCAGAATGGAATGCACCAGTTTATTCTCTGCCTCAGCGCGCTCAAAGGCTTCGGAGAAGGGCAGGTAGGACACCTGGGGAGGGAGAAAGAGGAGGCCGACATAACGGTTGTGGAACCCACAGAGCTTGAGCCTACGATGCGTCGCTCGAACGCGCCGTTACCTTCTTGAAGGGGTAGAGGGCGACCTCCAGGCGCCGGTCGGCTTCTTGCCGACTCGTCTCTGAGCTCCAGCGGATGTCCTCAAAGACGAACTGGATGGGCTCACCTCCGCCCTCCCGCCTGTCGATGACGTCGCCCTTCTCATCCACGATGACGGAGGGAGTGGACGGGCCCGTGGACTGCAGCTCCAACTGTGCACGTATTCAGAAATTTTAACACAAGCCGTCTGAAATATAAAACTTTTTATATTGTTTTCATTATTTCACATCTCCTATGTTGCGGCCTGTGATCCGCGGATCCCTGCAGCCGTACCTGTGGCAGATATCCGATGTCCACCTCCATGTTGCTGCTCTCACTGGCCCCGTACAGCCACTCCATGTCCACATTCAGAGACCTGACACACAAAACGGGATTCATCGCACCGGGAAAGAAAAAAAAAGCGCAGACAGAGGAGACGGTTATGTGTCCCGAGGGATTTACCTGTCGTTGGGGACGTAGAGGTGAAAGCTACGGACGTGAGATGCATCTTTAGAAAGAACGACGTTGCCCGTGAACTTCCCGGGAGTGAACCAGAAGGGGAAGTCCGGGACATCGTTGAGCTGAAATTCTGCGTGAATCCTGTGGAGGTGAACAGGACGAGGAGATGGGTTTGTATCGCGAGAGGGGTCAGAATGTAACACAAAGGAAACTTTGGTACGACCTCTGGGACCAAACAAGAGATGTAAGCGTCTGTAATACCTCACGTTACTGCTGACTAATTTCTATAGAAATTGTAGATCGATTCCATTTGTAGGCTTTGTAAACCGCTTTCTATTAGCTAGAGTTACATTATTGTCACATGGAAATGCAGTTCTTCAAAATTCTGATGTTGGCATTTGGAGCTACAGATAAAAACTTAATACAACAAAATAAAATCAATCAGCATGTAGAACACATCGGGAGGTTTTCTGTATTTAAATAAGTCGCTCTATGGCAGCTGACTCGTGTGTGTTTTTACCTTACAAGAGCTTTCAAAACCGGAACAAACTAGACAAAACTGCTTAAGCACTTAATAATAATGAAACATTGAGAACGAAGTAAAGTGGAGTCAAGCGGAGCACGCAGATTTTAAGAGGAAACCTGTGGCCGCATGACAGCGTGGATATTAAAATGAACAATAAACTGTGGAAATTAGGCGGCACTGAAGTGAAGCAAACGTAATGTGGAGTTGAACGGGCCCAAAGAAGGGAAAGCACCCGGGTGACCTTTTCTGTCTCCTCGCAAATTGGTTCTCACCTGAACACAATGTCATAATAAAAGTCGCTGCTGGCTCGAATGCAGGCGACGGCGCCCTGAGGAGCAAAACGTGATTTGATGAAGGGCCGCGGGTGGAACATACTCAACAAGGAGTGGATGAGAACCTGCAGCAGGAGGAGAACAGCCATCAACAAACAGTCGGAGAACCTAGAAAGTCTCTGAAACCCTGAGGAGTTTCTTTGGGATACCTCTTTGCCCTTTGGTGAGGGAGGGTGGTAACGATTGTTGGGCAGGTACCCGGTGAAGATGTTGAGCTCGCTCGGAATGACCCACCACGTGTCGCCCACTTCCACCTTGTTCTTCGGGGGCAGCAGGGCCCTAAACTGGCCGGCAGAGAAGGAGGAAAAGGGCACCGCCGGACTCTTCCATGAGCGCAGCCCGCTCAGAGAGCTGTGAGACACCTGCAAGACCGGACAGCAAGGAGACCGGAGACTAAATCAATTCACGGTCTTCAAAAAAAAAAAAAACCTGTTACAATTCTAAAGGTCATTAAAAGTTATCAATCGGTTATTTTATTATTGATGTAGTTCTCGACTGCTTACAGAATCTGAATGAACTCCATCGACAAAGAGCTGATGTTGACAAAAACGACACGTCGGAAAAAAAGGTAATTAAGAATTCATTGTGTGCCGTTATCTAAACCCTTGATGCAGACTCGTTACTATCAAGTTGTCGAGAGAGATGGAGAGCAGTTTGGCCTCGTCCTACCCCAAGGAATCCATCTTTGCTTTTCGTCATGGAGTCCAGCTGCAGAGGCTGCATTTTGGCCTCCACGGTCAAAGTTTCTCCATCGGGGTCATAGATCTCTTCCTCTTCAAAATCTACCGGGGGTGTAATTCCTGTGAGGAAGGCACAGGGAGCACAGACGCAGCTTCATACTGAGGTTTTTGCAGGTGGACGAGGAAACGGCATTGATAATAAATGAGACACCGAGCAAGAAAAGTTGAAGTGATGTACCTGTGAGCTTCTCAACAATAGGTTTAAACTCCTCTGCGCTGAGATAAAGGTCGTGGTTGGTGTCCAAGGAGGAGAAAAGAAAGAGCCCCTCTGCACCCAGGGTTCGAACACTCTCCTCCTATTTGGAGGGGTGCACATGCGTTAGTGAGCAATCTCATCACATCAAGCACCGATATACAGGAAAAGAAAACACTGCTGTAGATGCAGCCTATCTACGCCCATATAAAAGCACGTGACTATAGTGTTTTGTGCCTCATTCAGCCTCAGCAGTGTCCTGTCTGGAAACAGATCAGCCCCAGAGGCAGAGACATGTGCTTCTCAGACCGATGCGTGCCTCCTGGCGCCTTTACAATGGAGGGAGAAGGAGAGGAAGAGGGGGAGGGAAGGACACGAGCAAGCAGGAGACCCCTGCTTAGCCAAACAAGAGTGTTTCACCAGCTGCGACTCGCATCCACCTCACCTAATAAAACACCACGAGTGGAAAAACTGCACAGGATGTGTTTCGTGGCGACTGAGTGTCTGACTGAACAGCATCGAATTATAACGATTAGATCTGCATTACGTGCATCACTAAATTTAGGTCATAAAATGTAATAGAAACTTTCTATTAACACAGACAGGAATTTTACTTTTTTGTTTTTATTGTTTTTTAGTTTAGGTCCCCGGTTAATCAGAAGAGGTTTTTGTAGATCTCACATGACGTTGGAGGAGCTGGGCATCCTGGTAATGTTTGATCCCGTAGGCGAGGAGCGGGACAGCGGCGACCACGAGCAGCGTCCAGACCCCGCGGGAGACCCAGGATCCGCGGCCCGGGCTCCGGCGCCCACCCCGCCGTGACGAATTGCTCTCATTCCCGGGGGGCGTTTTATCCACGTCCGCGGCCATCCTCGACCTCCAACCACGACTATTTGGACGGGGACATGGTCGTCGGATGACGCCCCGAAAAAAGAAGCCAGCAGGGAAATCGTTCGGTGTAAAAAGCCCTTTCTGTAAAGTGTTGAGAACCCAGCGGCAGTTCTGTTTTCCTGCAGCCGAGGTGCTGCGATCGCTGGCAACAGCTGTGCAATGTTAGTTAGCAGCACCGCTTTATTTCCCACATTCAGTCTTGAAACATATGGATGCGGTTAAAATGCGTCAAGTGAGCAAGTAGTAGCCAGGATGAGCAACCGGATATTTGCCGTTGGCGTTTTCAAAGTAAAAGCACCGCGTGTTCATCCGCACTCTGAACGCCGATATTCGGTGTGTTCATTGTACGCGTTTTAGGTAAATTGGCAAAACGTTATTTCTTACATGTGTTATATGAGTAAAGCACCTAGTAGTTGTGTTTAAAATGTATGGTTAGGATTTCACCGGGACATACTTTCAATGAGAAAACCGTTTGTAAACCCCTTTTCCGGGAACAAACCAACGGTTAATTACGTTTCCACACAAACCACATGGTATTCCTTTACTCATAACTTTGCAAAATTGAGAAGTTTAAATGAATATGCCCGGTAATAAAATGAACGTTTCCCGTTTTCTGAGGCGTCGGCGCTGATTACTTTATTTTGAAGGTAGTAACCGGAAATTGTTATTTACATTCCCTCTAACTTGATGAGTTACTGGAACAGTAACCAGATTTAAAGGGGCAGTGCAGCATTGCTCGTCCAAGGAATGACGCCTAAAACCCCATAACTATATGTTTGTGTGCCAATGCACGCTGTGATTATTGCCTTGTAGTTCCATGTTTTCCAGTAGAAGTGAAGGGCCTGTTTCTGCTTGACTTGCCGTTGGTATTTCCACACGTCAACAGCAGGGGTGTGTTATAATGCAATGGTGACGATAACCAAATTTCATATAACCTTTTGAGAAGTAGAAAGATGGGCATGCACAAAGGGTGTGTTAGCCATATGCAATAACAAACCCAAATTAGGTTCAGACTGCAGTTATAATCAGGGCTATTTGTTGGCCAATTACAATGCTGAATTAATATATAAAGAAATGCTATTGATGCCTTTTGGAGTTTGTGCAAAAAAAATTTGGGGGGGGATTACAAAGTGGACTGGAGTCGCTTTCAAAATAACTGATGAAACAATGTTTTAATCAAACTTTGTAGTCAAGCATGAATGCAGTCCATCGACTATATGTTAAAGCTTATTAGTATTACACAAATGATCACTATTTTTAAAGACACATGTCACATTACATTGGCCAGATTAAGATGAGACTTTCCTGCTTTGTTGATTGCCGGATGACCACTAGCTAAAAATACTGCACAAACACAGACAAAAGAAGTGTGTCAAAAAAAAATCACCTAAAATGCACTGAACATTTGTCACAGCAAGAAAGAATATAAGCAATTGTGTAAATGCTTCTGCAATTTAATTGATCAGTCCATAGATTCAGTAAGCAGCTCTCAGACCATGTCCTCTTCCACAGCCTGTGTCTTCACTTCAACCTTTTTTGGTTGGATGTAGGAGCCCATTCCCGCTGCTCGCTCTGCCTCCGCCTGTGTGTAGGGCTCCTCGCTGAGCTTTTTCAACCTGGGTGGAAAAATAAGAGAAGGGAATCTCTGAAAATCGCAGGTACACTTGGCTACTGTATAGTTATCAGGGACCGAATTCAGATGAACCACTTTCAGACATATGGTGCCTTACCGTCTTTTGTGCACTTTAGTTTTGAAGTGCTCCTTCATGGATCTCAAGTCCACAAAATATCTCCTGCAGGACATGAAGGGCCACATTGTTAAAAGCTAAGCGCAACCAACTGTTTATTTTTTATTTTTTACAACCGTTATCTAATCAGCTAATCTCAATGAGTTCAAGATTGATTTTGCATGAGACACGTGACTTAAGGAATAGAAATAAGAACAGAGATAAGTCACACAGGAGAATCCCAACCGGGCAACACGAGGTGAGTTGCTTTTAGGATCTGCAAATTAATTTCCTCACTGTTACCAGCTGAACAGAACATTTGGAAGCGTTTGTAGGCATTTTCATAACAGCGTTCTTATTGGAGCAGAAGGATTTTACACTGCGATATGGAGGTTTTTACTTAAGTAAAAAGACCAACGATCATCTCACCACAATTTGTACTGATCAGACCAAATGACCAATAACCAGACGCACCCTTATCATTGGTTGTTACACATTACAATCAGGGCAATTGCCAAACAACAACAACAACAAGGGAATCAACTGTACTCAAGGCCTCTTTGAGGACCAAACTGATAAGGTGCATGTGAACCTACGCGCAGTGTAAGCAGTAGTGTTGCGCACAGCCCGTCACATCCACGTCGACCTTCTGGTGCAGCAGCTTGGCGGCGGTCTCGGGCTTCATGTCCGCGTGGATCTGGTCCAGGTCCTTGGTCCTGCGTTTAGTCTTCCATGTCTTTGAGATGCTCTTCTTTTTGTCGCTGTTGTGATTTCCCGTTTGTTTGGACTTCCCCATGGCGGATCCTGATTAGCAGAAGACGTGGGAAACCAAGATATCAGCAAATGTAGACGTTCACGTCATCAAATCGGATGTGGTGGAGTAAAGTTATTGCCCGTCAGAAATAATCGGGACAGGGACATGAGTGATATAGCAGATTTCCTTCTAAAAAACACACACTTGTTTATCGAGTGAGGATTTCTTACCTTTCACACGCGTGGCCGAGAGGACTGAAATGTATTTCCGGGTCACGGAAAGTAGGAAAACAAAAGTACCACAGGGGGGCGCTAAACACCACGATTCTGCGAACATGATAGGAAATAACATGGCGTCACGCTATAGCCATTAAATATAAGAAGTATGCCAAATGTTTGGTCAAGTTAAACATTATTGTTCAATTTGCAACATATAAAAGAAAACTTCACGATCAAGGGGAGTTGAAGGAGGGGAGAACACCCTCTTTATGAATATTCGGACAGGTAAGTAATTAAATAGTCTTTCACTATAATTTATGGAGTATACGATGCGTTGAATGAATATAAACGTCTAATAAACAACAGCAACGTGCAAACAAATAATACAAAATTGGTAAAAATCAAATTTGTACAGATCGTCATCTCTCCCAGTGTGCGGGGTTGATGTTTAACTGACGTATAGAAATATTCCGACAGCACTTGAACGCGGCGTCAGACTGCACTGCATACGCGCCGTGGCGGAGTGCGAAGATGGCGGAGAATAATGTCGAACCAGAGCACGAATGGAGCGACCGGGCCCTAGATGCGGCCGATGACACTCTGGTTGCAATGGAAACCCTGCTGGCCACACTGAGAGCCTTTGAAGACGTACTCAGGCAACAGGAAATATCCATAGCATCTTCCACGGAGTACTGCGACAACTTCTGTCAGGTAATGTATACATGCAGCAGCGACGCTACGGTTAGCTTAACGTTAGCTCACCTAGGGTTGCGTTCTCTCGCATCCCGCTAACTGACGTTAGCTGCTCTGCGACGGCCGCTGGCCCGCTATCCGCCTGGTCAAGTTTATGGTTGGTTCTACAACCGCGGAGCTGTCCGTTGGCGTTGGCGTTGACGTACGCATCTAATGGCACGTTTCAATACCCGGCTATAGGTGGACATCAGTGGGCCAATGCTACTGCAACGTTGCGTTGTCAGTTGAGACACATATTGCCTGTTTGCTGGTTTTTAAGTTATCGCGGTTGAGCTGTGACTTTGTCGATTTCCAAACACACTCGTAAAGATAAACCTGACATATGCTTGTTTACACGTAATATTGCTGCATGTTTGCATGTGCGTGGGGCGGGGCGGCGTCACGGTATGTTTATCCCAATCTAACGGTGGAGCGAGACACACAAGCGCGTTCCGTTCGTTTTCATGGTTGCTTCTTTGTGTATCATTTTGCATTTTGGTTTTTTTTCTTCTGTTAGTCACCGTGTGATCATCCGCTGTGTCAAACGTTACTGTGTAATGTTGCCGACCTGACGTGATATTCGTCTCTTAACAATGGAGGCGTTGTCATTCTCCATATCACAGCAGGTGTAAACACAGGTTCTTTTTTTTTTTTTTATTACCGGTGAAAATATGGGAACTTCCACTTTCTGGTGGTAACGTTAACTGATGTAAACAAAGCACTTAGATTTTCAATGTGCAAGGCAAAGCACCTGTATTGGGCTAAAACATGGTGACCAGCCAAAGTGGATTGTACGTTAGATAATAGTTATTCATTAGCCAGCTCACTGTGATTGAATGTTTTACCTTTAGCCAGAAGATTTACCTGCATAAATACATCTTTTCATTGAATGAGATAACCATCGCTACTGAGGCATTTCTCACTTGGTGTGTTGCGGCTCAAGTGCAGGTATATTAGCACAACTTTTTGGGGATTTAAACCAAAACATTCGTTCTTTTCCCCCTCATTGTAGATGAATGATGTCAGACAAGTATACATACAGTGAAACAACAACGTGCAATGTCTGTTTAGTCAAATATTGTGAACATTGTAAACAATAATACAAATATGCTGGAATAAATATAGAATGATTCATTTAACAGTTGTTTTTTTATGGATATGTACATTGTGTGCATGCTCACACAGTGGGTTGAAGTTTGTCTTATTAATATTCTGTTGGACTCGGAAGTGGCCCGGATGTAATTAGTACACGGATATATGGGTCTCCAGGGTTGAGACTTATTGCTGGCTCCCCTTGAGACGGCGCCGTATATTTAGACTGAAGGGAATGAAGGTGTTGCCTCTGTAGACACAAGCAGCAACCCCCGATGGTTCTTCTGTCTTCGAAACAGGACTCGTGGGCTACTGACAGAGACGATGAGTTCATGTGCGACGCAGCAGGCTACAAACCGACGCATATGTTCACTCTTCTGTGTTTGGGGACAATTGAGACAGTTTTTTTTTCTTTGGGTTTTGTTGAATTAAAGAAAGGAATTGTGTTGGTGTATAAGTTAAAGTGCCTTATTTTTTAGTGCACCTTCACTCACTATTTAAGGAATAGGTTTGTCACATGCTGTACAGTCTAGTCCCCCCGGGCCCAATCAGCAGCATCTCACACCAGACGCGATGTCAGCTGGCATCAACCAGGTGTACACCGGTATCTCCCTCAGGTGGAACCGGATCTCTCGCTCACCTGTCCTCTTCTGATTGCAGTGTTTTTTTTTTTGAGAGCATTTTTGCTTTTTCGTCATTTTGTGTGCTTTTTGTGTGTTCGTAGGCACTGATGCACTATGCTGGGAGCAGGAACTCCATGGAACATGGTCTGCCTCTTCTCGAGGTCTACTGTCTGTCCATTAACTGTTTTGCCGCGGCCCGATCTCACCTCACCGCAGAGTCGGACCGAGTGGCCCTTGTTCTGAAGAGACTAGCTTTGTAAGTACTGACAAACGGATATGTGTGTAGTAGTGACTATAGTTTATCCTGTTTGGGGAAGCCATTTAATTGTTCAGCGTCTGGATTCAAGGTTAAGCGATTGTCGCATTAAAGTATTCATTACATTTACAAGTTAACACAAGCATGCAGTCATTAGTTTGCCTGAGTATGTGTTAGTTAATGCATTTGCTTTCACTTATCTGTTAATTGGATGATAGACAGTTCTGTTCTTCACCCTGACATCCTTATACACCCTTCACAGAGCTGCAAGGATGGATGTGCAGCTTAGTGGGTTGTTGGTTTTCTTTTCAATCCATTTTCAAAACACGAGGCTCCTCCAGATTTCCACTTTCTTAAAAACTAACAAGCCAATCAAGGTTTTGAATTTAAAGTGTTTTTTTTCTTTTTTTTTCCCCAAGTACTTGTGATAAACCGCATGGATGCGTTACAGGTCATGGAATAGTTAGTCCTCTGAAAGCGCTAACATTTGATATAACGATATTGATGATATACAGACTGATGTTTTTCTTCTTTTAGTTGGTGGTGTTTCTTGTTTTACATTAAATGGTTCATACTGTAAATGACCGCTTTTCTGAACATCGGAAAATCTCATTAATAATGTATATTTCTTAATCACCACACATGTACTGCTGCTGCCATTAACCTCCTTCCCTAAGCAGATGTTTTTGGGTGAGGAATGTTGGTTGTTGTAGCTGAATACAAAATCTTTGAATAGTTGCCTAATAATGGTTGCATTTAAAAACAAATGTGTCATTACTATTTCCTTTTTCATGAAGTGTGTGTGTGTATGTATGTATGTATATGTATATATATATATATATGTGTTTGTATTGGTAAAGCTCACTGACAGCTAGAGAATACATTGTTGTACCTAACAACAGAAAGGTGGTATGTAGTATCACAGACTTCAATCAAGGTTAAAATGTCTAGACTTTATTTCTTTTTCTTTTGCTGGGGTCAATTAATAAAACTCTCCAGAATGATCGCAACCAAGTGAGATTACTTTGATCTCGTTGTCATTTCTTGTAGGAGCTGTTTTGAGCTGCTGCTGTCAGTGCCTGAGAATGAAATCCCATATCAAGCCTGGGTTCAGTTCCACCACTCTGTTCAGGTAGACGACCTCATTTCAAACCATTGTTTCCTGAGGGGATGCTGACTTTCCTCGGAAAAAAAGAATAAGCTTGTTTAAAGATGAAGATTCAAAATGCCGTTCTGGTTGTCCGGGCCTCAGCAGGTGTTTCAAAAGCCTTGTGATAGTCTGCTAGAGAAGCTTGAGAAAAAAGGGCCAGGCGCTGGTGCAGATTGCAGTGTTTCCCTTTTGTTGAGTCTAAACCTCCGGGGATTATAACACCCAGTTTATCCTGGGCAGGCAGTTTTATATAAATTCATTCTTGCCGGACATAACCGACACAGTATGAGGAGCCATGTGAACCCGAGGGGGTTGACAAAAAAGGAAACGTTTATTTCAGCTAGAAATGTAGTTAACTTAAATAGTCACTGATATCCGGTTAATATATGTTCAAACTTTACCACCCTATTTACAAAAAAACAACTGATTTCATAACTACATTGCACTGCAATTCTTCTACATATGGACATAGTGACTGTTCCATCAGTGACAGCTGGAATCGACTGACAGCTATTCAGAGAAGGTATCAACTGGATCAAAGAGGAAATAAAAATGGCTCCGCAAGTCTGAGATAAAATCACGGTTTGTTAAATACAACCCAAACAGCGACCAGGTTAAACTCTGTTACCACGGTAACTGAAGTTTAAGTTCCAGCTTTCTTTGGAACTAAAAGTTTCCTTTTTTTTGAGGATTAAAAAAGGTTTCCACTTTTCGCTTCATTAAAACAGGACCCTGATGTTAATTTCAGATAAAGGTAGTTTTTTTTTTTTAGTAATGTGAACTAATGGCCCTTTAAATATTTATGTATAAAGCTTGTTATCTCATGAAATTCCCCTTATGGTAGTAGTGGAAGTGTGTGTAGCACACCAGCAAAATACGGCTTCATTTATTAGATCATTTAGAACTTTTATTCCCGCTGTGTGTGTGTCTACTGCAGATTGCCCATGATACCTTGCTACAGTACGGAAGCACAGACCTCCAAGCTTTACTCCAGATCACGGGAGAGGGAGGAGCCTGGAGCAACCCCGTCCTTACATCTCTCCTCACCGGTCAGCCAACCAACCCACAAGAAGGTTGGAAAAACTCTCCTATGCCTTTTGTCCTTTTGCGCTGCTCCATGACTGCTCGCTGCGTCGTGGCAGTTTGCTCATCCCGTCTGTCCTATTCTGTCGCTAGTTGATGCATACATCAGCTTGGAGGGCGAGGGCTTCATGGAGATGCGGGTCAAGCACCTGGAGAAGATGGGCGAAGTGGCCAAGGCGGTGGTGCTGGCCAAAGCTTGCACCGAATGCAGCGTCATCTCCAACCAAGCTACCTTCCGTCAAACATTTGTCTCCCTGCTTTGTCACCTGCTGCCCAACGAAGAGGCCATCATGGAGGTATTACAACACAAGGGGAGGAATACTTGCACCAGAGTTCCACTTACCGACATGTCGCTCAAACATTTGATCATCCTTTTGTCCAATTTGACAGCTGCGATTTAAATGTGGCATTAAAAATATGTATCCACGTCTCGAGCCTGCCGTGAAACCTGCTACCTGCACCGTGAGGTCTAAACCGTTAAAAGTAATAGTGAGATGGTTGAAATGGCCAGCCTCTGCTGAACATGCATGAAGAGACGTATGGTTCTGGCAGGGTGTGCGGAGCGCTCACGGCAGGCTGTCAGAGTCCAATCTATAGTTAGTAGTCTCTCACACACACTAACTTACACATACACATCAGCTGGAACAGTAATTATCTCCCAATTGGTAATATATAAATGTTTTTCTAAAAGCTGCTGGAATTGGAAGATGATGGGTTTAAGGCAGAGGTGCCCAATAGGTCGAAAGCAGTACGAGTAGATCGCATGCCATCGATTGAACTGAATATCTTACTACCTTAGTTTTTTTTTATGAGGAACTGATTACACCCCATATCACACATTTCATTTGCAAGCCTGAATTAAGCTGATGCCGCAGCATGTGTTGCCTGTCATGTTGTTTTCTAAGCTGTCAACATTCTTTTTTTTCCCCTCTTTCGACCAGATATCCAGACTCGACTGCAAGGATGTGCTGGAGATCACGTGTAATTTGGAGACTGAGGGGGAGGAGAACACCGCCTTCATCTTGTGCACAACTTTCCTGACACAGCAGCTTCAGCAGCAGAGCCTTTACTGCTCCTGGTGAGTCCACAACCCGTGTACATTATGTATTTATGCCTCAAGTCCAATAAAGGGGCTCTTCAAATAAGTGTTTTCTTTGTTGTTGTCATCAGTGAGTCAAGTGTGGTGGATATAGTCTTAAGAGCAATTTCAAATGTCTCATTTTTTCTATCCAAAGGGAGTTGACTCTGTTGTGGAGTAAGCTTCAGAAGAGGATCGACCCCTCGTCGATGTCTCTTCTGGAACGGTGCCTTCAGCTAGGTGCTATTGCCAAAACCGTGCACCATTTGCTTTGCCTGGTCCGTGTCATTCAGACTGAGGTCAGCCCAACATCCACACTGTCCATTGTTATACGCTGCTTTAGTGCGTGCATTGGTTATATAAGGCCCCCCTTTAAGCGTTTGAGTCGAGCAGAGACGTATAGTGGAAACAGGAGTGGTTCTATTTACTGAGCAGCCACAGGAAGTAAACAGAGGAACTAAAAGCCTTATCGTGCACTTCCTGTTTGTTTTTTCACCACATCTGAAGTGTCGGAAAAGGAAAAAAAAAAATGATATGTCATTTTTTAAATGATGCACTCATTTTCAAACATTTGAGTCTTTGATCTTTAACGCTTGTTCAGGGATAATGATAATGGGGACACACATATGCGGAAAGGGAGGCTGAAAACTAGATGATTTGTTGTGTGAAACTGAATAAGTCCTAATGTTTCCAAATGATGATATATTCAAGTTACCGCAGCCTGGAAGTTGTATTTGAACTGAACATACTATAACATAGTACTATGATCTATTAGCTAAAGGCTTTCACATTAAGTCATGTTTATTTTGTATTAGCCTATGATTATTTAAAGAGACTAATGCTAAAACCGTATCACTTTATTTACAGACGGAGGAAATAGGGGTACCTGCCTCAGTAGAACTTTGCGTCAAGGCCCTTCAACTTCCAAAGCAGGACGACTCTGAATCGAGGATCTCTGTCTGTAAGTCTGTGTCCTGCCTACTTCCACGGGACCTCGAAGTATCGCGAGCCTGCCTACTCACAGAGTTCCTGATTGGCCCCAGCCAGGACATCTTTGGGTCCCTTCGGGAGCTATACCTACGCCCAGACCAGAAGTATGACCAGGAAAATGAGATCATTCCCAACTCACTACGCTGCGAGCTGCTCCTAGCTCTGAAAGCATACTGGCCCTTTGACCCCGAATTCTGGGACTGGAAAACTCTAAAGTATCACTGCATCTCCCTTCTGGGGTTGATGTCACAGTCCGAGGGAGAAGAAGAAGAAGAAGAAGGAGAGGAAGAAGAAGTTGTAGACAAAAAAGACACTGGTAAACAACACAACCCACGGGGAATCACAGTGAAAGTAGAATCTGAGTATGAAAGGTCGATGAATGGAAGTGTCGATGGTCACGAGCAGCTTGAGGAAACGCAGTCTTCCGAGTTGGCAGACATTCCAGGTGATTCAGAGACAAAGAAGCCCAGGTTCTGCTGTCAGATATGCAAGCGATCGATCGCTGACACCCAAATCGTTCACCACTCCAAAAGGCACGCAGGGGACGACAGCCACCCCTGCCCCCTCTGCCTCGTGAACTTTAAGAGAAGGAGGGATCTCGTTCCTCATCTGAAGGACCATGTGCAGAGCGAAACGCACGAGAACAGCGTGAAGAAGGAGGACGGTCAGAGGCGGCCGGATGAGGACGACGATATTGAACCCGGTGAGATCACCGTTGACCCTTCCTTAATGCAGTATTATGAATCCACGCATGATCCAGACGTGCTGCACCACATCGTGCAACAAGCCAAAACCGTGAAGGAGAACAACGTGGACAATGACGAGCACGTGACGTTCGAATACATCGACCAACACTTCAGTGTGCAGAACCGGGAGGAGTACCCGTGTCCAGGAACCGGGTGCCCTCGGACTTTTAAGCATTCCAAGTACTTGTACGTGCATTTGAAGTCGGAGCACAAAGGCGACGACAATGTGAAACATTTCCATCAGGTGAGGGACATGCGGGAGAAGTGTGTTTTTTGTAGACGGCATTTTGTCTCCGCCTACCATCACCGCAAACATCGAAGAGTTCACTACGGGGATCGGCCTTACACGTGCGTGATCATGGGTTGCGGCGCTCAGTTTAAGACTTCCAATGAACTTGTCACGCACAAGCACACCCATGGCTACCACCTCCACTACCAGTGTGAGCTCAAAGACTGTTACGTCACCTACTCCGACCTGGGGCAGATCTATCACCACGAGGCGCAGCATTTCAGAGACGCAGCGTTTACCTGCTCCAGCGCCAAATGTGGCAAATACTATTTGTCCAAAAAGGAATTCATGAAACATTTATCCACACACAACATCACCTTCTCCGAGGAAGACTTTGAGGCACAGAGGAAGGCAAAGCGGAAACTCCTCAAGGCGGTTACTGAAGCCACGGTCCACTCTAATAAGCCAGATGCAGAAGTGGCGGTAAAGGTCGAAACCCCGAGCGCTTCTGCAGTAAGTTGTGCCTCCTCTCTGCCGGCGCCTCAAAGCAACGAGCCCAAAGACGCAGGAAATGACGGCAAGGAGCCCAAAACCACGGTGACCTTGGTCGCTGTGTGCTTTGATGGGAGTAAGTTCACCTGTGGGTTTGAGAAGTGCGGCATGACTTTCTCCAGAGCCAGAGACGTCCAGAGGCATCTGAAATGCGCCCACCCAGAACACCTTAAACTGGAGAACAAAGAGCACAAACACGACAAAGAGCGCTTCTCAAAGTCCAAAGGGGCAAAGGCTAAAACGGAGCCAGACAGTAAGCAGAGGGGAAGGGAGGAGGACACGATTCCACCTCAACCCACGGAGGCCGACAAAGAAAGAAAAGAAAGCAACGACACAAACTCTTTGTGCCTTCAGGCTGAAAAAGATGTCCTGACTGAAATTCTCGTTGGGCTCGGCAAGCTGGACCTGAACTCCCCATCGCCTGGCAGTCCGAAAAGCGAGGCGCCTCAGTCCAACCCAGAGTCCCCTGCATCGGAAATCTCTCCGGCAACCATGGCGAGGCCCCCTGTGGTGCTGATTCAGCAGAAGTCCCACCCTGAGGAAAAAGTGACAGTCCAAATGGAAACGGCCACAGCCGCCGATGGAGAAGGCAGCGGTGAACCATTAGCCGCCGCTAAGCCCTACGTCTGCGAGATGAAAGGTTGCGACTTTAGGACCGCTCAGAGCTACAGCTTACGGCGACACTACAACACCAAACACGGCCGCACGGTCGAGCAGGCCAAGCGGCTGACTTCTTTGAGCACAACGTATTTCAAGCCTTATGTGTGCCAGATTTGTTCCAAGAGTGTCAGAGAGAAAAATGCTTTGAGGACCCACTATATTCAGAAACATAAACTAAGTGAGACTCTGGTGGAAAAAATAAGCTGTACATCAACATGGTTTGAGGGCAAAAAAGACCCTAAAAAAACTGCACCTCAGCACTTGAAAGTATGGAAGAAAGACGTCCCCAAGCTGCACAGCCAAGAGGGAAAAGGCCCGTCCCGGGTTAGCGAAAATGGACAAAACTTGGACAATCATTCTCCCTCTGAGGAGGAAGGCGAGGAGGAATCAGAGGGAAAGGAGAGAGACGACGAGCAGAGGGGAAAAAGTGAGGACTCGACCACACAACAGGTCCGAACCACCAGACGCCTGGTAGCCAAAGGTAATCTCTGCTACATACTGGACAAATTCAGTAAACCCTTCCATTGTGTGGCAAAAAACTGCGACGCTGCTTTTTCCACCCAGGGGGGCCTGGTACGCCACCTCCAGCTGATCCACCATTACAATCGCTCTCAGCTCCTGCTAGAAAAGGACATCGACGCGAATCCCAGTCTGGAAGCCCGAAAGGAGCCTGCCAAGAAGAGGCCTCCCCCGAACTCTGATGAACCTCAGCCCCAGTACAAGTGTCACTTTGCCAACTGCCACGCTTCCTACCACCTAAAAAGCAGCTTAGTGCGTCACACTCGCGATTCGCACTCCCAGCCGCCAGAGCCCATAAGGTGCGATTTCGAAGGCTGCACGAGGGCGTTCAGCCACGACAGTGCGCTTAAAAAACACACACTCTATAGTCACTGCGAGTACTACGACTCGCTGGTGGTGCGTCTGCAGAGCACTCACAAAAAGTCCATCAGCGGATGCCAAAAGAAGCTCATCGTCGCCCCACAGAGTCCTCAGAGAGAAGAGCCCGCTTCTGACGCCTCACGGGCGGGGGGATCTAGTCCGCCCGCCGACGGGACTCCTCGGTCAGAGGAGGACGGGGAGAAGGTGGTGGAGAAGGAGGAGGGCGGCGAGGAGGAAAAGGCGGAGGTGACGTCGGCGGAGAAAGTGCCGAAAGAGACGAGAACTTACAGCCGTTACGTCTTCAGATCTCACGAAGAAGCGCTGCAGATGTGCCAGGATCGCTGTATGCGCGCTGCCTACCCGTGCATGGTCCAGGATTGCGACTCGGTGGTCACGTACTTGAAGAGCTTGCACCGGCACTACCTGAGGGTTCACGGCATGCGGCCCCTCGAGCTTTCCAGACATAAAGAGGAGCTGGTCTTCAACGCCGAGCAGCTGGAGGAATTGATTCAGAGGAAGTCCGCCAGGCCACCGGCCCCAGGAGCGTGTTCCCCGAGTGGAGTCCACAAAATGGAGTATCAGGCGGAGCCGGAAAACCCGGGCGGGCTGCCATCCCCCGTGAGCTTACACCCCGTCAAGGCAGACGCACAAGAGGAGGCTAATTGTGATCCACAGGGGTTCCCCCAGGTGCAGGAGGAGGAGGAAAAAGGAGAGGAGACGACGACGACGCTGCTGCCGCCGCCCGTGGAGACAAATGGCGTCCTCGTTGGCGCGGACGAGGTGCTGTACGGCGAGCCGAGCACAGGCGGGGACCCCGAGGACACTTCCGCAGCCACGCTGAGCAGCCAGAAACCAGAGGAGAGACTAAGCTTGGATAAGATCAAACCGCTCCTCCGTCCCCTCACTGTTGACCTCTCTCCGCCGTGCTCGCTGCGCTTTACCCCCGAGGACGTCGTCCAAGACGGCGGCAAGGCGTCGAGCTGCTCGGCCCCGCCGCCACCGATGCCCCCGCCGCCCCCTCCTGTCCGGCAGCCGTTAAAACGGAAAAACGAGTTGTCCGAACCGCCTTCGAACCTGAAGGAGCCTCTGCCTCGCAGCCCTGCCAACATCACCGCCTACAAGCCGACCGGCTTCGAGTCCTCATTCCTGAAGTTCATACAGGAGACGAGCTCGAAGGACAAAGGCGCGGCGGCGGTCAGGCGGCGGGACTCGTTCAGACGCAGTTGTTCCGTCAAGGAGAACAACCAGCTGGGAGTCTCCCACACCCGCAGCAGGCGCACCCATTCCCTCTTGCTGAAGCCTCACACTATAACCGGCGACGTCACATCGATCCAAAACTTGAAGTCCATCTTGGACAAAGCGCTGGCGGGGTGCGGGGACCTGGCCATCAAGCAGCTTCAGTACCTCAGACCCGTGGTGGTCCTGGGGAGGCCAGTGTGCAGCGCCACCCTGCCCGACCTCTTCCCGTCGGACAGCAACAGCAGCAAGCTGCTTCTTGGAAGTTAGTTGAACTGAGCACCTTTTAACATATGACAAATTGCTTTGTATTTTCACATTCTCTACCAGTAATTATATTTCTCCCAAAAATATTAGTATTGGCTATTTTTTCTTTTTTTTTTTAAGTTGTCAAATTTAGTGCTAATAACATTTATATAATTATATTAAGATAACAAGCTTCAACAGTGCACATTTTTAGAAATGTTATATGAAAGCATTCAAATAACACCTGTTGTTATAATAACTCACTATGAAAGTGTATATACTGTAGTTATTCATGATGTACAGATTTTCAGATCGTTAGAATTGTTGAGTAGTGTATTGCAAGGCCTTCTCAGTTGTGTGAAAATGTGACTAAAACAGACACTTCCTGATTAAAAAAATGACTCATGGAATATGTTTGAATATTTTTCACTTAAGTTTGTATTAAATCAGTGTTTGGATGCAGCGGACAGATAATGGCAGACATGTATCTGACACGTTTTAATGAATTACATGTTGAAAAATAGTCCTTTACTCTTATGTAAGTAACTTGTTTTGTATACAAAGTAATTATGAAATTGTAGCATAGGAGCTGTTTGCTAAATTGAAAATACACTCAAGTAATTTAAAATATACTTTGTATGTCAATTATTCCACTGCCTGGACATTTAGTATTTACTATAGACGATATGAAATATGGTGCTATTATCAGAATTGTAGAGTATACTATTTTGTGTGTTAGGGGTTGGTGCACATTCTTTTACAAAAATGTTTGAATTTAAAAGTTTACGCATAAAATCCAAAGCCATACGATATTGCAGCATTGAAATATTAAATAGAGTGGGAGATATATTTCACATCAAAGGCTGTGCATTTAAAATGCCCATGCACAACACCACGAACACGTATATAATACAACGGTTATTTTTTTCTTTTGGGTAAAACTGTTGACATTGTTTTCTAACAACCTCAATAATCTTCCCAAATCCAACCCTTAAACGGTAAATTAAAGTGTTAATTTGTTTGAGTTATATATTCGTTTGGGGGCTCTGTATGGAAAGAAGTTTACCTTATCGTTTATACTGTTCTTGTTTAATTTATTCAACCATTTTTAGAAGGGAACAACTTCTTCAGTCGTTTTGATTGAGACCCAAGTAAAAATGATCTGATCAGTTACTACTAACTAGTGGTTAATGTAAACATCATTACAATAAAACGAAGGCGGAACTAAAACTCTAGCTGCGGTTTCCACAGGGGCAGAGTTTGTGGCCACACACCTCGCCGTTAGATTCGCGTCTCGCATGAATGGAGCGATATTAACCGTAAAAGCCTTAATTTAAATGTAAACTGAACGCATAGTTCTTGTAGTTTGACATTTTAGTCGTTATCTGTCGATTTAACGTGGAAACAGTGTTCCATTTATTCAACGTTATAGTGTTATAGTCTGTTTGTGGGAAAGAGTGCAAGCTAAATAGCTGCTAGCCTGAAACTAGCAGTCAGGCTAGGTGACGTTAACCTCATCGTTAGCCAGCGAGCTAGCCAGCCCTGCTCTGACAACAGAGACGTGAAACGCAGCAAAGATGGTCGAACATATACTCGACCTGCCGGTGGAGAAGCAGATCTTTTATGCTGTTTTGGGCTTTTCATGGACGGTGTATCTGTGGGAAGCATACCTTTCTTACAGACAGGTGAGCTAATCGTTTGACAGCATCGGGCTCGGAAGTTGTTCTTCTTTGTTGCTGTATGTGTTTTTCGAGGGGAAAACCCACTAAATCTAATTAAGTGATTAAATGAGCTACCGTTTGGTAACTGACATTTTTTTGTGTCCTTGATAGTAGAAGTTAATTTGAAAGTAGTCTATTGGTTTGATGACCCTTTTTATGCAACGTTTTCCCCACAACCTATAGTTACACAACTATTTATCTGTATCTATCTTGTCAGTAACAAATAGTTTGTAGTATGTATTCATAGGTGAAGCAATGACTATAAATAACATTTCCACTTTATGTTTGGAAGTGTTCAATCCCATTTTAAATTGAATCTTCAAAGAGAGACATTTACTCTCTGAATCGTGTACACAAATGGCATGGTTGCAGTGGTTTCTTCAGTTTGGTTATCTCCCTAAAGAAACAAAGTACAAAAGTGTGGTAAAAATTGTGTTTTACTTAACAGCAATAGAGGAGCAGTAGATGATTAAGAAATGAGTGCTATATATCCTTTCTGGAGCAAAATCAAAAATGCTTTTTCCCCTTATGATGTCTGATGTTATGGACCTCGGTCTCTTGAGGTAACGGTATAAATGAACTGATGTTTAACATGGATGTTTACTTCTTCCCCTTCCACAGAGGAGGACATACAGATCAACAACACAGGTGCCGCAGGAACTCCTGAGGATCATGGATTCTGAAACATTTGAGAAGTCACGTCTCTATCAGCTGGATAAAAGCAACTTCAGCTTTTGGTCTGGACTCTATTCTGAGACGGAGGGGACGGTAATACAACCAGCAGATTAAAAGCCATCCATCGCTTGACTTGCACTTTCACACTTTTTTCCTTATTCTGAGGATATGTTGAAAGTGAGCTCTTGGTGTCAATGTGTGTGTGTGTGTGTGTGTGTGTGTAGCTTCAAATTCTTCTTCGTGCCTCTCTACAAATTTACCAACCGTATAAATAAACATTTGTCATTGCTACGTGTTTGATTCATGTGTTCGGCTTATTCTGTACTCAAATCTTTTCAGTTGATTCTGCTCCTGGGGGGAATCCCGTTTTTGTGGGACACTGCTGGTTCCCTGACGTCTCGTATGGGATTAGGTTCAGAGTACGAGATCACTCAGTCGCTCGTGTTTCTGACGCTTGCCACCCTGTTCAGCGCCTTTACTGGACTTCCCTGGAGTGTGTACAACACGTTCGTCATAGAGGAGAAGCATGGCTTTAACCAGCAGGTACACTGACGGACTGAACAACAACAACAACAACACGCGCGCACGCACACCGTAGGCCTGAAATGCGTTAAATGTGTGTCATTTCCTTCCTGAGGAAGAACAGCAACTTGGATAATCTTGATTTCACAACAGCTATAATAACCAACTTGTAGATGTGTCACACTATCACCCTCTTATGAGATCCAAACCTGCGATAGAAGTTGTTTTGGCTTTATTTTGGAAAAGCATTTACTATTGGAAACATAAAAAAGCGTGCAGAGCAAAGATGAAATAACGTCCTCATTATTTTTCACTATGAAAGCTTCTTCGCTCTATAATGGATTCAAACTATTATAGATTACAGCAGACCAAAGCAGCTTTCTCTCTGAACTAGACTGAAAGCCAGTGTGGTTACCATATATCTAAAATATCACCAGTGTATGACTCAAGCCACTGTTATTCAGGCATTTAAATGCACACACATCTATTTTCTAAAATCCTTTATTTCATGTATGAATGTCCTGTGCTCCTCAGACATTGGGGTTCTTCCTTAAAGATGCTGTAAAGAAGTTTATTGTGACCCAGTGTATCCTGCTGCCTGTCACCTCGCTGCTCCTCTACATCATCAAGATTGGCGGAGACTTCTTTTTCATCTATGCCTGGCTCTTCACACTGGCTGTTTCTCTGGTGAGTGCCATGTTCAACAGGTTCTGTTAATGAGGAGAAAATGTGAAGGAAAGTCAATTTTGCTCCGTCTGCATTGCGCTCTGGCTGCTTTTGTGGTTCAGGGGACTTGTCAATGTATGTCCACTTCTCCTATGTCCTTAGGTGCTTGTCACAATCTATGCTGACTACATTGCTCCGCTGTTCGACAAGTTTGCTCCATTGCCAGAAGGAGAGTTGAAGACTGACATTGAGGCGATGGCCAAGAGTATAAGCTTCCCCCTCACGAAGGTTTATGTAGTTGAAGGTAAAGTAGGACAACTTCATAGACCATTTGTACCTACATACCCGTTTCAAGCTATTCTGACAACTTGTCACTGTCCCGTTATGAATATTTTATTTTTAAGATGCATTGAATATTTCCACAGGTTGATAGTACATAAACTTATTTTAAATTGTCTTTGAACTTTGTGTTGTATATGCAGGTTCTAAGCGTTCCTCCCACAGCAATGCATACTTCTACGGCTTCTTCAAGAACAAACGCATTGTTCTGTTTGACACACTGCTGGAAGACTACTCGCCTCTCAACCAGTCCGGAGAGCCAGAGAAAGAGGAAGAATCCAACGAATCCAAAGCCAAGCAAAAGGTTACATATCTATAAACTGTATTCAGAAATGTCCTGATTGCCTTCATACAGACCAGGTTTCCTTACATAACTTATAATGTCTTTTTGAGAATTGTTGGTTTTTGTTTTAACAGCCCCCTAAAGTCATTCACATGCACATCCCGTAAATGTAATTTTATATTTTGTCTAGAAGACATTTTCTGTAAAAAATCTTTTTTTTTCTTGAGGAAACGTAGATATTTTGCAAAGACAAGAAGGAAGCTCTCTGTTTTTTTACCATGAGGAGACTTCCATGTTTGGTAGCGCTCAAAAACAAAACTATTCAGGTGGTGGTTCATTCCACCACCTGTATTGACGCCGATCACACATTGTTTTTTTGTAATATCCGTCTGTGTAACAGTTGTTTCCTTACATATACTTTTACAGAACAAGAAACAAGGTTGCAACAACTCCGAGATCCTTGCTGTCTTGGGTCATGAGCTCGGCCACTGGAAGCTTGGCCACATGGTCAAGAACATCGGCATCAGTCAGGTGATTAATTTCTTCTTCTTTTTTCTTCACACAAAATTAGAAGTTGACTTTATTGATTGTGATCAAATGCAGACAATTGAGATGTCAGTTGATATGCAAATAACATCTTTTGTTTTTGTTTCTGCAGATGAATTCCTTCTTGTGCTTCTCCCTGTTTGCTGTGCTGATTGGACGCAAGGAGCTGTTTGTAGCTTTCGGCTTTAATGACAGCCAACCCACATTAATAGGCTTGATGATTATCTTCCAGTTCATCTTCTCCCCGTACAACGAGGCGAGTGTGGGATTGATTCACATCGTTTCTGTACAATTTTTAGCTGTTGAGTTAAATTAGTTATTAATACTATTTGATTTTACTAAAGACATCTTTTTTTCTAATATAATTTTCCCCGCAGGTCCTGTCCTTCTGTCTGACAGTCCTGAGTCGCAGGTTCGAGTTCCAGGCTGATGCTTTTGCACGCGGCATGGGCAAGGCCTCCGAGCTCTGCTCTGCCCTCATCAAGCTCAACAAGGACAACCTGGGCTTCCCAGTGGCTGACTGGTTGTTCTCCATGTGGCACTATTCCCACCCTCCCCTCCTGGAGCGCCTGCGGGCACTGGGCAGCATCAAGCAGGACTGACGGGGCTGGAAAGGGGAGGGTCGTCTGGTTCCTCCCCCAAAGGGCCTCCGCAGACCGCTCCTGGCCCTCTGACGCTCCCTGGCCTTTTTCTACCCATCTGCCCACTCGCCCCACCCAATCTTGTTAGAGTAATTTCTTTACTTGCCATATCTTCTGTTTGGTTCCTTTTTTGAAATGTTATTTTAAACAAAACCCAAATATATCAGCACAAGCCAGCCTAAACATATCTCAAGCCTGAACTGAAGTCTTCAGTTTTTCCATAGAAACCTTATATGCAGGAGCTGAGGTGAAATAGATCTGTATTTCGATAAGATCTTATTGCAGCACAAATCACGTTTAGCAGATTTACCTAAATGTTTACTTTCTGAAATGATTTTATTTCGGTACAATTTCTTAATATTTGCTTTGTACAATTAAAAGAAAATAAAGCAAAGTTTGATTTAAAAGCCAGACATTTAACTTAAAGAATTGTTTCGGTTGTGATGCAAACATGACATCCAACAGTTTTTTTAACTTAAAAACTGGTTAATCCCACAGAATTCAGTGATTTTATTTAAAACTCAAGATAATGTGTTTTGCAAATAAACAGGCAATAATTGTATTTGTCTCAAGTGCAACTGTTGCTTCTCAAGAAGTATCACCAAGCAAGCTCAAGAGTCTAAAAGTGAATATCATTCTCAGTTTTGGATAAGAACATGTAGATGCTTAGACATGGTGAAAATAATGGGAGTGCCTCTGATAATCTGTTTTTGTTCAACGGACGCATTATGAACAGAGCAGTGCAGAATATTTAATTTGAATTTAGGTTAGACATAATTTTTACACGCACTGCGGGGAACTTGTTTTATTTTTTCTAAAGCATGTGATTGCCGACAAGGTTCCAACCGTACCTGTACATATGTAACTTAAGGGAGTTAGAGTAATGGTGTATGATGTGAATTGTGGAAAATATTGAATGTGGTTTGACATTTTAAGTTGATGCTGTGTTTCTTAGTTTCTTCTCTTTGTTTTGGGCCGGTGTGAGCCCACAGTTGACTGGCAAGCAAAGTATTTACAGGGGACGTGGGGAAGTGGGTCCGCGAGGTTCCTTTCACCTCATAAGCCAGTGTGTGGTTTGTTCAGCGAGGGGACTGCTTACTGTCTTTACTGCATTGAATAAAATCCTTTGACGCATTTCTTACTGTTGTTTTTTTTTTTTAATACGGTTATAAAAGTAAAAAGTAAGCTTGTGTCAGTCTTGTATCAGTCCAATTATGGCAACATTCAGTGATAATCATGTGATATGGGATATACTTTAAAAGTAATGCACTAACTGTGCATTAGAAATGTGAGTCATTTGCTACTTAGCCAGTGAAATGAAAGGATTTTTCATGTAACTTGCAACTATTTAAATTAGATTAGCAATATAAGCCTTAAATATAATAAATGCTTTCTTTTGTCCATAGAATGATATAGTTATAATATCAAGTATAAACGTCTGGAAAAAAAATACCGAGGAAAATAATGAAGATGTAAAAACAATTTGTAACAAAGAAACCGTTTAAGAATGTTCCTTTAACTGGTAAACAATACAAAGTATACAAAACGTTAGATATGGATTGGTGACAAATTTGTATAAATAGATTATTCAATACCTTTAATATATTGATTGCTTGAAGAAAATACAAACATTCTAAATCTGTTTATGGTAAAGAAAGTTTTCGTTCATCCGAAATCAACACGATGTCATTAGTCACGTGGCGAACGTGCTGATTCACGTCGGCTTTTTTGAGACCATACCATTTTGAAACCGCGACACGGTGTTTTTGATTAAACTAAATGACACTACTCATATCAACCCTAACGTTGGCAGCACATTGTACGAGGACGTATGATTCGTCCGTAATATCTCCGTGTAGACCAACGCAATGCTGGTCCTCACCCCCACACACCCCCGTGACCCCTGTCTGGCTAATAATGGTTCCGTCCTTTAGCGTACTATGAGGAGAAGGACGCGATCTCGACAACTGTCAGTGGTTGTTTTCACATGTGATTAACAAACATGGCGAGGTTTTTGAGGCCTAACATCCGGAGTTTTCTCACCTCACAGCTGAGAATGTCATCCGACCAGGTAAAACACGTCCTGGAAACACATAACACGAGCGTTATACTACTGCGTGAGCATCACTTTGGAATTAGCTTAACGTTACGTTAAATATTTTAGCTAATAAAAGCTTGCCCGAATAGTAGGTAAACCGCTGTAGACATAAGAATTATGGGTTAAGGCCAATCTGTTAACGATTTTACAGCAGTGCCTTGAATTAGAAAGGATTCATTTAACGTTAGATCACAGCAAGTTTGGTCTAAATAAAACACCAACAGTTGCATGTTGAACTGCCTTATTTGGGAAAGGAATCCAGGTGTGTGGTTTTGTCCTCTGATGTTTTGGTTGCATTGTTAAACATTTTCTGTTCTCTTCTAGCTGCCTCCATTTTCATTTAGCTAACAAAGAATCTTGTTGCACTGTTGACCTTCAGAATAGGGCCATTTTAATATTGTCCAACTGCTTCAACCTCAATCACATAGTGACACAAATTGTGTAATTTGAAGTCACTGTTTTGTTATAATAATCTCCAGAAAGCATTGCTTTCTGTACTAAACATTTCCCCACCCTCTCTCAGCTGGGCGAGCTGGGTAAAGGTGCAGGAAAAGGTGGTGGTGCTGGAGGCTCCATCAGAGAGGCCGGTGGTGCCATGGGGAAGAAGCAGGCCGCAGAGGAGGAGATGTACTTCAAGTATGCATCTCTTTTTGTTTTACAGCAACCAAATGTGCACCAAGCTCGCCCCGCTATCTATTTATTAGCCACTGACCCCCCCCCTCACTGTTTTGCTCTTCTCCCACCCACCCTCCTTCATCTGCCCCCCTACTCATAAGGCGTAAGGAGAAGGAGCAACTGGCTGCATTGAAGCAGCATCACCAGGAGGAAATTGACCACCACAAAAAGGAGATTGAACGAATGCAACGCGAGATCGACCGCCACAAGGGAAAAATCAGGAAGTTGAAGCACGACGACTGAGTGAAACCACCTGGGGGTTCCAGTATTGTCATCTAACTGACGAATCTCCTTTACTACTTATTCAGATGGCTGCATGCGCTGTGTCACCAGGACGGTCATTCAATTCTGAGTAGTTGTTCTGTGAAAGCTTGAATTATTAAAACCGTTCATTGAAGGAATTGTGTTGACCTGATTCAAGTTGTACCACTTTCTCCAGCCTTTTCCCTTCCTCTAGAGTCGGTGATCAGTAGTGTTGCATGCCAAAAACACCTAAGTGAAAAAAAACAAATATTTGTAATGCTTCCATTTGGCAGAAACTTGATGTATTAATAAATAAGTACATTAAATGGCACTGATAGCTTTTCTTTTAGATGAGATGATAAACTGAAGACCCAACGATTTTGAGAATCAATTACTTGTTTTTATAATTTAATATGGAAAATGACAACATTCTGTAATTTCAATTTACTGGTGAAGGTTAACCATTGGTCAGACAAACAAATAGTCTGAAGATATCTCCTTGGCCTCTGGAAACTTGTGATCAACATCTTTTATAATTTTATACACCTTTTTATGAAGTAGTATGACTAAGTGTCGCAGTGAGGGCCTTGGAGTAGTCACTCACATGGCCTGGTCATTTGTCCTTGAAGGATAGAGGTCAAATACACTGGATCCTTCCAAAACCAATTTCCCAACAAAATAAGTACCATAAGTATAACTCCATTGTGCAATACATGACCCAACACAAGTATGTTACACAGTAAAATATTTTTCTCAATTGAGCCAAAGCCTATTTGAGTATTTATATTAGACCATTACTGCCAGTTTGAAAATAGCCAAACATTTACATTCTCAATTGGGAATTAAGAGAACACTACATTATATATATATATATATATATATATATATATATATATATATATATATATATATATATATATATATATATATATATTTCTATGTCAACTTCTACCTCCATACAAACGGCGGCAATAGAACGTTTGCTCACACTTCCCACGAGCAAGAAATATATATGTCGTCACTTCCGCCTACCCGTGCCTTTTAGGACGAGCAACCCCGTAGCCCTTTCTTTTCGCACATCATGGCGGACCGGTTCAATAAGGTGTGCTACCGCTGCGGAATCATATTGTCTCTTTTTGCTGTTTAGTGGAAGTTTAATCTGTCGATTTATAGATACTTTGCAGGTGATCACTACGATACTTCTTGGCGTTATCGTATATGTTATCCGTGTTACTCTTAAAACAATATTTCACGACAGTTTTCAAACGGCTTGTAGAAGCCGAGTAACGTTGCATGCCTTCATCGTGGCAGCCACCTTAACAATTCAATGCCGCTAACATGCTACCTTAAGCCTGTTTTAGGTAGGTCGATTTACGCGCTTATATATTGCACTAAACTTACAGCTTTCATTTTGTATATTTTGTTTAACGTTTAAGAAATAATCCAAGCCAAAGTCACGCTGATGCTAAGCTAATGCTAGGTCCTTATCGACACGTCCCATGCGGCATTTTTCAGAGGCACATGTCGGAAACACGTTTATTGAACGTTTCAATTCCTGCTTACGTATGCGTTCCCTATTCAATGTGGGCCGAAACAAGAAAATGTATTTAAAGTACCAGTTTGATTTGATTTGCGGAAGTAATCGAGTATAGCGCTTAAAACCCAGCGTCATTTGGTGAAACAAAGCTTATAACGCTAAACTTTCTTTCTCTTAATCCTCAGGTTCTGCTGCTTGATGGCAGGGGCCACCTACTCGGTCGGCTTGCTGCCATTGTGGCTAAACAGGTTCTGCTGGGTAAGTTCCATGTAAGGATATTAAAGTAACGTTAACTTAATAACTGTTTTTAGCTAAAGCCATGCGGTGTGTTCCCATGAGCATTAACTACTGAGCAGGAGTGTTCGCAGAAGCTCTTCGTGGCCTCAGTCTGTCGTTGATGATACATTTACAGCTTTGCTTGAGTTTAACGACCATGAGAAAACTCTCATGCACTACCATCTGAGACAGAATGCAATCCCATTATTACCATGGCTGGATTTGTAAGATGTCCTCCCGCTATAACTAACCGTAATGTCGTCTTTCAGGACACAAAGTGGTGGTGGTGAGATGTGAAGGAATCAACATCTCAGGAAACTTCTACCGCAACAAGCGTAAGTAGGGTACTTATCACTTAAATTACATTAATTTTTTAATCTATGCCTGTCAGTGATGATTCCTTAACCCTGTTGTTCGAGTTTAAATGACAATGAGACTACCTTACATGCACTACCATCTGAGACATGGCATACTGAAGTGATGTCTTGTGCCTCAACGTGTTTGTTGCTGAGATTGAATGTCTGCCACGTGCCGCTCTACAGTGAAGTACCTGGCCTTTCTGCGCAAGAGGATGAACACCAACCCCTCCCGTGGACCGTACCACTTCAGAGCTCCCAGCAGGATGTTTTGGAGGACTGTCAGGGGTGAGCTTGCAATGCTGTCACAAAAATTAGATCATTGCACAACTGACAAAAGGTTTCGCAAAGTGTAAATCACAAACACTGAGTTAATGTTCTTTAGTTTATGCAGGCTTTTAATTTTTTAACATCACTCTTGCCATATATTGTTTGGTAATGTGCAAAGGGCGTTGCTAAAATGTAGCTACGCTTCTTTTAGCGGGGAATAAAAAGAACCAAACAATAATCCTGGGTTAAATTAAAATATCATTCTAAATTGACTTCTTATAGAGGATTTGTTTATTTGACCAAGCACAAGTTCTTTGACAGTGATGAGCACTTTATCCCGAAACTGAATCCTTTGATGAGACAAACCTTTCGGATCTGATTGCTGAGTTGACTAGATTTGTGCTTGGGCAAATTCAATTTGATGAATAATTCAACAATAGTTGCTATTAAACTTACTTAACCTGCACGCGTTTTCTCTGGCCAGGCATGCTGCCCCACAAAACCAAGCGAGGACAGGCTGCTCTGGATAGGCTGAAGGTGTTCGACGGTATCCCTCCGCCCTACGACAAGGTGATGGATCTCAATGAACCACAAAGTCCCAAACTCTGCAGTCTGTGATGTTAAACAAATACCTTACTTAACCTTGTTTGAAAAACAACTGAAACTAAATTAATTAACTGAGACATGCTAACATAGCAATGACTTGGCATACTGTTTTTTTCTTTATCTAATTACGGCTTTTGTTCTACAGAGGAAGCGCATGGTTGTTCCAGCTGCTCTTAAGATTGTGCGCCTGAAACCCACTCGCAAGGTGAGCCTCATATTTGAGTTCAGTACTGACTGTCTTTGCTATCGCACTTAGTCAATATTTGCAAATTACACAAATAAAATCTGCCGCTTAAATTTACCTGCCACAACGGTTCTTGACTATGATGAGAAATTTATCCCGAAACTGATCATCAATTGATGAGACAACTTACGGATCTGATTCCTGAGTTAAGATGCATAAAAGTTGGGCCTTTAATAAAACTAAACTTTTTTAAATGGAAGATCAAAGAATGTTCTCAATCTCCCCCTTAAATATGTGCTGCAGTAAATTAAGACCTGGCACTCGTTTCTTTGACAGTTTGCGCTCCTTGGGCGTCTGGCACACGAGGTCGGCTGGAAGTACCAGGCCATCACAGCCACGCTGGAGGAGAAGAGGAAGGAGAAGTCCAAGCTCCGCTACACCAAGCAAAAGACACTGTTCAAGTTGACCAAGGTGGCAGAGAAGAACGTTGAGAGCAAAATTGCAAAATTCACAGATGTTCTTAAACAGTATGGAGTCCTTGTTTGAGCTGCTTGTCTCTGGCCAATAAAGAGAAATAAATGTTTATACAAAGTGTGATGCTTTTTTCTTTCGGTCTTAAAAGATGGGCCTAGTTTTAAAAACTAAAACCAAGAACTGAGTCATTTTAGAGCCATAATTGCATCACCCATTCATTGGTTCTTTGATACTTTTGAAGCTCCACTTACTGCAGTCATCCTTTCTGAGCCATATCTTGTAAATGGTGAGTGCTCAATATTCTGCGCTGACAAATCAAATGTACATTGTACAAGCCAGAGGCCTGATTGAGTCTGTACAACATGAGCTGTTTGGAAGGGAAACTTTAGTGTATATGTTCGTCCATTGAATTATTCAAAGACATGACTTAGACTTCTAATGCCCAAACTAGATTGGTGTATACAGTTTTTCCAGGGACTAATATTTGCAGGTATTGTTACAGTGTATGACATAAAATGAATGCTCAGTATGCACAATAAAATAACAAATTCACAAAATACTAGGTACAGTATTGTAATGTCATGAGTGAAGGTGTAACCATATGGGACTCAAATCTCAAGTGAGGTTATATTTCTTCCCCCAGTTTGTTAAAATTAAGGTTTGAGCATACCTTTTCCAGTTATTTTGTCCAGTGCTGATAAATAAACTTCTCTTGTACCTCTTTAATCTTTATGTTGGCCTTATGTGGAACGTTATTTTAACTGTTTCACCATCTGTAACCGATGTAGCGTTGCATGAGAATAGGATTATTTTCACTGGAACTGGCGTTTAATCATGATCTGGTCACATTACCTCCTGCAGATCATCTTTCTACCAGCAGGGGGCAGTGTTGTACTAACCTTCGTGAGGTGTCATGGTAGAAATTATTAGTTTTAGCATTGGATTACAAAAGCGGTAAATTAAAGAAAATATATGTTTTGGTTCGCCAAAAAGAGCTTAAAGTAAACTTTTCATGAACGTTATTTTAGTTTCATCTTTGAGGAACGTTTTATGGATCCACTCAATCACATCTGCGTTGGCCCGTGTGCTCGTCGAGGCAGCAATCACTAGACGTGTTCACACATTTCACTGCAGAGGAACCACTCGCCCCGCTGATGCAGCTGTAGGTTTTCATGTACAGGGCGGATCACCAAAACGCTCTGCACTTGCAATCCCAGTGGTTTGAAGGAAGAGGAACACCAATATTTATCTGTTTATTCATCTTGTGATTGTTCTTTGGACTCATTTCAAGGTTCAACGTTTTTTTATTCATGATGTCTGTCTGTGACCAATGGTTCCACACCAATAGCGATGAGTTCTCTGTGAAAGGTCAAAACATGATTGATAGGACAGGAAAGAAACGTGTTGTGCAACAAAAAACAACATTGCTTGTTACTCAACTTATCCTATTTTCGTGTCGCACAGATGCACAATTATTGTCTGAATTACAACCACCGGATGGAAATTCTTGCACCACTTGCAGCTTCCATGGTCTCCTTCCATCAAGTCAATATTTTACCTAATAATCCCACCAGCAAAACAAATAACAACCTGCCTGGCATCAGATTTTCTGCTGAACATCAACCTTA